CTTCAACTGTTTAGTGATATATGACTGAATTAAAAGTTTCATAAAAGATAATAGATAATAATAGTAATAATAATAATGACAATAATAATAATAATGATAAATAATAAATAATGATAATACTTATAATAATGATGATGATAATAATAATAAATAATGATTAATAATAATAACAAATAAACAATAATGATATAACAGTAATGATAATAATATTAGGTAATAATAATAATGGTAAATAATAACAATAATGATTATTATAATGAATAATGATAATAATAACAATAATAATAAAACACGATTTATTCTCTTTCTTCCGTTGTTAAATTTATCGTTAGAAGTTGGTGAAAGGATTACCGGAGGATAATGACAATGTCAGTGTCTTCATTTATTCCGCAATGAGTGAAAACCAGCATGCGTAAGTTTTCATTGTTGTCTTTTGTCCTGAGGCATTTCTCCCAAAGGTCAATTTGTCAAAAAAAGGGGTCATTCGGTGTCAACGAAATCAAACATTCATTTTCTGTCCACTCTTCCAATTTCTCAGTCGATACAGATGACCCTTTTTGGTTTTTCCGTATTTATGTATTCAAGACATAGATGATGATGATACCTCCCAAGGCGAAGTTAGATTACCCGATCGAAAAAATCCGGTTCTACTGTAGCAAATGTGGTGCTCCCTACATTACTTCATTCCCTCTTTTTCTGGTGGATCGTCTTCAATGGCAAAATGGCACTACTCATTTTTTCCATGAAATTCGGAATCGTTTGACATTTTATCCTAGAATTTAAAATGTTACAAGTAATTTTGCAAGATTGAAGCGAGAAAAATTCCTTTCATTTCTATCTCTTTTTCGTTCTAATCTTGCTAATTTCAACTGTTCGTATCCTCTGGCCTGTAACGTTTAGAATTTTCAATTTAAGCTTTTTCGTGATAGGTATCAGTCTCAATTGACTATATGATTTAGTTATGATTCTCATATTCGACCTCTTTCAACAATGGCAATAACGACAATAATAAAGATGACAAACGGAAACAATGGAAGACGGAAGAAATAATGGTTGAAATGAACATCAACCATCAAGAAATAAAAGGAAAGTTATAGTGAAGCGCTACGACTGAAGTGGCGTAACCAACGATTCTTCATTCTTTTGATTGATGGTCCCGTGATAATGGTTGACGAGAAACGCTGAATGCTTTGAGGCAGGATGGAGAAGTAAATTGAATGGATTACTCAATGTCGATCTAATGTTATAATAAGAGAAACTATTAGAAGTTACCCGCAACCTGACATGAAATTTTCTCATTATGTTCCTTCTTCATTTTCATTATTTGCTTAAGCTAATAGTGAATATCTCGATGTTATGTTTTAATGTTGATATCATTAGCTATAATTTACTACAGTAATTTAATTTTTTGTACTACTGAACCGTTTAATTCCTCAGAACTCCCTAAATGAAACAATCAATCTCTACATATTCATTCTTCGATGACTAAGATTTCTTAAGGTGAACTTCCACTATAATAACGAAAGTTTCACTATTCCTAAAAAATAAATTTTTTAGTTTCATAACATGCAGTCACAATCGGTTATTGTTGCCTATCCTTGCAGAAAACCAATTGATGTGCTATGAATGTTGTTTGGATAGAAAATACTTCCCTAATTTTAATTTCTTCAAATTTCGCTTTATTTTAATTAAGAAAAATGAATGCATATCATATTATCCTAACCTTGATTATATCGAATAGCAATGCTTATACATATATATATATATATATATATATATATATTGGTTATTTAAAGGGACCATAGGGCAGCACAAGATGGCACCTATAATCATCATCATTACAAATTTTCGTTGCGCGTTATTCTTACTTGCTTTTCTTTCCCTCATTCCTCCATTTTTTCACTTTTTTTTCAATTACAGTTTGTTTGAAAACTTCACCCTCTCTCTCTCTTTCTCTTCCTTTCTCTGTGCATCATGTGAAAGTTTATCAACGAAAGGAAAAAGTTTACTTTTCATGCGTACTTTTAAAATGCTTTGTTATTTTTTGCACTTGTGGAGAAGTTAACTTCGATTTTATTTCTATGTGATCATTTTGTGTAGGATAATTTGGAAGGTTGTGGCAATTATAATTATAGTTATAATGATGAAGATGTTAATTAGAATAATGATAAAATTGAACTATGATAATGATTGACAATATAGTATTGAAAGAATAGCCTTTAAGCATGGACTTTAAGAATGTCGAATAATGCTACATTCAATTCTAATAAATATGCAATAATATTTGGCAGTGATTACGTTAATCACTGCCATAAATAATAATTAAAATACGGCTGTAATTGTAATAATAATGCTAACGCAACTACATATGTTCATTCATCTTCTGTAAATGAAAAATTTATTAATGTTAAAAGAGCGACAATTTGTCCGAAATAGTACTTGCATGAGTGCCACGGTGAAACGAACAAGACTAAAAGAATGGAAGGTTACCATATATTTCGATATTCACTTATTTCTTCCTTTTCTTGCTAATATTTTTGACTAAGCTTAAATTCACTCCACTATTTAAATTCTTCTTGACTTCTTGAATTTAGTATTTCAATTTGTTCAATGTGATACCAGACATTTTCAACAATTAAATTACTGATATTTGTTGAATATCATTTTGCTATGCTACAAGTGCTTCTGTATGTTTGTGATTACTCGGAAATAATGATATACTAAGTAAGTGATGAAATCATAATTACATTTATTTTTTAAGTTATAAAGAATAAACCAATCAGTTTAAAAATTTTCTCAGTCGTTTTTTCTTTTTCAATGGATGATATGGCTTTTGGATATTAAAATGCTTGCAATTTTTCTAATATAACACATTTATAGAAATGCATTTCTTTTTTTTTTTTTTTGTAGGAGGTGGGGGGACAAAAAAAAAGTTTTGTCAAATATTGCAGAAAAGAGACTGTTTATTTAATTTCAATAGAAACATCCTCCAATAGCAATAACTATATTTAATTTCCCAATATCATGCATTTGTTATGAAATCAACAAATGTCATTATATTTCCGTTCCTTGAAATATCTTAAAAAGCAATTTTTGTTTGTTTTCTTATTTTTGCTGCTGCAAATTATTTTTTTTTTTTTCATTCTAATTCAAAACTTAGTTTACTAAAATGATATGGTCATTGTTCATTCTTTTTTCTTTTGAGGAAAAAATGAGAATTTCAAGCTTTAATGAAATTCTCGAACAATAAGCATAAAGTACGAATGGTGCGATCGTAGTAGCCGTTGTCGTCGTCGTAGCAGCAGCAGCAGTAGCAGCAGCAACAGCAGCAGCAGCAGCAGTAGTAGTAGTAGTAGTAGTAGTAGTACACAGGGAATGGGTAAGAGAAAAGGGAGAAGAGTATTTCCATAACAAAAATAGCGAATGTTGATGTTCCTGTTCCTCTGGTCATATGACGTCGAGATGCTTGCTTGCCTGCTTGCTTCCTTGCTTCCCCGAGTTGTATCCATCTATCCCGTGGGCGGGTCGTGGTGCCAGGAGGTGTTTGTTTGAGCAGTGTTTATTTCTAAACATGATAAATGTGAAAAATGTTTGTGAGTAGTAGTAGTACTACGGTGTCCGTCCTGGGCCTCTCCTCTTCATGCCTTTCTTGACCACTATTTTATGCTTTGTTTTCTATCTCACTCTTTGTTGCTACTTGTCTTGTCCTCCCTCTCTCTCTCACTTCCTTTATTTCGCCTTTGTCTATCCCTCTCCCTCTCTTCATATATCCATGCCTATATTTTCCTTTTTATTCCGTTACTGATGACCAAAATATATAAAAAAAACACACACACACATACGTAATGTATGTACTCGAACATAGATACACATAGAATGAGGGCTTGTTAGAATCAATTTTTATCTTGCATTATTTGAAAAATATGAAAATTAATTTACGATTATAAAAATTGCGGTTGTTTTGATAGGGGTCAATAGGTCGATATCATTATTTGATTGATGCATTCATTCCTATATTAAAATTTTTTTTTTATAATTAAATGTCAAAATAAGGAATTCATATTAAAATACAGTTATCAGTTAGTGAAGAAATTATTGAAGATGAAATAATTAGTTTTAACATAGTAAATTGAATAATTGTATGAGAAAAAATATATGAATTTATCCTTGTTTTTATTGTTATGTCTTATAGCACTTTTATGATTTATGACTTCAAATGATTAATGATAGGTCTTTAGCATATGTCGATACAATTTTTATATTTACAACAATCACTGAGTTGCTTACTATCGGACTTAATGTTCATTTTACTATATTATTGCTTCACTTTCACAATTGTATATCATGATTGCTAAATATTGGTTGAACAAAATGGATATCTTGTTTTTTTCCTCTCCTCTTTTTTTAAATCGCCATATTTGCAAATCATTTTTTTAAATCGCCATATTTGCAAATCATTCAACAGCCAGTTTAGGTAGTTTAAATGTCTACAGCCCGTCCAACTAGGCTCTTCCTTGAAAGCTACCAGTTAACAGTGGAATGAGAGCAACTTCTGGAAATGTGCTAGTATGTGACACATTGTTTTGTTGTCTTGCTTATGACTTACTAAATATATGGTCGTTTGGCTTCTTTAACATTCAGCAAATAGTTCCTTCCACAATTATAACGTAAAGGTGGGGAATAGCTTAAAATGTTCCTATTTCGAAATACTATTACACTGAATTTTTATTAGAATATAATGTTAGCCCGAGGATGAAAAACATAGAGAATTTTTCTGTATATTTGTTTGTTGACTTCTTCCAAAGGAAAAAAAAAAAAAAGATCTTTTTGTTTAAGGTTCACGGATGCGTTTTGCCATTTTGGTCGCATAAGATGGTCAGTGGCACTATTCATTCAATTCTCTCTGATTACAAGCCACTACTAGCTTCAACAATAATTCTTCAGCCACTGTTCAGTTCGTTTTTGCTACCTGTCAAAGCGACATCTATTTTTGTCACATTATGAAGCAGGTAATTGACATATTTTAAATCTCGGAAGTATAAATTAATACACATAAAATATCTTCTTTCAATAGTCTGCCATAATGAAACCTCTTTCATTTTTTTTAATCAGTATCTGAACAACTTTACACTCTTGAATTCTTACCCATATTCTGAAAACGATTCAGTAATATTACTGTATTTTTTAAATAAAAGATTTTTGTATCAGTATGACATAAGCAGTTTTATTATGCAAATTATCAAAGCCTATATATTTATAATAATTTTGGGTTACTTGTCCTGCTTTTATAAACATGCTATTCTGATAAGTAACAATTTCCTTTCTCTTATTACTTACATAAATGGGGATTTTCAAGCAGAGATAATGCACAAAAATTTGTTAATACTTTTAATATACTTTTACTTATCTTCTTTTCTTTCTTTTGTTAGAGGTAATTTCACTAGCAGTATTGCTGTTTAATTAGGATTGATAGATAGTTTGCGATTCACATAGTACCTTGTGGCATATATTCTAGATAATTGAACAGGAAAAAAAATCATTTTTCCTTTTTCGAATTTACGAAGTTGAACAAAAAAGCTGTCACTCGAGACAGTTTTTAATTAATGAGTGCTATGTGAAACAAAAAGTTTATGTTTAGTGCTTATTGCCAATATTAGCACTAATTTTAAGATTTGATTTTATTTGATTGGATTGGAATGTTATTTCATTACTTCATTCAACCACATGTGACGTATAATACTGAATAGCGACGTGTCATATCTGCAGAATAATGATTGAGTAGACATTTATGCTGATAACAGCTGAAAGAAGTATATCATGAATTTAATAACATAATTAAAATAAAATTTTCTTTTTGTCAAGTGGTTTTTTTTCGTAAAATTTTGAAAAAACTTTCAAGGAAAATGAAGAAAAATTGTTTGAATTTTTTTTCTCTGCTACTCGTTCTTTTTTAAACTTCGAAAAAAAAAAAAAAAAAAACATTTACACGAGATAAGTAGTAAATGCATGCAGGTGAAAGTTACATACTATAGTTTATTTGATTCATCTTCTTTCCTTATCACTACACAATTTTATTCTTATTTCGCGCATATACTGTTTTATGCTTATTAACAATGGTGCCGTTAATTTTGTGATAACTCCATCAACTTTAGCCTTTCATTTCTTCATGGTTCTTCTCTTTTCATTTTATTCATTTCCCATTAAAATTTTACTACATCTTAAAGAGGTTGTCATGACGAAAGTGGGGTGGGGGAAAGAAGGAAGTTCGATAGATGTTTTTATCAAAAACTAAACTAATTTTCATCCTTAGTTTTAGCTACCCCATTCTACAGTATTTTTAGGTCAAAATTTTAGGATTCAAATTTTGTAAATGCTTTTTTTTTTTTTTTTTTTTTTTGGAAAAATGATGTTTAAATAGCCGTGGTAGTGTGAGATGCATTTTTCAAGGCTGTTGTATGAGTTTCGTTGCTAACAAAAAAAATTTTGTCAATTATTCGGTCTAAATTTAAATCCTAGGAAAAAGAAATATTTTAAAATATTTTAGGAAGAGTTAGATTCATGTGTTGTTGAAGCATTATCAAAAGCGGCACGTATTTTATCCGATGAATCCGATTATCCAATATCCGATTCGTTATCTGCAACATCTTCATTTAGTGAATCATTAACACAGGTGCATTCAACGGCACCTACACCATCACAATCACAGCTACCAGTCAGTCCTTTTTTTATTGTTCATAATGAAACGGCTCATACAAGTACCGAACTACTACCACCACAGGTACCATCAACAGCATCACTTAACAATCATATCGGAAAACGACATGTGTGTGGAGATTGTGGCAAGGTAATCAATTCATTATCTGATCTTCCTAATAAATTTGCTATAAGGTCCATATATTGATTTATTGGGCTTTTACATAATTCAATCACTTACGTCGATATTGTATGTTATGTTTGCCAGGCTAATTGAAGAAGCATCTAGAATGAATAAAAGCAAGTGATATGGAAGAGAATATTTCATCTGTTTTCAAATTTGAAAATCATTAATTTTTAAACTGTTAAATCTTGAATGTGAGTCAGAAGTTTAAAGCGTATTTTTAATTCATGAAAACTTTCGGAACTTTGAAATTACTATTAACGTTAAATTAAAACCACAGGCTTTTCCTTATTTGTCAATACTGGAATCTCATAAACGTTGCCATACCGGTGAAAAACCATTTGATTGTCGTTTCTGTGAAAAGAAGTTTGCGCAAAAAGCCACGTTACAAGTTCACGAACGAACTCATACTGGTGAACGGCCGTTAGTTTTTATTTTTTAAAAGCTGTCTTTTTATGAATGAAAAATTTTTTTTGTTTTTTCTCGAATTTTAGCTATGAGATAAAAAGAGGGAATTTTGCACTGCATTGTAATTTAAACTTTTTGATAATATTTATGACTAATTAAATTATTTCATTAATTTGAAGGATCAATTTTGTCCTGTTTTATTGCTTAATTTATGCATTCATTTATAGTTATAAATGTAAATACTGCGATAAAACGTTTGCTCAGTATGGTACAAAGACCGTTCATGAGAAGAGTGCACATTTGGGTATGTATCATTTCCGCAGCTGGATTGATCTCATCTCTTCTGATCGTCATTTATTTATTTTCTCACAAATTTTTTTTTTAAAAAAAAATCCATTATCAAATGCGGCACAAATCCATTATCAAATGCGGCACAATTATCATTCTTTTTTTTCTTTATCTTTCCTTCTTTAGACTTCATTCTATCCTACACTTTATAATCGTACTAAATTTAATTTTACCTTAGGTATTCGAAACTACAAATGTCCCAAATGTAACAAATGTTTGTCGTCACCATCAGCATTGTACACACATAAGAAAACCCATGGTGAAAAAACATTACAATGTGACTATTGTCCCAAAACGTTTGCATTGAAGAATTATTTAAAGTTACACGTGAAACAAGTCCACGAGCAGTCAGATCGCAAACATATTTGTCATTACTGTGATAAGAGTTTTGCTTATGCAGGCAGTTTGCAGGTTACAATTTTTATTGCTGTATGTCATGCAAATGTCACTTTAATTGTTTATATTTTCACAAAACTAAGAAGGCAAATCGATGTAGTATAAATGGAGTAGTTAATAAGCCAAAATGTACCCATTTAACTCTTCAAGAAAGATGTCAACGAGTGAATACTTTTAGGTACACGTACGAACGCATACCGGTGAACGACCTTATGTATGTAGGTTCTGTCCCAAAGCATTTGCTAGCCAAGGTAATCTGCAAAGCCACGAACGAACTCATACTGGTGAACGACCTTATACTTGTGTACAATGTGGACGATCTTTCATCCAGAAATCACAGCTAACTGCACACGAAGCAACGCATCAGTATCAACCAGGCGTTCGTTTTCATTTAATTTTTTTATTATTTCTTAAACTAGTATCTATACCCTGTTCATTATATATGTCCAAAGATTTTATAATATTAAGTGGATATGTTTGAACTTAAATTTTATATTATACATATATGTTGTATATTTAAGGAATCCTCTGATTCATTATTTCTATTTAAATGAAGATTATTACACACTATATTTTTCGTTCATTATGTAGTGCATCTATTCATACATCAGTTATCAATTATTTAATTTGTTTAATTTTAGATTTTAATAATTGAAAATTTTAGATTTCACCCGAAACAGTGCAAAACAAAAAGGCAACAGAGTATGTTTGCAAGTACTGCGGAAAACGATATGCCTATGCCTCATCGCTTTATGTTCATACTCGATTACATACTGGTGAACGACCATTTCGGTTTGTTCTCTCTATTAACTTCTATATTTTCTTTTTATTAAAGAAATATTTTATTTTCGCTTGTTAAAAATTAACAATTTTGAAATAGAGTTATATTCTTTGATCGAATATTCTTCCCACGATATGATTATCTTTAGCTATACCAAACTGCGAAAATTATGCAAATGAGATGTTGTGAAAAAAGCTCAAAACCCTTTAAAATATTATATATCTTCTTTCATTTGGTGACATATGGAATGAATTTTACAAATTCATTATCATAAGTTTAGTATAAGCCTTTGACAGCTTATTACGTCGAAAAAAAAAAAAAAAAGATTTTAGGAAACTCTAGTTCTTTTTCTTTAGTATTATAAGTGAAATACTTGTCGTATGGAATTTCCGTATCAAAACTTTCACTTCTTTCTTTAAAGAAAAAAAAAAAAACATTCCAAAATTCTTCTCTTCTTGCTATCTGTTTCTGTGTCTGCTTGTGTTCGTTTTACGGTTGCCGTACCAGTCGCTGTGCTATATCAAAGCAACATGTTGCTATAAAAGTACACGAGCATTTTCAAAAAAAAGGAAAGGAAAGCAAAATTTTCGCAAGATTATGTCCTCAAAGATCAAAAATATTATTTTATACGAGATTTGTTAACGCAATTAAAACATTTTTGCTCAAAATCTACTTACTGTTCCCAATTTTACAGATGTAGCTTTTGTGACAAAACATTTACAAATCAGGGCAATATGCAAGTTCATCAGCGTGTTCACACTGGCGAAAAACCGTAGGTTATGCTATATTATGTAATTTTTTGCGAGAAAAAAAAAAACACTGAACGAAAAATATCCTTCCGTGTCATTTAAATGTTACATCATCATAATTCATCGTTTCATCCTCTAACTAAACCTATAAATTAAAATTTGAAGCTGAAATTTTGGTGATAAAGAATGAAAATGTTAGTTATGATAATCTGATGCATTTTAAATTAACAAACATGAATGAATGTAATTTCTTTTAGTTACAAATGTAATGCATGTGAAAAAAGTTATGCTCAAAAAGTGGGCTTAAAAATCCATTTGGAGCAGTGCCAAAAGTATCTGAACTGTCAACAGCAGACTAGTCCAAATGCAGAAATGGATAGCGCGAAGACTCTAGATAGCCTATTGCCCAGATATCTGAGTAAGTTGTTCGCTTCCATTGTGTTGTTATACTAACAGATATTGTTTAGTGGATTGAATGAATAATCAGTGGTGCTAATATACTGCTAATTGTTTTTTTTGAAGAATGTATTTTCAGGTTTACCAGATGGAATAGCAGTAGCAGCACTTCAGTATCCCACTTCACCTTCCGTTTCATCAGTTCGGGATTTGACTAGTCCTTCATTGGGCTTGAAATTATCAACCTTACCTGTAACAACCACTGCTTATAATACAACAACACTTAATGTAAATGATGGGATTATGGATCATTTAGGTCGAAATGATACCCTTACCAGTATCACCAGTGAGCAGGTAGTAAAATATGGTAATGAAACTACTGAAACTAAACAGTCTGCCTTTCACGGAGTTATTCCGGATCCATATAAAAACACCTTGCTAGATCCATATGATTCACAGTTACATGCTTACAAGCAACTTTTGGAAGGTGGTAATTCACCTGGATCACTATTCTCACAGCAGATGATACTTCAGAGTCAGCAATTACAACTTTTTCTGCAATGTCCAGAGCAGTGGTGCAGTGTGTTGACACAACCAATTAGTGTTTATCCGCCTATAAGTACGCTACCAACCTTAAATTCAACCTCTCAACAATCTACACCTCACCTAACAACAATTAACATTTCAAATGACTTTACACCCACTTCTGCTAAACATGAACCTGCGATGCACGTTTGAGAAGAAAAAAGCTATCCAGAACAAAAATTCAACTCGTACTGTCCATCATTATACCCAAGTTCAGTGGGTTTTTCCGGAACGTGAATCGATGATATGGTATGCATATAAGCTAGCTACAATTGCTCACGATATTTACATTTCTAGATGAACGAAGCCATTGTAAGATTTCTGAATTTCCCAGAAAAATTGTCTCAAAAAATATTCAAAACAGAAACAAAAGTTGAGCAAATCGATTCATTTTTTTTTTCTTTTTTTTTTGTTTTGTTTTTTCAAGTATCCGGAGTTTTTGGCTTTATTCACGAAACTTTTTTTTCTCTTTCGAAATCGTTATAACGTTATTGTTTTTCACTGTAATATTAGTCATACTATTACCGCAAAAAAAAAAAATCACAATTTCCTGATGAACATGATTACTGTAATCACCGGGACAAATGTGCTTCATGTACAGTATCATTTCAAATATGGTAACGTTTGCTATAAGTGCTATCCTGTTACACTTTTATTCTTTAAGATTCTTGACAAGTTTTTACTTTCTTTTCTTGCAAATACTTACCAGTAATATGATGATAATAATTAGTTATTTTAGTAACAATCAATAGTAATGAGTTACAGGTAAGGCATAATGAGGTGTCATATGGTTATAGTATGTTTATTATTTATTTGGCATTGTTGGCAATATTATATTGAATTATTATGCCTTCCTTCGTTCATTCATTCATTCTAGTCTAATTATGCTTTGACATAAGTCGATCTGTTTTACTTCCTTTCTTTCTTCCTTCCTTCCAGTTTTTAAATTATTATGATTTGTACTATCGATTATATTTAATCGACTAGCATAAATCAATCGATCTTTTCATTTGCTTATCGTTTACTGTTCTGTCTATTATATATCTGTTGGAGAATTAACAAACTGTGCATATCTACTGGTCTTGCAGTGACATATACTTTGCTACAATGCTATATACCCCATTTAACTTATATTTATTCATTGCTTTTATTTTCGCAATCGGTGATTTTTTTTTTTTCACATCTGCAATATTTTAAGATAGGTATACATATCGAAATAGAAAGAAATTAGGCATGATCGTTAGATAAAAATAAGTCAATTTTTTCTTGCTAAACTTTCCGTACTAATTTATGACTTTTTTTTCTTTTTCAAACATTGTTTGTAAAAATTTTCATTGGTCAATTTTCTGTTTAAATTTTGTCCTCACAAAAAAAGCCAATTTGTCTTTCTTCCTTTTTTTTTTTGCCGTTAATTTTTTTTCTTCCGATCACTTTTCTTTAAGATATTTTTTGACGGTTTGGTTTTTACCATCTGTTCATGTTGTGCGTTCAGTTTCGATTCGTGTCTTTTTTATTTATTTATTTTTTTTAAAGTAATCCTTTGATTATTTTTATTAGTGTAATTCTTATTGTTTGTTCATATTTTGTTTGAAGTATCTCATTCAATAAGTTGTCTTTCCACTTTTTTCTGTGCATACCATGCTAATGCAAACGTAGCCATACCTTTTCCGTTTTTTTTTTCCTTTTTTCCATCCTATGCACGACAATTTAGATGATTTTCCTTTTTTGTTTTCGTGTATTCTATTCAAAAAGACTTAACCTTTTCTTTTTTTTTTTTCATGCATGTTGTATTAATGTATAATAATGGCGACAGATTAGCCTTTTCAAAGTTAAGTTGCTAGAAACAGTGCATTTAATTACTAAAATTAATTGGTACATTTTAAATTTGTGGATATTATGTGTAAAATGTACAAAATGGTGTGCAAAATATATAAACCTATATAATTGGTGCGATCAATTAATTAAACTTAAAAAGTGGTAAATGTATTCAAAAGAATATCAATTTTTAATAGCACAATGCAAAAAGATGTTTAATGTTATACGAAAAAGATGGAGCAGTTCATTAACACGATGTAATTAATGCCTTTACCAGGTTTAATCAAAGAAATGTAGCAATTAATTGAGAACAAGAATGGGAAGAATATTAGACGATGATGTATTATATCAACTGAACTCATCCTTATTCAACAAGAGAAGGAGTAATTGGTAGGCAGCTCAATGATTGAATAATTGCATGCAGAGATGAATTCTTGATGTAGAATCGGGTCACACTTCCTCCTTCCTTCTTTAGCCATGCATTGGTAATACATATTGCTACTTACGTCCCTTAATACCAACTTTTCGAGGATAACACTGAATCTTGTCACCTTTTATGAGCTCACTCAACCAGTTCAAACTAATTTTAATGCTTGTTTTATTATTTTATTATACATTTATCACTGGTTAGTACATTTTATTTCGTTTTTCATCCCCCCTACAGATGACATTGAGAGCCGTATGACGCTAATATTTTTTGAGATTTTGATTATTATATTACTGATAGTACCATCACTTAAAAGGTAACTTCAGTTGATTCTAAGATATTGGGTTATGCATTCATTTTAATTGACAAGTCTTAATGAATTGAAATATTTATTTTAATCATTTTCTTAATTTACATTCTGAAAAATAATTTTCACTCCAATTCGTAATCATCCATAGGCATGAAATGTTCATCACGAAATAAGATAATTTATGTTCGAAGTGAAGGTTACTATTCAATGGAAAGAGAACAAGCAGTATTTAAAGGTTTAACACTTTCGGAATGTGCTGATCGATGTACATTCAAAATACAGGTGGAAGAAGATTCTTGATTTATTAGCGTTAGTTGGTGAAGTATTCCTGATGAAACAAATAACTTCTAGCATAAAAAAATTTCAATAAATTTTCAAAATAACAGTAAAACAATAATAGTTTAACTAATTTTTAACTGAATTATTCAATAATTATATCAATTCGCTATAATGAATTGTGTTTTTGAAAGCAAAGGAAATGAAATTAGAAATGGATTAAAGGATTTACATAAAACCCATATTTACGCAATTTCCTATTATCATTTTTTTAATTGCAAACCTTTACTATGTGCTATTTTGAAAGGAACTTACACATACGCTTGCATTCAACCGCTGTATAATTTAATTTCTTTAGGGAGTAAATTGCACCTCATTTGAATACGATGCAATGCAATTGATATGTGTACTGAAAGAGGGCAGCGGAAATATGATGAGTGATGGTAGTCTGTTACCATTGAAAACTATCCGTAGTATATCATTATTTCAGCAATTCTGCCTTTCTGGTATGTAAATTTTTGAAATAACTTTGAGAGTATGATTTTTTCCAAAACTTTTGTAGCTAACAAAAGAAGTCTATGGAAAAGAAAATACGCTTTATGCTTTACATCCTGAATTCATAGTTGACTTTTAAATTAGGGGTTTTCCGAGTAGGACTGATTGTAAGCGAATAACAAACGATTTTATGATCACTGATTTTTCTTTTCCTTTTCCGCTTCCGTCTACTTACTTATCATGCAAGATTGTTTCTGCTATAAAAACTATAACTGTATTGTTAGTGAAATGTTGTTAAAGGAAGCTTTGAAAATCGTCAATGAAATGAACTGAGAGACGATCCAAATTGAGTAAATGAAAGTCGATAGTAAAACAATTTTAAGTATGGAAAATTATTGCTATGGTTAAAATAATGGTTAAACTTTTTTTATTTAAAAATGTTTTTGGAGATATTTCAGAGGAATACATATGTCCATCGCCATATATCTTCGAACGTCTTCCGAGACATGTTCTGATGGGAATCGCCAAAGAGGTTTGTTTGTTTGCTCCTCCATGGAAAGATATGAAATGAATTGAAAGATTGCATTTTTCTGAGTCAATATTGTCTTAATATTCTATTGTGAATTTTGCATAGGTATACTTTCGAAGTGTTGTAGGTGATGCAAGTTGGATCTATAGAGGAATGTTTAAACATGTGCTTAGCTGCTAAAATGACAATAGAAATCGAGTGCAGGTATCATTATACTGCAAGATTCTAAATTTGCTAAATTTAACGTCCAAAAAAACTAGATGTTTTTTAGAAAATTTCATATATTGCTATTTTCTAAAAAAAAAATAGCTTTATCTGAAACTGTTACTCATTTTCTAGCCAATGTTGGAGTAAAGTATCTCACAGAAACTAATTTCATTATAAGAGTAAAAATTTATTTTAATAATGTAACTATGTTTTTATTTCTTGAGGATAGTTGAGAAAAGTGTAATAAGCGTAAGCTTTCTTCGCGATCTTTTGATCACACTATGATGCCATTTCTGAAATGAAAACTATTCAGGTCAGTAATGTATTACTATGATACCGGGGAGTGTATTCTGAATGATGAGAATCGAGCAACAAGTATAGGTATGATAACTAATGATACGATGGACATGCGTGTCGATTATTTCGAAAATACTTGCTTCGACGGTACTTTTCTTTTTTTCATTGTTTTATTCTTTTGGCAAATAATTTTGTATGAATGATGCTGTGCCTTCATTCTATAACGATATTCGTTTTTTTTTTTTTTTTTTCTTTTTTGGAAGAGCTGATTTTGAAAACGATGAAGTAGTATTTAGGTACCATTACAATATCTGTCTTATCATTTTTTAAATCATAACTTATCAAATAGAAATTGCAGGTAGTATTTGACTTTTTTCCCTATTTTTCTGATGAAAATTTGGCCGTAGATAGCAGAACATGATGTTGACAATTTTTAATCTTAGAATCCTATAGGAATTGAACTCAGTGAATGCATTATGAAATTAAGCAAATGAAAACTTTCTCATTAAATATACGAATAATTTATCGAATAATTAAATAATTTTGCATGAATTTCACATTTTCTGTTTTCAGTGCAGTGTTCAGCTGATTTTACCACACATTGGGTCAAAGTGGGAAGATTCACGATCAGTGATAAATCAAATCTTGTAATGAAGCAAGTGACTAAGGAACAATGCTTCAATTATTGTCTTGTACCTAATATGAATCTCTTTCTAGATTTTTTCGGAAAAAAAAATAATAAAATTATCTGATTAACAAGTCTTTTAAAATTTATAGATCTTTTTTTTAATGTAATTACTGAAATAAATGTCTTGCTCCTCCTGATTTGAATAGGTATCGTTTAATTTTCCATTTTTTTCAGGAAAACAAAATTGATGACCAACGTTTTCCATGCAAATTGTACGCATATAATGAAAATAGAATGACATGTCATTTGACTTCAGAATCCGGTCTGATACATTCAACAACATTTGTTGATAATCAAGAGATATCTGATGATTCACAAAAATATGATTATTATGAAAAAATTTGTCTGAAAGGTAACTGAACGTAAAATATATTCTACATAGTAACAAATTTTCGAAGCATTGCTTACTAATCAACTATCTTTCTTGAAATATATTGTGAAAAGACAATTTTGATAAGTCAAACAAAATAGTTAATAAATGAACGGTTCAAGCAAGCAAGATAGCTGACAGGATCAGATTTTTCACACAAATCTCAGACTTTATTTCTCTTTTTTTATTTGTTCTTTTCAAATGATTAAATTTTAATTTTTTCTATCTCCAGGTTTAATGCGATGTCAGGATAGCAGTTTTGAACATGTTTCAAATCGTGCTTTATTAAATATCGAAAATAAGGTTGACTATTTTTCGTCTCTATGATACCCACCCTTGATATATGATGATTTAAATTTTGAACTTTATAATATTACAGATGATAACAACAAGTATGACAAGCTGCTTAGAAATTTGTTTACGTTCTGGTAAAGAATGCAGTTCAGTGATGTTTTTTAAGGCTAAGGTGATAATTAATATTCATTAATATATTAGTTGACAGTTATTTTTTATATTTTTGTAAATAGATAAAAATAATTGGTTAGATAGCGAAGGATAACAGATGAAATGCTAAAAAGATAAATGTTATCAATGAAAGGTAACTATATTCATAAGTATGAACATGGGGAGATTATGAACTTTTTTAGGATGAGTGTGTTCTGAGCAAGAAGAGTCAGTATTCAAGCAATGAACAACTTCGATACTTTCCAGAAGTCAGTGTTTTCAGGGATTATTTTTAATCAAAATATCTTATGTAAATTGATTTTGCACCGGGAATAAAATCCAATAATATTTCAGTGCGTTTTTATGGATAAATTAGTAGTGGTAGAAGCAATGTTGTAAAGTTTCTTCTGAAGCAAATGTACATTTAAATGGATGCATAAATCGAAAAGTTTCTTAAAATGATAATGAACTAATAAACATAAGCTTACAGATTCTTGTTACAGGTGGATTATTTCGATAATGTGTGTGATTATAGAGTTGCTATAAACATGTCTCTGGAAAATAAAATGATCGAAATTTCAACGCGAATACCAACAATGCACAGACAGTTAAATGGTATCAAAAATTTGTGATTGTGTGGAACATGATTTATATCATTTACTAATAATTTTGATTCGTTTGATTTCAATAAGCATGGAAGGCATGATGTTGAAGCAACTGATGAAAGTTGGATAATCATTAGCTGGATGTTTATGAAGCAGAAATTGAAGTAAAGTAGATAAATCAAATTTTAGTGAAAGAATACAAAAGAAAATTTTTAAACAAATAAAAGATATTCAGAACTGGAAACAGAATGTGGCGCAGCTGGCATTTTAATATCTGTATTGTTTTCTAAACCAACAGTTGGCGCAATATTTATCAAGGATCATTTTGCAACATGCCGCTCTGAATTTAACAATGCAATGAATGCAACAATGGAAATTGCACTGTCCACTCTTCGTCAAGATAATCCACCGTGTCCCGGCTATGAAACTGTTCCTTTTATCGCAATTTCACCTCAGATTTTTAATTTTTCAAAACGTTCGCCTTAGAAGGATTGAAAATAATATTACAGTATTCTAGAAAACTTAAATTTATGGGAAAAGTAGTGGTTATCATGCAAGTTTTGTTGCAAATTGTTGTGCTAATCATATCTGTTTTTTTTTTTTTTTTTTTTTTACTTCATATGGTTTCTTTAGAATCCCTCAACTTGGTCTTTCATTGTGGTAGTTCAAAAAAATGGTCTGGGAATACCAGGACTGATGACCGATGAAGATCGAGTATTCAATATTACATGCGATTACTCAAACGGTCAAACTATGAATGATTCGACTGAAGATAGCATGTATATTAGCATTTATTAACATATTATGATAGCTGAAAGTTAGATTAGATTATTTTTTTCGTCTATAATCTGTGTTTCTAATTCGATGTGAAAAAAAAAAAAAAAAAATTGTATAATAAGTATTCAAGAAGTTGAAACTATGCTAATTTCAATTAATTAAATGAATTTAAAAGAAAATTTGTATAAATATTGCAGTACTTATTGTAACTTCATTACAGACTTCTACAAGATGTATCACGAGATTGGTTATCTACTACCTCTTCTAATGATCATGTACGATTGACGGTATTTCGTGGTGATCAACCTGTGAGTACCGCTGTGATGGGTGAAGAATTGGAAATGAGATGGACAGTGATGCAAGACCGCGTGGATAACATTGGATTGTTTGTAAATCGATGTATCGCAGAACGTTTGGATGGAACACCACCATTACCACCTCCACTTACGCTTATTTCTGACGGGCAAGTATTATTTACTCACTCCTTTCCTAAACTTTTTCATACCTTGGATAAGTTAGTCCTATCCTTAACTATTGGAACCTAAAAGTAACCAGAGATCAACTATTATCCAAAGTATTGCTGAAAGCTGTCAATAGGTTTAAAAAAAAAAAAAAAAAAAAAAAAAACCTACGTTTACTTAAAGAGTTTTTAGGTGTATTGACAGTAAAGTAAGCCGCTTGCTAATGCAGCATCCAATCACACAATTTGATGGTGGTTTAAGGACTAAAATTAAAGTTTTTCGGTTTGACGGGTCACGTCGTGTTCGAATTCTTTGTTCTGTGGATATTTGTATTGAAGAGTGTTTACCGGTCTGTATTTCATTACTTTGAATTTTTAAACGTTGAGAAAGGGGATAGACGTTTTTCTTCGATTTGACGGACCACGTCATGTTCGATTCATTTGTTGATATAACAAAAAAGGAGCATGGTAAAGTTGAAAAAGGTTGTAAATAAATTCTAGTTTTTTAGTGAGAATAAATTTAATCTGAGGTTTCATTGAATTATGTGTGTAAAACGAAATGAATATTATGTATTGCCAAAATTTCCTGAATAGCTCGATACTTGTACTAAAAATAGGCGTACTGCTTTTTCAAGTTGCCATTTATCAGTTGCGTAATAGTTCGTGCCGCAAAAAACTACATACATCAGCAAAAACTATGAATTACAGGTTACTTGTAATAAAGAAGTAAGTGGCAGTTTGATAAATCCTGACAAGAAAAAACGTGAAACTTTTGTTTTCCCGACTCAACAGGTAAAATTATTTGATTTAATTTGCAGCTGACAAGTTAGTACCTCATAATAAGCAATTTTTGCATATGACATGAATTAGATTAAATTTTAATTTAGGCCTCACATCAACGAATTAAACGAGAAATTATCAGTGGGACTTTTACGATTGTCGAAGAAAATGGCGATCTAGTGGCTAACGAAAATGTAACGAAAATTGATGAGCAATCAGTAAATCAGAGTAAGCTAATTGGTATTTTGTGAACTGTTTTATTTGAGAAAACGAGTTTAATTTACTTCGCCAACTTTCGGCTTCATTTTTTAATAAACAAAACAGCATGTAAATTACATACCTTTGAAGCTAACGTTACTTTTTATATTCGTCTATTTTCGGTTTAATTTTAAATGATTTGCAGATATGGTACCATTACAGTTTCCTGATGACAATCAATTTTGTGTTCAAAATTTCTCATTTTTCATTCTTATAGCAGTTACATTAATACTTTTAACGGCGCAAATCTTTCTGCTATGTAAGTATACATGGCTTAAAACTCAAGAATCTGTTCTTTCTGGTAAGCTATTATTTCTATTAAGTTTCTCAAAATTTGATAAACATCTATGCATATTATTAAGGAAAAAAAATTAATTATTTGCCACTAATTTATGTTTGCAATATTTTGCCATCCATCACCATTACTGATTTTACAAAATTCAGGTAATGAACGAAACTGTAATATCATATCAACTCCTCAGCATGTTTATTTTGGTCATGAGGAATGTTGTTCTGCGGAATCGCATATAACATTATCCAAAATAATCAGGCAGAAATTTTTTTTTCCTTATGCTTATTTGCTTTTCTTATCGATTGAATCCATTTCAGTTGTATTTTTGTATCTTACAAATGATAATAAAGAAAGTAGTAGTATTATTAAGAGATTCAGTCGGTAACATTATTATTCTGTTAATGATAATTGATGATCATTTCTTAATTTATCTTTGTCAAAATAAAATTTTAGGACGGAAAATGAGGACACCAGTAATAGAAGACGTGTTTTTGTAACGTGATATAGTGTGCTATAAGAGAACAGTGTATTTGTGGCTTAATAATGGGGCAAAAATGTCACCATTCTCGCTTATATACATTTTTTTTTTTTTTTTTTTAATGTGACACATGTCATGGTTATTATGCTTGTATTGTAATTTTTTTGGTCTGATGGAATGCGCATATTGCCAAATAAGCAAATATGTATTCTTTTCGGATTTGCAAAAACAAAAAAAGGAAGTTCAGCAAATTTAACTGAGATAATCCTGAAGACATTAGCCTTTATTAATATGTATTTAGAAAAAAAAACTTGGCTAAATAAGAATTGATTTTTTTTTTTTCTAAGAAAATATAAGGAATTAGTTTTAATTTTCTAGTTGGTTAGTGAGCTTTAGAAGGGATTACATGACAAGAAAGGTGATTAAAATAGGCTATCATACTGCTTATGTCTTCTTCATCCCAATGCTATTAAACATTCATCATTCAGTGAGCCAAAATTGAATTTTCTCGAATTGTTCATGAAAGTATATCTGTGTTATCCACTTTATCATGTCACTTTCAGTCATTCTGAATATGAAATAATGCCACTAATAAATTACAAACCATTTAAAAGCTCTGTTATTTCAAATTGCCTTGCCTTCTCAAAATCTCTTCAGTTCATAATTATAATGCTTTTTCCTCACCATTATCGTTATTCATTGGATATCATCATTTCTTTATCACCTTTAAAATTCTAAACAATTTCTGGGAATTTCATAATTCATCATAAATTGATCGACTTCGAAATTTTTAGTAGGCTAATTTAGAATAAAATTAAAAAGCAATGAAAGAATGAGTATGATATTATTGATATCGAATTTATCAATTTTGTCATAATATTAGAAATTTTCGTTGGAAAATTTGTCTTTAAAAGAATGAAATTGTTAATTCTTAATATTTATTATCAAATATTTTAAATGTGGAATAGTGTACCAAGTGGTCAAACAAATAAAATCCTAAACAATTTTATTTTCTGGACGTTCACTATTCATACTAATGCAGTTTAAATTAACTTGTAAAAAATATTAAACTAATCTAAATATTTATATCTAACACTTATATCTTAGAATTATTTGTGGATTAGCGTATGAAAGAAGAAAAATTGGTGCTATCAGCTGATCGTAATGAAACTGGTACGTTCTTCTTTTTGTTACATTTGAATAACTTCAACGAATACTGAAGCGTACTTATGATCTAATCGTTTTAATCGATAGAAATAATTGTGATTAGAATTTTAGAATCATTATAACGGAATCATTATCCTTCATTAACTCAGATTAAAACAAAAGAGTCTTCAAATTTTAGAGAATTTAAATTTTCAATTCTATTCAAGATTTTGTATTAACTTTAACTTCTATAAAAGAAGCTACAAATCATGTTTAAGGAATTAACCGCACAACAAATCGAAGTACAATTTGGTTCACAGGGAGAGGAATCAGAGGAAAATGAGCATATGGATTGGTTTATTGATCGTCGTGCTGCAAATTATCGAGAACGTCGACGAATGTGTAGTATCAATGTCGCTTTTATGGTAAATGGTTTTTATTTAATTAGCATATTTGTGATGCTAATATGAAAGTTTCATGACAAATCGATTTCAATGGCATATTCCAGTACCTCCGTTTAAATAAAAAAAAAAATAACTTATAAATGAAACAAATCACGCGTACAATTTAATCGGTTGATGTAATAATTTCGCCTAAAACTCACAATTATATGAGGAATAGCAGAATTTATTGCATCAGTATGAAATTTTCAATATTATATGATTAATTAAAAATAATAAAAGAAACTGGTAGTGGCTTTAACCAGTCAGTAGAAAACTTCACTAAAACTTCAGTTGATTTATCACTGAACAAATATTTTTTTTAATAAGAATAGGAAATTGATACTTCTTAACTATTCTAACACTAATATCCCATATCTATGCTAAAAATTGTTATTGAAATAATAGAATGAGTGAAATTATGATACATATATATCATATTGCGCTTCTGTGAAAAAAATAAAATGTCATTTGCAGAAACTTCGACGATATATTCCAACATTTCCATACGAAAAACGTCTATCCAAAATAGATACATTGAATCTAGCAATTGCATATATTTCACTTCTTGAGAATCTACTGAATAGTGATCATCAAAACATGCATGCTTATTTGAAAGAAGCTCTTATAATGGCACGATCCGGAAATCCACAAGCACCACCTTGGAGTACCAGTGGTTTGTTAATTATTTTCTTAATGATTTTTTTGATAAAAGTTTTTAACTAGAAAGAGAAACACAACTCCTATCAATACAAAAAGGAAAAAGCTCAGATCTAACAGCTATGTTTAATAAGATTTAATGTGAATGAATCAGCTAACTTCAAGCTGATTCTTTACAAAGAAATTTTCGTAACAACCTGATAGTTTTTTGAAAAACGTATTTACAAACTTTATTTATAATTTCTTCCACATCGTATCATTCGTTTTGCCTTTTCAAATGATTTATTTAACTTCAATTCAAATATATTACAGATCTCATAGCACGTCTTAGTTGGATTAATTGGAAAAAACTGGGCATTAAACCGATGTGACACTATATATACTTTTAATTTTTTATGCAATGAAAAATAATAATAATGAAAATTTTTTAAATAAACAATGAAAATATTATGGATTACGTGCATTGCCGCCAAATACTTGTTCAACACCCGTCAAAATTGCATTTAAACTGAACGGATCATCTGGATTAGTGCAACGTGATCCGATCAAGGAATCCTGGAAGATCGATTTATGAACATCAAGATGCTAATATTTACAAGAAGAAATTTACCTGCTTATAGCCGCATAAACATTGACAAGTACCAAAGCGACATTCTGAGAAATTTGGACATTGCTTGCTGGTCACACATCTTTCAGTTAGATGTACTCGCCGTACACATTTATCCATGACAGAGACTTCATCGATTCCACAACTTTTCTCGCACGTTGCAAATCGACCATCATTACTCTACAAGAAACTGGTGATCATATCAAATTAAATCACAGCAATGAAAAATGACAGAATGTCTAAGCTGCGTTGTTGCGGCTAATGTCATTACTAATTTACACAAATATGAAAAAAAAAAATGACTAAGCTCTACTATTAGCCTGCACTACAATCAAAACATCTCACCGACAGCATTGTTTTGACAGTACTGTAGAGAACCACAACAATAATCATCATTGTTCAGGAAGCGAGCCTTTTGTTGAACCAGTATTGCTCAGAAAATTCATCAACACCCTAAAAGCACCTTTTCAAACCTACCTCGTTGTAAAAATCTTTGATTTATTGATATTTTTGTGGTACAGAAAGGGATAGCTACAACCTGATTTATTCTTTTCTAAGAAATGTCACAATAAGGCATCCTTTTCCATTCAGTTGGGCATAACTTCATATCTTACTGTCAACGATCGCTTGTAATTATTTTATCCAGAATTTTCAAACAAATCAGTTTTTTTTCACGTATTTTTCATGCCTAAATTTGTCTCGCTGAGTCTTCCTGAATCATTTCAAAGGAATAAACTACGCATTGCATTCACAAATATACAGTAGCAGTAAGAAAAAAAAAACTGTTCCAATGTAACAGTTGATCATCAAGAAAGTAAAGCTTAGTCATTTGGAAGAAAAAAAAAGAAGAATTATAGAAAAAAATCATATTTTGTATTACGCAACAACGACAGCTAAGACACATCGTATCACCCTACTTTCTTATACCTGATTCTTAATACTTATACAATATATATCTTTCCATTTTTGAATGATCCAGAAAGTTATAAGATGTTTCATCCAAAAAATTATACCATCTTTTTGATAACAATTAGAATGAAAAAGAAAGTAGGCAAATGTAGGACATTTTATTTATAAACCAGATTCACAAAAATTATTAAAAATTGAACTTAAGATATTCAAATTAGACTGCCTGTTTACGTACAAAAAATCAGTTCTAAAATTTTTATTAAGCAATTTTTAGGTGGAGATGAATATCAATAAAAATATTCTAGCATGCTATCAACTTCAATATTTATTGTTTGACTTGCACTATTAGATTCGAGTTGTCAAATATTTGAAAGTATCTGGACGAATACTTATTAAATGTAAATTTAAACGGAACTTACAGGATGAAAGCCATCTTTGCACTGACAAAATCCTAAGATACAATGCATAGTTACACCACCTTCACACTGAAATTAGAAATTAGTGTAATAACTAATTATTTTAATCTAAAAGTTTTGCAATGATTATCCAATATTGAATATTATTTAAATTAATATGTAGTCCTCAGACACTCATCATTTGTTGAATTGTTGAAATAAATTTAATTAAATAAGCTAAGGCAAAATTAGCAAACTGATAAAGTGAATGACAAAAAAAGAAAAAAGACCTGTTGATGAAGCTGACAAGGATCCTCTCTATGCGCTATGCTTAAACATTGATTATTAATATAAAGCGGAGTGGGATCACGACATGGTTTAGGACAACATAAACTCGTTTTCCAGCCAGGCTCTGAGATTGTGTAACAATGATGTGTAAGTGGTCGACATCGATGTTTCTCGGAGACGCCCATATCGCATGATTGCCTTAAAATTTGGAAATAGCGGTTCACTTATAGTATAATTAATTGTAATATTCATGGGGATAAACTGAAAATTTTAACTCGATATAAATTTTTTCTTAAATTTGCTAAAAGAAGAATTATGATAAAGAATATAGCACACATTAGATCAGGTTCTCCATAAGGACATTTCAATTTGCAGCAATGTCCGACGTACGGACTGCCGTACACTACGCATCGATAACCCAAAGGACAGCTATCTGTTGATGCAGCATTTTCGAGCATATCAATATCATTGATAAAAAGACGTCGACAAGCTTGCTGAGGTTCTGTTCCATCCGGACATACTGAAGATCTTTGATTGGAAGGAATTACAAGTTCGCTTCAATTTCTTGCACATTTTATATAACTTTAAGCAATGATGATTTCTACCAAATTTCATCTCGAATATATGAAATGATGCATTTTAAATCACTGCACAGTATGAAAAAAGCTAGTTTCAAGTTTTTCTTAACTTTTTTTTTTTTGGAAAACTAATACAAAAGTAATGCTGTGAAATAAAACTTAACATTAGAAGATGTTTGAAATCACTTTCTTATCTTTGATGTTTTCTTGAAGAAAGCTATGGATAGAAATGTTAAATTGCATTAATTAGATGAAATTAAATTTCTTTCAAAATATACACGCAAAACATCGCTGTTTGGTTACATCACGTGTAGTACCGGGCGCACATTGACATACTCCAGCGATACATGCATTGAAGACATCAACACACTGATTGTCCTTTTCGCAACTTTGTCCCCAATGTGCTATTTTCTGACATTCCACTCCGTATAACTGCTGCCCTGATGGGCAAGCTGAAAAGTATATAGCTATAAAACATTCTCCAGCATATGGAATAAAATTTATGCAAGAAAAAAATTTTAGAAATTTAAAATTTATACATGGAAAAGCTTACATACAACACATTTTCCGTTTATAATACTCCCACCCCAACATTCACATTTCCCATCTCGACAAAGAAGCGGTGGTTTGCAATCTCGCTGACAGCTGTCACCAATTTTATTCGGTGCTGAACAAAATTGTGATCTTCAAATGCTAAGAACTATCAAAAATATTAAATAATAAATGAACTGGAGAATTTAGTGATCAAAAATTTGTAAAACCACCAAAAAGTTTTGATAAGAATGTTTAATTTGAAAAAAAAAAAAAAGTGAGACAGAAATTTTTTATATTAATTATATCAACCAAAGAAAATTTTCATAAATTACTTAATCATAAATCATTTTAATGTCACATTCGAGTGAAAATTTAAAAAAAAAAAAGTCAATGGTACCTAATCTACATATAGTCGTCTGTCCATCAATATCAAATTCCTCGAAATTTGTTGGACATGTACATCGCTGTTCCCGGCAAACACTATTCATACCATAACAATCTTCATCAAATAAGCACTTACTACCAATCAATTTCTCTATAATCGGTATCATTACAACACCAGTCTAATTAATATCCAATCTCTGAAATTCTCCCTGTGATATCTTAAAACGTTAGCATATTAAATATTATTACTACTATCATTTCTACTTATTAAAGTTATCCGGAAATATTTTCCCATAACTGAAAAGGGATGATATAATGAAAAGCTATACGTGAATTAATGAATTTCGTCATAATAACTTACGTGTGCAAGGTACATCAAAACCATGGGAAAGTTTGGTAAAGTGAAGTAAGGCTGTTGTGATGACACTCAAATAGTACGTCGCCATTTACATTCAATGGAATTATTCGTTTCGATAATACATGTGCATGTATCTGTATATGTGTATGCATATATGTATGTGTATGTATGTGTGTGTATGTGTGTGTGTGTGTGTGTGTCTGTTTGAGATGAAGAATGTATTACATCTTTAGGGAGATCTGGGTCGGTGAGCGACCATCAATGTGACAAGTTTTTCTTCTATATACATCGATAACCAAATACCTGGAAGGTATACACACGCGCACACAGAGCAAGCTGATCCATGATTGTTGTATTGTTTCAAGCTATGTTATTAATAAGAAAAACTGAAATTGATAATTTTCGAGGCATTTTAAGCACAGTAATGAAAAGGTAAAATTTTAGAAGACAATTCAATAAATAATAAAAATTGGTGAGCATTATTGATAGAATTCGATTTTTTTGAAATATTCGAAATATTCGTCTCTTGCGTAAATGAAAAAAAAAAAAAAAAAAGACTAACCAATCTTTTACCAATAATTTTTACATTTTTATTTCAAAAACATTTCATCTAAGCTTGCTTATCTTCAATAACTTAAGCGATGATAAATATTTTCTGCTCAACAGTGAATTATGATGGATAGTATAGCTATAAGTTAAATGATTTTATTGCTAAATGAATAATTGAATTATTCTGGCATGTTGAAATTATTATGAAACTTGCTAAGATGAAACATAGAATCTAGTATCTTGATTCATCCTAAACGAGTCCTAACCTGTATTTTTTTTCCAGTTGACACTGTTATTGTTGTTGGATAGTTATAGTGTATAATTTAAATGATTTTATTGCTAATAATACTTTCTAATAAACACTGATCTGTTTCAAAAATGAAAGTGGTTTTTATTACTGTCAAGACATCTGCATAAATTAACATGAAATATCATAAGAACACAAGCTTCATTTATTTTTAATAATTAAAAAAAAAAAAATAATGTTGTCTTCTTTTCATTTTTTGAAAACGTTGATTTTCTGTAATAAATGGTTAAAGAAAAAAGCAAATAATCTATCCATTTATAACACATCTTTCAAGTATTACCTAAAAGACAACCAGATTTTTTTAAAGGACAAAAAATAAATACAACAAATTTCTGTTTAACGTATCTTTGCTATGAGTAACCATTTATTAGTAATTCAAGCTGACATGTAATATTAAATTATCAGTCATATGCAGTTTTGAGAATAAATAAATTTCTGTATTTCGGCTCTAATAATAAACAGACAACAGTAACTATCATAAAAATATTTTTTACTGTTTAGAAATAATTTATTAAAAGCTATTCTAACTTGTATAAATATAAGATTTTTTCTCTACTGTTACTTCAACTTAAAAAATAGACACTTATCAATTATCATCCCTAGCATCCAAATAAATGAGCTATACTATTTCTCCTTCCCTTTATATGCATCATAATCACAAAAAAATTATGAAGATTAGCAAAACGATAAAATAATTGAATCCAAATATTATTTGAATTTTTTTTTTTAAAACGAATTTTATATCATATGCAATTGTTGATATAATGATGGAAATGTTGAACCAGTTTTACTTAAAAAGAAAGAATGAAACAATGGAAAGAACAGTGGTAGGCAGCAAATTAACTAAACCTCAGAAATAGGAAGAAAATCAAAAAGAAAAAAGACGAAAAACGATATATTGCTATTAATCAAATTTTGCTCAATTCAATTTTTCATTATCGCAACTCGATTTGAATATATGTTGTGCATTTGTCTTTCTCGGTGTAATTTTCCTATCAAAATTTTCCAAAATTTTGCCAGAATTGGTTGAAAAAGATAGAATTATATACTTTAAAAAGAAGTAAAAAAAAAATAGTTATTTCCTCTTTCCTGGTATATTTCATCAGATAAAATTCGAAGTTTTTATCAGTTTTTTAGGTATTTTTAAAATTTCATGAAAAATTAAACAATAATAAATTGTTTGCAAGTAAATCCTTTAAAGAATTCAATAAATAACAGCAAGATCAGCACCTGCTAAATGCTATTGATCACATAACATTGGACAGGATCATGGAGGGAGTGTTACTGAGGAAAGTGATAAGTGAATGGAAGAAATGCTCCGAGTCTAACGTTAACGATGCAGAATTATGATACGTATGCGTGAGCTTGAAATTCAAACGCTTTCGCATCTGTATCCTTCGATAGATTCGCAACGGAGGCTCGGAGCCACATGATTAATAAGACATAAATATGAGGAGTATACTGTATGATAACTTCATAAGGAGTATAACTGTGTGATAACTGTCTCTTCCCAAAGAAAAAAAAATTGAATGCTATTTTTCCACATAAAAATTTTGCTAATTTCATTAATATTCATTATTTTTGAACTTGAATAAGACACATAGAAGTGATAACTTAATCCAAGAATTTATTTAACAAAAAAAATTTTTCTTTTTTGGAATAATGAAAAGTTGCCTTGCTACACATCATGCATTTTCCCTTCCTTATTATCACAGTATTTATTCCAAAGAGTTTTAGCAAGTTCATAACACGGTAACTCCCCTGCATGTGTTGCAACCATACGTAATAAGAAAACACCATCTTGTCTAAGAAAATGAAATACGAAACGTCGCAGTGATTGACTGTCTACCATTTTGTAACCTTCAATGCCTGTCAGATACTTTCCAACAAAATTCAATTGCCTGTAATTGATATCTAATAAATGCTAGTTAATAGTTGGGAAATTACTGCTGAGAATGATGATCAAGTAGAGTTCAAAAACGAAAGTATTTAAATACTTCTAATAAGCTGAATGAAGTTGGCTGACTAAATGAAATATAACAGATTAAACATGACAGCATTATAATATGAGTCTAGATAGAATAACTTGAATATTTATGTCAATTTTCCAATTGTATTTCAAATATCATTTAGATTGTCTCTAAAACGTTTTCATGAAAAAGCTTCTTGTTTTGTTTCAGTTGCTGAAGGTACTATGATTGAATATAGAAGTCTAACTATTTTGATGAAGCTTAAATAAACAAGATATACTAATCAAAAAACAAGGAGAAGTCTAGTAAATGGCATTTGTAATTTATTAAAAAGTTGGTTTAGTTAATATAAAATATTTGAGGGACAGAGAAAAAAAAAAAAAAAAATGAACCTGCTAGGGACAATGGAAATATATATCCAATACAAAAGAGAACAAACTGTAGCACCAGCTAGCAAGAAATACCAAAACCATAGAAAGAGGAATATTTTCTCGTTGAACATATTGATCATGAGAACGCATTGTACGGTATGTCGATGAACATTGCCAAGTACCTACAAAAAAAAGTGAAAAATTTAAAAAAAATGTGAATTGAAAAGAAAAGAACTGAATAATTTCAATGTGATACAATCGAATAAAATCAATTTAAATTGAGTTCAATTAAAATTCATTGATTTTTCGACATGTATTTAACTACTGCATAAAACTTGCTAAATAACAAAAAGGAACAAAGCAAAAAAGCATCATCTTTTCAAATAATGACATCATCCGTTCCTAATGAAAAAGCATTTTTTTGTTCCAGTTGTTGAAGATGATATGATTAGATATCGAAGTTAGGAACAAAGATTATTACATGTAGCTGAGAGGTTCGCATAGATATTACGCGAACTTATATTGATAAGATTGTTTTTAAGTTAATAAATAGGCGAATCAAATCAATGTATTGTATAATTACATACTTCCAACTTTATATGCTTCCATTTAACCTAATGTATAAAATAGAAATATTTTGCATATAATTATGCACATAAATATCCCACAAAAAGTAAATACTTACTTTCACTTCAAAATCGCACAATGTCACACGTGGAAAATGACCAGATTCTTCCCATTCTCGTCCATTCATCAAATCATTCAACACCTGTCAAATGAATCTTATTATTGTTATGAATCATTATTTTTTCTTATTATTCTCATGATTAATAATCTTTCATTAACTTGTTAAACATCACAGTTAGGTGAACTTCACTGCAATTATTTTTCCTATTCTTTTATAATTACTGAAGTTATTCGTAATGATTCTTAGCTTGGATATTTATAATATTTACAAAGGTAGCGCTAAGACTTGACATTTCAAATATTCAGTGTTTCGTATGTATAGGCAATCTTAAATTTTCAGAAATTATAATTTTGAAAAAGAAAGAACGATGATTTAACTTATCCATCTTCCAATATGCAAAAGTATTTTCTTTTAAAAAAGAGGGAAATTTCTTGCAAATTTCTATGGTTTGATAATTACTCGTCATAGTTATGCTCATTAGCAAAAAAAAAAAAAAAACGATGAAACGAATTTAAGTGGCGAAAACTTATAAATCAGCATACATTTAACAGTGTGTGTTTTAAAGTATTTAAACAGCTCTGAAATTTGTCGAAAAGAATGCATATTTCGAAAGCCAACCTGTAATCCATACCATTTGCTACGATTGCCCAAAAATGTATTGAGCAAGAAAATTTGTCCGACGATATTTACCGTGTAAAGGATTTTCACCGAAATGTACAAAAATGTTACAGCGGCGCCACTGCTACGGGTACAAATAATCAAATTTAATAATTTCAATCGATTTCCACCCATCTGAAAGGAACTTGTTAGGTTCAGAATGCAAAAGTATAAGCAGTTCTCGTTCCTTCGAACAATATAAAGCTGTTAAAAATCAAAAGCATTATGCCAGCATCATTTCAAAGATGTGTTTAAGAAATCAAATTTAAAGCAATCATAAATAACAAGTGATACATACATGAAAATTTTGACAATTTTTAGCAAACTGAAATAATAACTTAATAAGTTGATGAAGTAAACGAACCACTTGATGTTTCACATGAAGTGCCTCCTCGACGTTTGTAGCAATCGTTTGCAAGGCTTTATTTCTGGAATCCAAATCCAACAATCGTGAATCGCATGCCATTTGCACCAATGATTGCACATGGATGCCTGAAAATTAATTTAGCAAACGAAAAACGAGCAAATTGAATATGCAAAATGAAAAATGAGGAATTCAGAAGCATTCATTAGATGGAAAATCAAAATTCGGGAAATAATTTTTTGCGTTATCTTGTTTGCTCTTCAAAAGCATAAAAATTGTCATACGGTAGGAGTGAAAAATTATTGTAATTCTCATGATTTTGAATAAGAAAAATTTGTGCAAATTTAGATATTAAGTAATGCTAATTAAAATGAAAATGTAATTTAGCACAAATGCTATCACCTAATAAGCAATAAATGTATCAATTGTAGAATGAATAATTAGTGTGAAATAAACCTGATTGCCAATTAAGTAGCCTCCAAACGATTGTAGGTACATAGAAAAGGAGTGCTTCCAAAGCAAGTACAAATGGTACCCATTGGTAATATCCAATTTGCCTATTTTCTCGTTCAGCATAATTATGAGGAATATAATCGTGCAAGGGTAAAAAATATGTATTTTGTACCCAACAATAATTTTCTGTATACTGTTCCATTGGTTCTGTAAACGTTGCAGGTACCCAGCACTGTATCGGGAAACCTAGATAAGTTAAGAAATGATTAACGATTATTTATAGTAATCATTTTTAATAGTTATGGCATTATTCCTATGATATTAAAATAGAAATAATCTTTAATGCAGAAATGACACATATCATATACGGAATACAAATTGAAAGATAAGGAATGGAGAATTTGAAAGTAATAAATCATTACTAAGTATTACTTACTATCAAACATATCAAATGTAAATTGAGAAAGAGTAACTTACCAACATACTGCTTCGCAGATACAAGAATAGCGAACACTAAAATGTATATACAATAATTCAATGATGTAAAGAAAGATCAGTTCAATTTTTTAACCTCATATTTATCTATTTTTCATAATATTTGTAAGTTATAAAGCTATTTATGATATTTATTAAGCACAGAGCTATTTCTATTTCTGTGTAACTAAACATTTTTTTTTTTTTTTCAACTCTTCAATAACCTCATTTGGATTATTTGATACTTTACTATAAAATATAGTAAATTTCAGTAATTAGATTTTTGAAATAATGAAAAAAAAAAATTAAAATAGCGTAATTAAAAGATTATCTCATTAAAGATTATTTCATTTATCAAATTTTAGAAAAATTCAAATTTAAAATTTTATCTCATATTTATTTATATTAAAACGAATGTTAACTGCGCATTGATATAATTTCAGTACTTCACTTTTTGCTTGTTTTCCATTCAGTTCTAGTAAACAATAATTTCAAGCATAACTTATAGACTTGTTCACTCGTACTGTAAAAAAGAATTGGAGGGGGTGAGATAAAAAGGACATAATTAGTTCGTTTTAATGATTTCTTTTTTATCTATGAAAAAAAGTGACTACTTTCACTTGAAATGCTTCCACTGATTGCTTCACACTCGCACTATTCAATTCATTTGTTAATACTATGCTGTATATAACACCAATTGTTTTGCCTTAACATTCTCATTATTCATAATGAAAAGAAAAATATCAGTGCATACTTCATTTTATTCTTTTTCTCTCTTTTTTACTTTGAAATATTTCTTTAAGTGTTTAATTTTCTACCAGTCGTTTTATAATCTTGAATACATTTTAAATTAAGTTAAAATTGAAAAGCTTTAAAAGGAAAAATTAGAAGAAAAGAATTATGAGATGCTAATAATTAAAGAAAAGCATAAGTTTGAATTGCAAAAAAAAAAAAAAAAAAAAAGAAATAAAAAAGGAATCTTAAAAACTTTTATTTGAAAGCTATGAAAAAGTGGCTTAAAAATGTTGAGGATCATTAATTAATAATTAGAAGAGGTGGTTATATAATTCAAGTAAATATCGTTAAACTTAATGCACACTACTACTGTTACATTTTAAGTTAAGTTAGAATCGAAAGGCTTTAAAAGGGAAAATAGAGGAAAACAATTATGAGATGCTAATAAAAAAGCTAATGCCTATTCTAAGCATATATTTTAACCTGCTACTACATTGACTACAATCGGATATCCATCATACATATGCATATATACCTACCATACATATATTTTATGTTAATACAAAATAACTAATATGAATAATAAATTACCAGTAATGATTGAAGTGGTATAGTAGTAGTTGAGTTTATCGATAATATCATCGTCCACATGAAATTGTATTGATTTAACAGCACTAGCAAAATAATACAATAGCATCGCCTCTTTACAATCCACCAATCCACAACTGTCCGCTATTCTTTATCTTCTTATCACACCATTTTTGCTCAAATGATCCAAAATCTTTTAATTCTGAAGGGAATGAAACATATTACAAAAACAAGGAAATTGGAAGAAAAAAAGGTCTGATCGATTAATCAATCTTCAATCCTTAGACACAGAAATATTCTACAATTATAAGTTAAATTTCAGTTAAATTCATCGTTTTAAAATAATCAACGATTGATATGCTAATTTTGAATGAATTTACAAGATTTTGATGAGTTTGAATATAGTATAAGAATAATTATAACCTATTTTTGTATCACTGATCGTTTTGGGACAATGATTCCAGTATGAATTTGCAAGATTCTGATGAATTCGAGTATATGATGAAAATAGTCATAACCTATTTTCAAGATAATGCTTCTTCGGATTGTTGTATTGCTATTTACCCAACAGAGATGCAATATGACGGTGTTGTGAAATTCGTGTTACTAAAATTATTCACAGTAAAGTAAAAGACACCAGTAAAGAATACGCTCTTTTCGATTAAATTACATTTTAAAATATCATTTAACATCTTACCCGTTACACATTATAACATTTCAGATATTAGAATGCTTCGGAAGTGATTGCAAATATTGCCTTTTTCCTTTTCGCCTTTATCTTAATTTAATGCCAAAGAACCAATTGTTCTTGTCCTAATGTTTAGTATTACTTACTGAGACGTTTAAAACCAATTTGATTCATTATTGCCTGGTGATAAAATTGAATGCTTTCTTTAACACATGGTGAAACATTAAATCTGCTGCAAATTCGGGGAAAAAAAAAGCATAAAGTTGCACATGAATTTCAGTTAATATTATCGATTTTTCAAAGAGAAAGAGGCTTGTCATATTAATGGACCACTGGGAAACCATTTGAAAATTTTGCTTAAAATTTTGAGTAAGATTTTAATGGCAGAAAAGAAAAATTGGTGTGAGAACATTTGCAATATATTTGTGAATAATTGAATTGGTGATGAATCTCATTTGATTGATAGTGATGATGAAGAGGATTTGAGGAGTGAAATGATGTTAAGACTAAAAGATGAGAGGATGATACATATCAGTGATTTGATATCTCAGTGCAAAATGTGTATTTCGATTATATAAGCAATTACAGGATAACCTGATTTATGTATGCAACACCATTAAGCATGTTTAATCGCTTTGCACACCTTTTTTTTCAATGTAACAAATATTCTATCTCGGAAATATATCCACGGTGCAATTTATCTTGAATGCTATAGATGTGTTTTCATTTTATCATTTGTCAATTTTCAAAACTGATAACGAAATTATTAAGAATACAGAAATATGGAGGATATCAAGGAAAATAAAGAAAAAAAAATTATGGATATATGAAACGATCTGATCACTGCTATGTGTTTATACAATTTTAAAAAAAAGATTGTTAATTCTTTTTGAATTCAAAATGAATAAATGGCGCTTAAAAGTATGGTGGTGAGTAAGATACACTGTCTCCTATCAATTATCCCTTGTCCTCCATTTTCTGACCATTAATTAGATAGGTAACATTTCCAAAATCACGGTTATTTGTAGCAACCAGTTGTTATAACTTTCGATGCACCACTATCAGTCCAATATTTCATAACTAATAATACATAATTTATAAACTCTTACAACTGCTAACTGTTACAGCTAACTGAAATCCTTTTCTTTTTTCTTGAACTCACTTATATTTATGCTAATCTTTATAATTTTATTTTGTTCACTGTTCATTTTATCATATTTGATTTGCTATATTTGAAGTCAGTTAAGCTATCCCTAATTAACAATTCATAATTACTATTATTGAAAATGGAAGTAACAGGATAGTTTGCATTGTTTGGGCTTAAACTAAATAACTGTCTTCTTGTAGTATTCTTCGATTTTTTAAGGAACATTTCATGCCAAACTGATCCTTGTTTAATTATTGCTCAGTGTCTACTTCATTTTATAGAGATTGTGCAATGCATTCTTGTTATATTGACTTAAACTATCTCATTAATTCTTTTTAATCTCTGCAAGATAATAATACATTTAAAGTTCTGAAAACTAGAATGAAAAAGTGAATATATGTTATATAAGGAATGATTCCACCCTGTATGTTCTTGGCATTTCAAGGCAAGCTATTTAGCCAGAGTACTACTTAACCAGGCCCCATATTCATTCAAACGATTTTCATATCATGTATTGAAGTAAATATTGGTTTATTAAAACCAATATTTTCGCATTTTGCATTGAAGCACTTTTTTTTCCTTCCAACTTCGAAATTTTCGAGTGGTTAAAATAGAGAAATGAGTTTGAGAAGAGGTAGCCAAAGTAAAACTATTTGATTGTTTTTACTGAAGTTGAAAATAAGTGTAGAAAGGAAAACGAAGCATGATATCAAAATAATAGTAAAATATTAATAAGGAAACTGAAATGGATGATGATAGGGAAATGCAATATCATCAAGCAAATGTAAATGAATTAACGAAATGGTTGGACGAATAAGAGACATGCACTTTTGAAAACGAAAGTTAAAAAAAAAAAAAAAAAAACTAATATTTGTCCTGTAGAAACAGTAAAAAGTTGGGTAAACGAGAGAAATTAAAAAAGGAAGAAGTAATTAGCTAGCCTTGATGCAAGAACGAATGATGATAAGGATGAGCTACAAAGGACTACGCTAGAAGGACGAAGTAGAAGAACGAACAACATACAAATAACTGGCCTAGTGATTTTGAAAATGGGCTGAAGGCCTCTATTCACACAAGATCGATCTGACGTATTAGATGCTGTTGTTGCTGCTTTGGCTTCAATCTATACATACCATCGAGTTACGTCTATTCTTCATATCTCCTTCTCCGTCTCCTCTTCCTCCTCCTTTTCCGCAAACTTTCCTTTCCATTCTGTTATAGCTTTACCGCATTTCAATTCACAACTCTCTCACCTACCCCATTTCTGCTTCAATCTTCAAGAAAGCATTGTTTAGACTAGTAGCCAATAGCATCCATTTCATTCTCACCATCTAATGGTCCCTATCAGCTGCTTCATTAGTTACGCTGGATATTTGAGGTGTGTTCCATTTAGTAAGATTCTTCTGGCGAACTCCGACTAACATCTGCCCTTTTTCAAACTATTCCACATCCCACATTCGCTTGTCCCTAGATGACTGACTGACTGACTAATACACACACACACACATTATATATACATAGTTTTATATATAAAGTTATATATATATATATATATATATATATATATATACATATAAAGTTTTATATAATATATATACACGTATATTTATGTATATATAGAAATAGATATAAAACAAACAGTGAGTCAGTCACCTAACATGTTATATTAGGAATATAAATAATTCCTCTTAACGCATTTCATTTATTATTTATTTATTCATTTAGGCAGTCACAAGTGAATGTGCCTTAAAGCATCAAATGGATTCTCGTTAAGAGCACTTTAACAATTGCTGATGCAGTCGCGATACCGCTTCCGCCTCTAACACTCTCCCGTATTTTGGTGCAACGGCGATAGCGGTAGAAGCGGAAGAGCCTCATACGACATCCTCACAATGAATTGCAAACTGGTGAACTGGTATTCTTTGCACTGATAGCCAAGAAATAAATAATATATGGCTTATTTCGAGCATCACACTATAAAGTATTGTCGATTTACTTCATCACGCTATGATTTAATGATTTTTCAATTTTACTCCTTTGATTAGCTAAAAAAAAAAAAAAAAAAAACATTGAGAGATATGTTTGAAGAAATTTTGCATATAAAATTGTCCTTGATTGTGATGGCAAGTCATGCGGCATTCATGCTTGTTAGATTAGATTTAATAATGATTCGTTTCATCTAGTGATATTGTCAACAAACTAACCAATACCTTCATTATTATACTGAATCAATTAATAAGACTGTCATGTTTGTAAATTAGAGTGCCACAACTAATAAAGGAGATTTCAACGTGCTACAGTAATTTCTTGTGAAATGCTATTAATTTATTAAATTTGATCAAATAACATCAAAAAGAAAATTGCTACAAGAGAATAGGAGTGAAATACTGAAAACTTTACTTATACATTAAGTATTCATATTAATGAAACCTAACGCATTACGAATTGCATTGATAGTACAAATTGCTTCCAATTAACTCTTCAGTTCATTATATCATAAAAAGGCGTTAAATTTGAAATGGAAAAAATAGACGACCATGATGACTCCTAATGTTTCCTAAAGGAAGTTTGTCACAGCGATGTTTTTTTTCTTTTCTGACCATAACTTGCTTTCAAGAATTCATGGAAGGTTTTTGTAACCTGTTTACTATCTTCAAGTTCAATTACATATTCATGTAACTATATTGCTACAGTGACATATACTGTCTATGTGGATGTTAATAAAGGAATAAGTTGAAATCCGTAATATTGTATGATGACGATTTTGTTGACTATTTTTTTTTGTTGATCCGTTTAATGTTTAATGCTACAAATCAGTGAACGAAAAACGTCATATCCATTTGATTGACTGAGTTGATATTCGCTACAGTGAAATAAATATCATACTTTCTTAGCAAATGTTCAAATCTCTTGAAATAAGTCGATTTCTTTCTCCGTATAGCTAACATTACGCCAGATAAAAATAATATGTTAATTACCAATTACCTTTTAAATTCGAATTTTATGCCATATTTTATTTCAACTCACATTTTTTTTGTTTTTTTTAAGTACATAGCTTTGTTATATATTTGATGAGTGGAGGCAAATTTTCCCTCGGATAAATCGTTTTAAGAAAAATCTGTAACTTTAGCATTTCTAACACAAATCGTTGCAATTAATTGGCCACACTCAATTTTTCTTTTTAAAATGTTAACCAACCGAATGTGATACCTTTCATTTTAACATGGCAAGTCGACATGATCAGAAATTAATTTATTCAAAGAGAAATAGCTTGTAGGAACTAAAGAGGAATAGCTTCTATAAGATAAATAAAATATTAATTAAAATACACAATATACACAAGAAAAGCGTAAACCGAATATTGAAATAATGAAAAAGCACAACAAAACTGTTCTAAATAACTCAGATTTGCAACTTAATTTATCATTTCAATAAAAAACTCATAGTGTAACATTTGATGCTTTTCTATAGTTTAATTTTAGTTTAATAGAAATCGATAAGCAGATAAAGATAATCACATCTGGAAAATAAACTTTTTCAATCTCTATGATCACTTTGCGCAGTCTTTATTAAGCTAGCTGTTGAATGGTGTTCAAACGGTGGGGATCCATTAACTCACCATTACAACGGCATCAATATCGAGAAACCAATCGTGAATTGTTCTGTTGAAGTTGCACTTCTAACGTAAATAAAAAATAAAACTGTGCTGTTGATGAGTCATACAGTTGTCCTCTCACTTATTTTCTCTTCCGCTTGCTTATTTTGTTTAGTTTTTTTTTTTTTTTTTTTTTTTTTTCTGCCAATCTAAAAAAAATGCCTAATATCCATAATTTCAACTCATAAGTATATATTGTAATGAACAGTCAATATGTTACAAAAAACGTTCAATGTTGATTGAATAATAATTTTTTTTTTTGCCTCCTTAATAAGTTAAACAGGAATTTTAATTTTGTCAGTTAATGCTTGTGATATTTTGCTCACTCGAATGAATCTATTTTTTCACCTAGTAATACAGTTTGACTTGTGAATTTTTTAATTCATTTATGAAGAAATCAATTGACTATTTAATTTCAGAATGATAGACAGTAAGTGAAATTTTAAGAATTGTTGCAGTTGGGGGAAAAAAAAGGATAAATAAAATGAAAATTAATGAAATAAAAATTGTGCCGTACAAATGAATCATAGGCCAATCAATATGGGAATATTTTTACATTAAGCGGATTAAGTATCATCACGAATGATGTTTTTTCCTTCTTTTTTTTTTTTTGTATTTTTGTTTTTGTTTTTTTTTTTTTTTTTTTTTTTTTTGCTATTATATAAAATATTTTTCTTTAGATAAGAAATTGAAACATTATTAAAAAGAAAACATGAAAACTCGTAATTTCCTTCTAGTATATTTGGCCATGATTATCCGTCCAAATGAATCATTATTGTCTAGCCAAGCTAAGTCCCTGCCGCTTATTCTCATGACATTTTTGTTTTCTTGCGCTTTTTTATTTTTATTTATATGATTGATTAATGTCAAAATTTTGAATTGCTTTTCAAAATAATCAAAAGTAACAATAACAAATAACAAAGAAATACTATGATGTAGCATGACATTTTCTGGCTGTATAACGATGCATGGATTCTAGGCAAGTTTTTAAAAATGCAAAGACTTAGCTAATTGTAGCAGGACACATACACACATACATACAAACAAACACAAACGCAATTAAAGCAATGTATTAAAACATATGGACAAATGCGACATTTGGATGTTTTGTCATAGCTTTAGTTTTCCTATATAGCAAGCAGATATTCCAAAAAGAAAAGACTAAAGCTGTTGAAGAACGAATATTAATGTGAAGTTATTATGATGAAAAAGACAAGAAGGAATATCGAATATCTGCCGGGTATTTTGAACGGAATTACAGAAGAATTGCAATTTGAATTTTAATTCTGAGAATTTTAACTTTGGAAAAAGTTTAAAGCTTTGTGAAACGGATAAATTTTCGTGGGCTGAATATGCCTTTTTTTAAATGTTTCTTTTTTCGTCATTTTTGCATAAGTTGAGGGATTATAAAAAATGAATGAGCAATAAGTGGCATTATTGTTTTAATTTATTATATAGTGCCTTGGTTTGAAAACAAAAAAAAAGTTGATGAAATGGGTGGGCTATTTGATAGATGACAAGGAAGAACTTTATGCCAAGGTTAATTGGATGAATGATACCCGAAAGGGAAGGTAGCCGATATGTTGAGCATTGTACCTAGCCAAGGTGTTGTCCCGTAACCGTAGCAGCACCTTAGCCGAAGTACAAAGCTTCACAAAGGGCCTAGCTATGGGTCGTAATCAATCTCGACAACTACCACAACTAAGCAGGTGAACATTCTTCTTGGGAAGCGTTCCACCAGAAAATGAATCATCATTCAGTTGTAAACCCACTCTTTTATAGATGCGATCTGTGACCCGGCGGGAGAGCGGACAGCAAACGGGGGAGGGGGGGGGGAAGGAGAGGGGGGAGGGGGGTCTCTCCGTCTATTGTTCTCTGTACGTCTGGGCGTCTATTTCTGCATTTCTATAAGTGAATGAGCGTTACCCACGGGAAGATACCCGATGTTACCCGTAATGTCAACAATATCCAGGTTTAACGCATACATATATGTATATATAACATATTCATCCTAAATGACAAATATTTCGTCATCTCTACTGAAAGGAAGGCCTAAGCAATGCCTGTGCAATGAATGCCTGTTTTGAAAGAAAAATTCGTCTTCCCCCCTCAATGAGTCATCTTTTCCTCTCCATTTTGTTTAAACGTGACTGTGAAGCATCATCAACATCTGCAATTCTCCCTGTTGCCGTTCGTGTCACTCTCCTCGATTATTGCATGCATGCAGTGAGGTGACGTGTTTCACGAATCCTACCTGGTACTCACACTCCCTTTGCACCAAAGAGTGCATGCTAACAGAAGAACATCAACGAAATAGTATGAGGAAATAAATATATGCGCTATTGGTTATGCAATGCAAAAGTTAGTTTTGATTATCATCGTAGGGATTTATGATGATAGCTACAATTGATGTCGTATTGATTAGATTCAATTCATTTTTGATGAAACTTAATTAGAAACTTTCATCTAGTTATTTTTAAGGCTTTACATTTAAGTTCAAAAGCTCTGCCAATTCAAATAAAAGTGGAGAATGAGAAAAATTGTTTTTATATCGCTAAACGTCGCAATATACATAATGAAATTAAAAAAAAAAGAAATTCAAATTTTTGAATAAGTCGTATTCCTCCGTATCTGATCAAATATTTGTATCGATTACAGATTTAGATAGAATATGTTATGTCCATAGAATGCGTTCACTTTAACTACTTGCTCTGAATTGCCTACTAGATTGGTTATAAAACTATCGTGACGTACTTAATTTAATTTAATTTAATTAAAACTCTTTTAACCATATGATTAAAAACTTTAATTTCCAGTGGAATGGAAGAGGACAATTTGTTCAAAGACCTTCAATTAAATAATTTTGCTAACGGTGCAAATCCTTTTAGAAAGGGAAGTCGGCCGATGTTTTGAGGGTTTGGAAAATCACGTAGTTACAGAAGTTCGATATCCGTATTGGGAATTTGAAAATATTTTTTTCTCAGTTTCAAGTTTATTTTGATTTTTTTTTTTTTTTTTTTGAAGTTTATTTTGAAAACATAGATTTTTTTTCTTGAAGTGATTTCAAGCAGAGAAACAAGAATTTAAAATATGCTTCTACGCTAAAAGCAAAATTTTGAAGAAAAGAAGAAAGTTCTAAATATTTTGCAACTCATTTCTAGTAATTCTTTAAACTGATTTTTAAATGTTAATTTTTGAGATGGTCTACTAAGTATATTTAAAGAACTGTTCTCAGCAACAACCTTGAAATTCAATTACTGAGTTCGATAGTTGGAAAGCTTTCCGGAACAAATCTTTTTGAATGAAGTGCTTTCCTTCTTCCTGATTAGATTTAAAACTGGAATGAAACAAAATTCAGAAAGAAATAATTTTTTGAACAACCGAACTAACGGAATCCTTTGGTTGTACTGTTGACCTAAGTGTACCCGTAATGAATTGTATTTCGCTCCATATGACCATTGTTCATTGCATGATATTATTCATAAACAGAGAAGTGATATTGTTAGTAACTAATTGTTAAATTCAGTGAAATATTTTGTTCTGAGACAGAACTAATATCTGATAGAAATTGATTGCTCTTAGAATTAGCATTTCTATTGAAAAATATTTCGCCATGATGAAAAATTTTTAGTGATTTGACAACGAAATGACGCAACAGGATATTTCACCCCGAATTTCAAAGATATTAGCCATATAGTCTCAAATTATCTACATCCTAATTAGTTTGTGGAGACATTAAGGATTCGCATTAAACTTCAAAAATATGTGAAGCTATATTCATCCTCGGAATTGAATCCGGTTCTGGTGATAAAGTATTTCTGTTCTTTATTGATTGCTTTTGAATATTGAATTCAAGCATTGTGTAGTCAATAAAAATAAATTTTGCATACAACTTTTGGCATACATATCCGAATAAATTTTTTGATTGTATTAAACTAATATGTATTACTAATGACAAGAAACCATTCTTTGGATCTATCAAGTAAATAAACTATCGGTATACGAAATTGAAATTCGATATAAAATAACGAACATAAAGTTCTGCCGAATAGAAAAGAACTTTACTTTTAACAGACATGTGTTTGGATAAGAATTATTTTTTTTTTTTTTTTTTTTTTTTTTTGCAAGAAAAAAAGAAATCGGCAATTTCAGCTTCTTTGATAAAAACTACCAAATATTCACAAAGAGAAATAAGTTGTTTGATGAGACTTAGCAAATAGTTGATAAAATGATAAATTAAATACGAAAACGTTTCATCCAAATATCGTTTTTCATAGATTAAAATTTCACAGCACATTTGAGATTAAAAAAGTAACGAAACGAGTGTCGCATGTTAAGTATTGTTACCTTTACTAACAACGAAATTTCTCAAAAAGTTGGTATTATCATCTGCAAGATTTAGAAGTTGTATGATGAATTAAAGCTTATGTGATACACAATTACAAATTGTGATAAGTAAGAGTTAGATATTGTAATTCCTAATTTCTCCTATGACACACTATTACATTGTGATAATCATAGTATTAATAAGGCAAGACAATTTCTTCAAAATCGGTAGTTTTACAAATGTTTCAAAATGTGGCGTCATCGACCAGTTTTCTCAACTCCACACTTATATTTTCATTTCATATGCATTCGTGTTTTTCACTATTTTTTCAATACAATTTTGTCAGTGATGTTAATTCATCTATAAACCATTTATTTGTTTTCCAACATTATTTCTCTCTTATCAATTATTGTTTATCTCGTAACATTTTACATCCTTAAAAAAAGAAAAATGAAATCATGCACCATTTTTGGAAAGAGAGAAATACTCAATGACCGATTAATTGGCATTCTTCGAAAAAGAATTCCAGAAATCAGATATCAGTACTATCACTAATGCCTCATAAAATTTCTCATTGTTCAAGCTCACTCATTTATATGGTATTACAGTAGAAAACTTGATAGTCAAATCATCTCTATCAAAGATCATAAGGATGCATTGTGTTTTAGCTAGCTTGAAATCTCCTTCTTTCTTAAATTTGAGATTTAATTCCAAGATTAAAAATGATAAAATTACAAGTCAGTTCATTCCTTAATTATCTACACGTTAATTATTTGCATATGAACCCCTTACTAAAGTACTAGGTTACTCATCACTGAACTACTGGTATCATAAATAACAATCTTATTCTCGGGATTTTTTTAACAATTTCTTCATTCAAATGCTTAAAGTTATAATAGATTTTATCTTAGTCTGTATGATCATAAAAACACAAAGAATTCTCTACACTTATAAGATATATAACATATAAATATAAGATACATAAATGTGGAGCTTTTCCCACTCTCCTGATTATGTATTTATACAAAAATATCTTGCTCACTTCGCTTAGAATATGAAATTATTTCCGGCTGTGGCCATGGTAGTGAGTAGCAAAATAGTAAAGTTGCTTTTTCACAACTTCCATAAACAAAGAATTTTTCTTTATTCTCCAAATTTCAAACTTTTCAAGAGTTTTGGCATACGTGACACCAGTTCTCGTCCACCAATGATAAAAGGTACTAGAAGGAATCGTAAGGGACCGGCTTTAGCACTTCGATAAGAATTTCAAAAAATCTGTATCTTGGAAAATGTAAATTTGATAAACACAGGATGTACCATTTGAAAAACGCATTTTTGACATCTTGTTCCAGTTAGCGGTGAACAATCACAGCTTTAGTAATGAAGGGATTGTGTTGTTGACGACAAATGTATAAGTAGCACTACAACAAATAATATTATGTTTAAGTGAAAGGCTTTATTTTGTAATTCATGAAATAAACCATTTAAATAGAATTCATATGTAGTGGGTAACAAACAACCCTTAAGTCAGCCAACAGAATGGAACATCCGTTGTAACTGATACTGTTGATAATTCATAGAACATTAAACTTCCAACAGGGGCAGTTACAAAAGAACAGAAAGAGGTACAACCCAAAACATTTAAAACGACACAAGTATTACTAAGAAAATTGCAAACCTGCAAACCAAATAAACGTTATATGAACTCATAGTAAACATATCATTAGCAAGAAATTTAAGTAATAAAAATAAATGACCTGCAACAGACGAAATAGGCTGCTGTGAAAACTGATCAACCAACTAAATTATAGAATAGAGAAAATGAACTGACAATAAATAATGGTTACATTTAACTACCATACGGGTAAGTAATGGTAAATATGCCCACAAGACCTAAGCTCTTACATAATAGTACCTACAGATGGATATATGGCACGAAAATCATTGAATAGTATAAATATGTTATTACACGATAAGAAAGACTTGCAAACAAGAAAAGAACATAGTGTGCACCAGGTCTTACTGCGGATATTTCGTTGGATAATTTTATTTCTATGAAGCAAACCAAAAAATTTATAAGCTGTAGACTTCTGTATAAGTTACTGGTTAAGATTCACTTTGGAATAGCACATAAATGGTAGAATTTTCAAGTCTAATTTCACATAATATACGATGATCTCTATGTGATCAAGAAAACTGCGCTGGCTATCTTCTTTTCAAATATTCCGTAACTTATTAATCGAAAAAATGTATGTACAAAGTTTATCGATGATCCATGTTTGGCGATTCTGAATTTTTGGACGGTCCACAATCAATGTAAGCAGGTCGAAACACTGTGCGTATTTGCTCCGTTAGCCGCTGTTGTTGTGATGAATCTGGGACTGGCGAACTACGTGAACCACGATCAAACTTTCCTCCTTCACCTCTCACTCGCGTTAATGCATGCTTATGTCTGGACTCATGAAGATATTTCTGGAAATGATGCGTACATAACTTCACTACATACTATCAGAGGGTATCCATAATTTCCACTACTCATGAAATATTCATAAACATTACCAGTGATAAAAACATTCAGCATTATTACTTACCCGCCTTTCTTTAGGAATTCTACCCTCGCTTTCCAGTTTTGCTCGAGCTGCTCTTCTCTTTATAATTCTGTAAATACCTATGTGTAATACATACACAAGAAATTGTACTCCACTAAACTGATGACACAAAGAAAAACATGGCTATAAATAAGTAACAAAACACTCACCTATGATACTGTTTGGCATTAACATAAAGAGGTTCTTCATCAGGTTTGGTGACAAGAGGATTATTCGACGTTCCCTACAACAATTTGATAAATTAAAAACCGAGATATGTTTATATTTTGAGCATTGGGAGTTTTAGAAAAATAACCTGTGTTGTTAGCAGTTGAACCACATTTGCGATATCAATTCCCTTAGCATCTGAAAGTGCAATAGCATGAAAGCAAAATAAATAGAAACAGAAGATATTTCTAAACAAAACATAAGGCACTTAGTAATCTAGTTCAATTCTGCTTTTGTTAGCAGATGAACAATGGAAGCAGTTGAATCTTCAGCAAAGCACGTTTTACGACCAGCATGACTCTCTATTACTAACCGAAACTTTCTGGAAAAAGTCTACAATACCCGCCTCGAGCCAACCCTTACTCATTCATTGCATTAAAATCACAAACAGTAGGTAAGAAAGAATTAAAGACATTAAAAACGTTCAACTTATTATGAACTGATAACGAGAGTAATGAACAAAGGTCCTTATAAACTAGTACTCGATACAACTCAACAAAGCATTCTGATGACGAAAAATGACGATATCAAAAAGAGCCATTTAAATCATTTCAGCACAGCAAGTCAAATGAAATGAGATACCTGTGAAAAGAAACGGCGAGCTTACGATAGGTGAAGATGTTGAAGGTTGCTGACTCTGCTCGCTAACAGATATCGAGGGTGAACTCGGCAAAGTGATGTATGACGCAACATCATTCAAATTGATCACTTGAACATTACTAGGTAATACCTGAATCATAATAAATTATAATTGCTATATGATAGTGCATGTAATATGTAGCAGATTTTTCAAGCACATGCAATAAGAAATGTAATGTAATACGAATAATCACAGAAAGAGAAAAACACTATCAGGAAATCATTACCATCAAGATCACAAGTAAGAAAGATGCGATTGAAATTGTGATTCAAAACTAGTTTCAATCAAAGGATGTTTTGTCAACTACTATTGGCTTCTTAAAAAAGTAACTGAACAGAATGACAATGACCTGCAGAGAATTTCCACCGAGCTGAAATGTTTGTTGTGCATTCGGTATCAATATATACGATTTTTGATCATTACTGTTTACTGCAGTATCAAGATCAGTAGCCAAATTAACCACCTGTACTTGACATGGTTGATACTGAAACTTTTTTCACTTTCAATGAATTCTGCCAACAATCTATGTGCTTGATTGTTAAATAATGTTGCCATAATATATCAACACAAACGTGCCACCAAAAAATGATGTGATACAACAGTTAAATTTAGGCTATTCTATCACATTTTTTCACGCGATATCAGAAGGAAAACAAAGCCAGAGGGGTTGAGATATTCCAAATGAACCTGAGGGATTGACGAAGTTGACGTAGGCTGACTACCAGCTGCAACAGCATACTGATGTGTTGATGTGTTGTCGTTGTTCCTGAACCGAAATCACTTATGTATTACTGAATAAACTGTTGCATAAATACTGGATATAATGCTATATGTACTAACTTATAAAGTTTACTAATAAAAAAAGAGGATAATATAATAATAAGTAATGGAAGGAAAAGAAAAATTAGTATAATAGTCAAAAAGAAGCAGTAATCTACAATAAAACAATGGGGATAGAACTCCCATTCTTTCCTGTTTCCCGCGGATGAAACCCACCAAAGCCCGAAAACAGCATATACCAGCACCCGCCTACTAATCCGCGTTCCACTTACATCTCATTGGCGGACGATGCATCGCAAGTTGGCTGATTGGCCGGCACCATTCGGGCAGTCCAATCACAATCGATTACCTCCTAAACAAATACAACGCGACACGCCCGACAATCTTTTTAATGCTCGCTCCCATCGTTTCAGACCAATCTTCTCTTTGCTATTATTGCATCCCATCTGATCCGAATCGTCTCATTCGTTTGCAATGGTTTACTGTTCAGTTATTTGCTAACGAACGGGACAGAATATTGATTATTACTGAGACTCATTCAATAAGAGTAATATGCTTTTGGTAGTTTAGCAATTACATGTTAATCAGTCGAGTACAAGATATTTTTTAGCAAATGCAACATGCTCATATGCTTTCAAAAATCTGAAGATTGTTTCGTCCTCAACATATCCCACTTATCCATAAGTCCCGCTTGTAATTTTATTTCTCTTTTGTGACTAAGCCAGAATTGCACTTCAAGGCCTCCCGCAATGCATAAGTTTCTCCTTCTCTTCAAACTTCAACACTGATTTTCCTCCACTGTTATAAGACACTAGACCCGTCCATTAGAAAAGGTATTTAACAACGACGGCTAGAATATCGAATGACTAGGTTTGCACATGGCTACAAGAAACAAGTTCAACGTGTGTACTTCTCCATATGCCTTCCCTAAGTTTTTATCATTTGTTTATTATTTGGTGTACTACGAAACGTACTGCTTTTAATTTTGCTTAAAAATACACAAGCAGCAATACAGAGAGACAAAACACATAAAGAGGGACGAAACGCAAAAGCAAAAAAAATGATGACCAAAGAAAATATTACGAGAACATGTACCATTATACAGTGAAATGCCATTCCTTAGGCAATGACACATTTTTAAAATATCTTCACTATTTCACACGGAAAATGGATACTGCATTGCGGACATAATACATCGGACTTCCATATTTTAAATTCTATAAAAAAGGCCATTTCGTATTTTAATGTACCATCACTCATTCAATTCCTGCTTTACACACATTTCCCGCCTCACAAATTAATAAAACAGAAAAATATGAAGGTCCTGCAAACCGATAAAATACAGACGAATGATGATATACACAGAAAAGCATACATACCACCAGTTTTTTTCAAGATTTGCCCAGTTGCTTGAAATACACAGAAACATACAGAATATGCATGTTTCTGCACCTCCTTTTACATATCCAATACTAAACAAAAAAAAGAAAAAAAAAAAAAAACAGTTCTAGGATAGCGCATGAAATGATGACACGTTGAGATCTAAGAAACAATCACTGTCAACATTCAACAACAAAAAATCACAAACTGCCACATGCAGGATCAACCATCCTAAAACTGGATAAATTAGGTATGAAGCTTCGAAAAGCCATCATTTTATCCATTTTCCTAACTGTAATATTTCCGAAACTAAAACAGCTGAGACCTATAACAAGTACACCACTACAAGATATCAAAAATCATATTCGTTGATAGCAGGAACTTCTTGGCAAGTGAAATTACCAAGACCGAAAGAGCAGAAAAAAAAAAGACGAAAGATACAGATTTCACAAAATATGTACTGGAGAGTTTGGTAAGTTACAAAGAAATTGAAAGCAAACCAAGAATCATAAAAAAAAAAACTGTTTCTGTGCAGCTAATTTTCTTTTGTTAACCAGAATTCATATCTTTTTTCTAAATTCAAATCTTTCTTATATATGGAGAAACACAGCTGTTACTAATTTAGAAAAAGTTCATCAACTAAGTATAAACCAACTGATTATAATTAGAAGCATACCAAAACGGTTACTCGATGAAATGAAATCCGTGAAAATATTACAATTTCTTTCTTTACGCTTCCTCATAAGTATTCATCCAAACCAAATTTTCCGTGACGGTGAAAAATAGATATAGTAAAGCAAGAAGCCACCCTTTAACTGAACGTCCAAGAATGTCATCCAAAGATAGACAGTTCAATAATGCTGCGGTCGAAATGCAGGCTGCAAACGAAAAGTTACCATTCACTGGCATTTGGCGGTGTAGTTGGAGTACTTACTCCGTTAGCACCAGTGTGCGCCATGCTTGAATAACCTCCTCCCATTTGGCCGCTTGACGAAGCGGCCAAACGCCGTCCATCTCCTGGCACTATTTCAACAGTTCCCTGAAACTATGATTAATAAACCATAGCAAACAGAACGACAAAAAAATTTGGACACAACAAAGAAATAAAGGTGATAAGACTTGCAAGCACATGAACAGTGACTACCGCAGGAAAATGGAAACATTGCTCAATTAAGCTATCAGCAAATACTAGAAAAATTTTTTATAAATATATTGCAGCAATGTGCAAAATAAAATTAAAAAGAGCAGCATTCTGTTTTCAAGTGAGGAACAAAAGCTAGCACTACACAATTTCTTGCAATCATTCGCCACAGACATTCGGTAACAAATACAAAGAGCGTAAGTCCAAGATAAAACTCACACCACATTATTCCCAAATCTCAAAGCAAAGTATGTCGAATTTTCACTTCCCTTTCCTGCAGTATTCAGTTCTTAAATGCTAAGTAGTATGCCACTAAATCGCAACACCATAATAAGGGTGCAATGAAGAACAAAACGTTCCGGTGATCTAACTCTCATATGCACCGGGAGTGTAAGAGACACTCTCAAGGTAAAAAACACAGCATTTATTTGAAAGAAAAAACCTGGAAACGTTTTAGTACTGACCGATCGAGTCGGATTTGAATGCTGCAAAAAAACAAAACATAAAAAGAATCCCAGTAAGAAAAATAACACTAAAGAACTAAGCCTTATCTGCTCGAAATGACTCTACTTCTAACTCTGATATTCCTGACCTAATCCTAATATATCCAACTACGTTAGAAGAATCAAGTCATGCCACGTTTTGCACAACAGCAATTTATAATAAACAGGAGAAAATGAGCGCGTCATATTGTTAAAATTTATTTTAATATAGCAGCGAACAACCACACAAACCTGTGTATACTGCTGGTATTGTGGATGGAAGTTATGGATTGCATCCTGCATAATATCCTTAGGATTCATTGTTTCTTTCAGCGAGCTGCTAATACTTTGCAGAGTGACCGGTCGCCCACCAACACCACCATTCAGCACTAAAAGCACTGTACATTCCTGACTTCTAACTCTGGTGACCTTAACCTTATTTCTAGTTCGTGTTCGTCAAAAGACTCAAAAATGTAAAGAAAGCTAGAGCGCATCAAACTAAATATTCGAAAAAAGTCTACAGATGGTAAAAATATCTGAAAGATGAACAAAACCTGTGTTAGGGTCGATGTATGCACTAATGCTAAAAGCATATCTTAAGGCCACCGCTGCGAAAAACATTTCAACACAAATAAAAAAATTTTGCCAAGCCGCAGCAACAGTGCCACGGGATATAACCTCATAACCTTTCGCATCGTAAATTGGATCAATAGCCGAAGTAGAACCAAGAACAGCAAGCAAGAAACCTGAAAGCCGACCGTAATAAGTGACAAACAACAAAATTAGATTCTATCGGCAATTCCATATAAAACTACAAAGTAATACGGTGTTCTTATTGCATGACATAATGTAGAACGGTTAAAGACTGCATACTTTCCAATACCCTAACAAACCCTCATAACTCTTACAGTTGTGTTGCTTATTGTATATTTATAATAATATGATTTATAAACACTCAGTGTCATACGTAGATGATCTTGACCAATACTGGAAAGCGCAAACAAAAAAACTTTTCCCTTTCAGCTCTATACATTTCAACCAAGGCTATGAAATACATTGAATATTTCAAAAAGTAACATCAATACAAGTAACCTTGCCAGAAAGAGAGAAAAATAACTGATTTAACAGTGAGAAACTTTAAAACAGGTCGGTATGGTGAAAGCAAGTCACGTGTAGCTGTATAGAATAAAAATAGACCGTAAAGAGCCAAAGAGACAGAGACGTTGTACACAATAGTTATATAAAGATAGCCTTGATCACCACTGAAAGCAAAAAGAGATTATTTTTCAACAATGAAAAGACTCGAAAAAGAAAAAGACGTACTTAATGGACAAATTAGAAGCATTATCTATTTCCAAAGTCACTTTCATATATTGACTATACCTAACAAAGTTCTTCATTTACCCCACGCTGAAAGCATTACAACACCATAAAGAAAGCAATTCACCTCCAGTTTCCATCTTCGTATTTCCCTAGAATCATTAGAATAACGGTAAGTGTAGCCATCAATGGCTTGATAATACAAAACTGGAGTGTTGCCTGCTTGCAAAAGCGCAAGAATTCAATTGTATATTGCTTGCCCGCTAAACAACATGTACATGTGTAGTAAGTAGTTGGCCTGAAAGTCACTACGTATCATATATGAAAAAAAACGTTCAATTTCATATGACAAATCCCCAATCATTAACTACGACTAGGAATTAAGCGATAAAGAATAAAAAAGTCTACGATAGTCCCATTTTACACTGCATTACTTTCTAATGTCTATATCCAAGTCCTATGTTCTTCTCTACTGCTGCAGCGATTAAAAAATTCGGTAAAGAAATCAAAATGAGGCAAAGGAAAAAACAACCTTACAAAGTTTCGCAGCGTAAGAAATGGAAAACTAACCGAATCGGTTTCCCTCTTATTTCAGCCATTATGTTACTTTCACCACCAAGATATTCATAGCATAAACTCAAGAAACTGTATATAACGAACGCTGAAAATGTACCAAGTAAACTTCTATCCAATTTCTTATCATCAAAAATTTGAATCTGTGAAAAACAAATGTTGAATGAGATTGTTACCTTCATAACAATCGCGAATGGCATTGAAATAGACATATACGTTGTTAGAAAGAAAAAGTAGACTCAGCCACGAATCTAATGAATACATAGGTACAATAAATAAAATACGCACAATCCATCGCTGTTCAACTGGGCAAGTATACCATCGTAAATGTTGGTAGATCTGAAAAATATTGGAACAGTACGATTTCTGCAGAAATTATAAAAAAAAATTCATTTGTGTTCGTTAGCAGGAAAGCAAGCAAAACAACAATGTCCGCAATGATGAATTCCCGCAGAAATTTTCCATGATTAAGATTTGCAGTATACATCAGCAACATTTCCTAACTGCATAATAAGTACCTGATAAGAAGTAATGATAAGAGCTGCCCAAGTGAAAAATCCAGCGATGCCACGAGCAAACGTGGAACGAAGGAACAAATCATCTATCATCGTTCCATTCACCATTTTTGCCTGCAAAGATGACTAGTTAGCAGAAGCGATGGAAAAATGGAATATATACTGCAGTGATGAACAGAAGACGATTTAACTGTGGTGCATTTTAAAGCAGTCGTATGTGGCGCAAAAGAGTCCCAAAATCAATTTCTTAATTTTTTTTAATGCGATTGAAGCTCACCACTTAATTTGTGTAAGTGTATTTTTTCAAGTGATTTAATAAATGGATGAAATACTGTCTGAAGAAATGCAAAAGAACGTACAGGTAGAAAGCCAATAATCGACTGATGGGAAGCACAACATAAAAAGCTGATTTGTTTAAGCCGAGGGAAGAGAGAACATCAAGTACGTGACGTACCACAACGCAGGAGAGGAACCAATGTGCTGCAATTGTATACAACAAACGTGCTAATAAATTTATGCTTCAACTGAGGAAAAGTTTGTCATTACATTAAGCTACCAGTAATATCTTCTTCACTCTTTTTGCTCCTTAAAATCTATGACTGACGCTGAGATGGCAAAAGAATAATGTAACTTGGTCTATCAAACTAGGCTAGAGGCAAATCAAATTAAAGTAGACATGAACTCGAAGCTTCGAAAAAGATACTGTTGTGTACTAGTAGGTAATAACCAGCTGTTTTAAAAGACCGGTAGCGCGATTAACAACTGACCAGACAGATGGACCTACAATTGTAGGCGTGAAAGCTTTTATAAAGCTCATCCAGAAAATATTATGGCATCACCACTGAATGTGACATAATTAGATAACAACCTGGTAAGAATTATTTGATGCATGTGTTACCAAAAGAGCACATGTGGAAGTGATATTTAACAACTAAAACACAAACCTGTTTCAAAAAAGGCTCTATAACTAAAAAAAAAAAGAAAACTCCCAGCACTCCCGTTATCCTTCCTTAAAGGCTTTCCTTCAAGCCCACTCAAGAACTACCTCGAAAGCAATCATCCAAAGAGTCATTCAAATTACGTCGGTCAATCAAATGCGAGTGCTTGATAAAAAGAAATTGATGAAAATGCATTTGAAGAACTAGTTTACAAACCGCCCTTTCCTCCTATTTCAGTCTACCAACGTGGTACTGGCGTAATGTATCAGTTCTAGCTGTTACAACAATCGGGTTGTATCGAAAAGGAAGGTGTCGTCTCTCCAGGTCACATCCATTTATAACCCACTCCACTATATTCATTACATACATAGACATACACATTTATACGCACATACACATACACACATAGCATTGATGCAAGCACCATACCACGATCAATCTGTGAAACTCCATAATGGAGTCTGTTCTTTTTGCCGAACATTTCAATGCTTTTGGAATGGCAATGATCACAAGAAAATATGTGCGTACATCTTTGTGCACAGATCCACATTTGATAACAACCTTCCGTGGCCAAAATATGTAAACATCGCGGACCCTGGCCCTCTCACCCTTCTAAGGTTTATCGATATTCTAGGCTGCCCGAGCGCATACATCACATGAACGCATTTGCGCCCTATGTGTATGTGTGCGTGTATAGTTAACGCCACATCCTACTGCCCTGGCAGTAGGATCTATGGTGGAGTCCCGCACACGTGTGCGTACCACATAGGTAGTAGGACTGAAATGCCGCAGATCAATTATTGTCATAGCGACATACAAAGTCCGCGAGCCACCAACCCCCAATCAATGATGGCCCACGCCCGCCCGCTCATCCGCTCATCTTGTGTTCGATCGTACACAATATGTTACTGCATCAGAGCAAAATTATTGGACTACTTTGACGGGTACGCTACGACAACTTCTCTTACCGCAAATATACTTTCTATTGCTATTTGATATTCTAACGTTCGGAATACATAGTCATTCAGTAACTCAAATGGGTCCTCGTATGGGTGAATGTATATAGTTGGCAATATACAAATGTAATATACAAATATAACAAAATCTATGTCTTAGAAATCAAAGTGAACCGCGGAAAGTGTGTTGAATATCAATCGGATGAAGTCCAGTTAGTTTGATCAATTGATTGCATGCTGCAGAATTCCTTCTAGTCACTTTATCGATATAAGTCTACCATAAACATATTGACTGTAACGTAACATAGAGATGGACTCGACAAACGGCTTGTATTTGGATATTTATGAATATGTGGGTTTCTCTTTTTTCGCTAACTTCAGCTATGATCTCAAGAAATGGCGCCGAGCATGCTCTGAGCATCCCAGGCTCTTCATTGTATCAATTTGCTTTTGCTGCTCCCTGTTGATTTCATCGTCATCATTCTCTCTTAACTATCGTCCAGGTAAGTTATTATAATTAAAAGTTTTGCAAATTATATATTTCCCCGTAATGAAGTACGACTAAATCTCTGTACGTGATAAAATACGATTAAATCACACTTAAATATTTACTGGTTTAGTAATATTTCCAATTAATACGTTTTTTTTTTTTTGTTTGATTTTGCAAAATATGTGGTTTTTGGGATAATAATATTGATATATCAGAACAGCGAGCTGACGAACTTATCGCTTTTACTGCAGGTTCAGTAAGATGGATGGGGAACAGATCTGCAGCTCGGATGAATCATTAAAATCAGTGCGTTGTTAAATTTGCATTATTATTATTACCACTATCATCATCATTATTACTACTACCATTATTGCTATTATTAGTACTAATTAGTATTATACATGTGTTAGAACTGTGTTGAAATAGCTTTGGTAATTGTAGGTGTGTGCACCGGAAGAGTGGGTTGTGGTGTCGAGCGCTATAGGCAGCAAAGGTATCGAGATTCCTTTATGTCCTTCGCATGGTGTGCTGCATGTCAGGACACTAAAAAATGTTTTCAAGGATGCCACAGGATTAAAGTATCGAAACCCCGATACCGGCCTTGATAGAGTACTCTTGTATGTTTTGTATTAGCCAATTCATACCGTGGTAAATATAAGTGGTAAGATTCTGTTTTCCATTCAAGAGAAAAAGATATCAGCTATCAATGACTGTCACTCCAAATCATTGTTTCTCAAAAGCAAAATTAGACGCTTCCCATGATTGTCATCATGAACCTGCCGGAAAGGACTTATCCGGCAGATCAAATGAGTTTCGCAGTCCCCGCTGGGCTACCTTCTGAACTAAGCGGTTTGTCATCCTTCCAAAACAAGCAATTATTGAAGGCGGATTTATTGAATTAATTATTCTCTTATAAAACGAATTGGTTTATTTTTCGGTTACATTATAGGATGGATCATGATGAAACGTGTTTTATAGCTCCGACTGGAGGGTGGAAAAATAAAATGTTCACTGTTGTGCGTTCTACAAAGTTTGGTCAGCTGTATTCGTTTCACTTTCAAATTTTCAAACCTAGTTTTTCCTTCACTCAAGGAACTAATAAAGTAATTGAAATATCCGCGTGTAATCGATGCACAGTTTTAGTTCGCCCGCTAGGAAACGCGAAGAAGCAAGTGAAACGATCATTAGCTAACAAATCAAAGGCGATGGTTGATATGGATTCAAACTCCGATGGGAAAATGAGAGCCGCATCAGCACCAGAAGGTGCTTGTTGAAGTGAATGATGCGTAGTGTGGATGCTTCGCTAGCTCGTTGTATTTTGATCGTCTCTTTTATTCTCGTTTTCTTATTAGTTTTAATGTAATAAATAACTTCCTCAATGCGTTTCTACCTTAAATTATTGGCCTAAATACTGGCTATGATCAAGAAACAACTTCAGTCTTATTTCCACTTTAAATTCTATGTTCAAGGTCACGAAACTATTAGATATTAAATCCTTGAAAAATGGATGCCTTTAACTCCTCAAGTTATGTGTTCTGCAGTTTCACAGGCTTGTTCAATTCGCAAATGGAAGTCGTCGATTGTGATCAAAATTACTTTATCACTTCCAGACTCGCATATTCTCATTTACCATGTTACAGTTTTCGGACACGTAAGCAAAAGCTAACTATGCGCAAAGTCCGACCTGAGCTCTCTCTGTGATAAAAGACATAATTACACAGTTCAAGATAAGTTCATGAAATCATGTTCTCAAAACTAAATTTGAAGTTATGATTATGAGAATTATGATGGCAAGCACATAAAGATACCAAGGAGGAAACATATGATGTAGAAAGTGTGCATGACTGGTGTTGTGTACATACTGATGCAAGTGAACAACATCGATGTGATAGCTTTTAGTTCCTAAAACTTAGCTCCGAGCATTTTCAGTATTCCCTCCTTGTTCTCAGTAAAATATGTCGACACTGTGACATATGGGTCTTCTCCACACTTTTTAATTTGCTCTTCTATTGATTGTTTTTGACCATCTTTCGTCCCTCTTACACTATGACGCGTTGACTGTCCTATCCTTCTGGAAACACGAAATTTTACATTTAAAAAATCTTAGGTTTCCAGTATTTGTGAACTTATGTAAACAAAATAAGTTTATTTTGTTGTGATCTAAACGGCCTATATACTTTTGTCACTAAAAAAAGAAGTGAGACCAAATGAGTGGTCAACCTTTGCACTTGTGGTATTGCTATTAGAATGGAGACATATTCGGAGCAGTAGTCCTGAATTCTTGACAGTTCTTCCAGAATTGCTATGTTACTTATGTACTTTACAAGCCCGGCACTTCTTAGCGATCCCTGAAATCAGATTACTATCTAAAATCCCAACTGGTTAATATTTATTGCACTTCCCTCACATCTTATTTCTTCATAACACAAATATTACCTTTGCTTCCACATGTCGCATAATGCGATTAAAACACTGGTACCCCTTTGTTGCAAAATCGATTTGAGACAACACAAGAAGAGCACCCAGTAGCTGATCATTATCGTGATCCATTGCTGTTGACGTATAAACCTTTAATTGACAAGAAATTTATACCTTTCATAAATTGTTGCAATCTACTGCGATTCCAAAAATGTAGTAGAAGTACCCGAAATAAAATATGATACGCAATATCGTACACTAATTTTCTTAATCGTTCTTGTTTGACTATTGTGAAAGCCGGCTAAAAATAAAAGCATGGTAAAAATAAGTACTGAAATAAAATATTGATTCAACACTCCATTCCAAATAAGAAACTGATTTCTAACAATTTACCACTTAACATAAAATGCAGGCAACACCAAGTAATGCTTCTCTGACATTATCAGCAGTGAATGGGTTGTAAATGATATAATGTCACACTACTGTGTAGCAAGTTCTACCAAGGAATATGCAGAAAAATTACACAAACCTGAATGCTAGAGTCGTTATTAGTAAATGTGCTTGACAAATCTGTATCGAAAATGGGCTGCAAATGGATATATACTAGCGTATATTAATATCTAATTTATTCAAATTAAAAAAAAATCAAAAAATCCGTTTAAAAAAAAAAGAAAAAAAAAAAAAAAAAACTTGAACACATAGTTTAAAATATTCAAGAAGCTTGTCTCCACATGCATGAAATATGCGAAATATGAAAATAAGATTATTTGGCTCTGGTTGGATAAACAACTAGTAAAAATGTGCGTGACAGGCACAAAATCACTTTTGATCCGATATCGCTCTCTGCTGAAATATTAAGCATGTGAATGACGTTTTCACACGCATCAGGCCAACTCCGGTCCAAGCAGTGAGCACAGGCAAGTTGGAAATAAAGCACTTCTTTCGTCCAACAATCACTATTTTCCAGCTGCTAAAAGTAAAAAATGAGGTTATAAATGTAAGGTACGGAATTAACTGGTCGATAATGAAACTACTATTATATAGAAAAATTAACACTTAGAAAATTATTGACGGCACCCACATCGTCAACATAGGCTATTAGCTCATTGATTTTGCATTTGAATAATAGAGATTCAGTGATGAACTGTCGCATGTCACTGTAAAAAGAAGCAAAATACAGACTTTCTGCAACAACGTCTATAGAAAATGATGTTATAGATGCACAGATTGCAGCACAGCAAAGTTCGTATGCCTCACATAACTGAAAAAATACAGAACTATATGCTTATATCCAAGAACATAAGAAATCTCAAAAAAAAAAAAACAAAAAAAATCATTTACTTCTAATAAAAACTTCTTGAAGGAAAAAAAAAAAAAAAAACACCTCAGGTCGCGTCGATATCAAATACTCTACTTGAAATGTTGTCATCTCCTCCTTTCGTTCCCTGAGCTTTGCTTTTTTTGAAGGAGTTAAACACTCAGCATTACTGTTCAATAATTTGTCGACGTCCATAGCCCAGTTATTTTCTGGGATCCACACAAGTACTTCACCTATTGAATTTTGCGATGTAAATCTTGATAACATTAAAACTAGCTCAAAGAAAAAAAAAATGAATTTCCCATTTCCAGGTATGCATAGTAACAAAATACACCAAAAATGTACAAAAAGTCTTAGTCACAATATATACATAATGCTTCATTTAAAAGAACTATTAGCTTCGGAACTGAAAAATGCATTTTAAAAAAATTGTAAAAAGACACCTTCATCAATATTTGCCCTCCACTGCTTATAAGCATACCATATAAAAAATGGAAATACGATTTTACGAGCTTCACTTTTTAAACTGCCAGCATTATCCACGATACTTGATAGAACGCTACATCTACTGAAACTGTAGTAAACTGTACATATTTTTTATATACTGTCCAGTAAAGTTCCCGGCGCTTTTCTTGAAAGGAAAACTCATATAACAATACCATACCTCATATTTAAAGATAAATTGACAGATACTCCCAGATCATACAAAATGACACATTTGTCGAACAGTGCAGCCCCTATTTTAAAGCTCTCTTGTGAGAAATACTGTGCCTCAGCTTCATAACTTTCTGAAACTGCCCTGAAATGATTAGCAGTAGCTTTGCAGAGAATAAAAACAACTGTTAATCAAAAAAATAGCCAGCGCGAATGAACCATAAAAATATATATTACTGCATTTTTATGGTGCAAAAAAGAAACGAAAATTAATAACCGTAAAAGATTAGTCCAGTTACCACTATGCGTTGGCCAAGCAATTCCAACCTGAAGAACTGTGATAACAATACTCAAAGCTCTGCACACTGTTATATTTGAAAAATTTAGCTTCAAGAGAGCAGGAGCAACAAAGACGGCTGAAAAAGAATCAAATGGATAAAATAATATACAAGAAGTGTTACGCAAGACTGCTGTTTTCACTTTCAGTAACTGTCCCTTGAATTTGGGTGTATTATGCTCATAGTTATCATTTATTATGCTCACGGTTATCATATATTACGAAATTGAGAACTGTTACTTTACAAACATTTACTGAATGGATACTAAGCAGTAAGCACAAACACTCAGTGGTCTTACCCCTACATAGTATTTAATATTCCTAGCACTCCTACATAGTATTTAATATTCCTAGCATGAAAAACTGATATTTCGTACTTTAATACCTAAATAAACGTGGTACTTGCCAATGCCACTCTCGAGCTCTTTGTCGTTGCTCGCTCTTTCCGTTATAAATGTTACGGCACGGTTCTACAAAGTTAAAGTTGTAAGATTCTAATATTACTGTAAGATTCTAATATGTGATTCAAATTTTTTGCATTTGGAAAGAGCAAGAATCTGAAAGAAAAGATTATTACTAATAAATAATGAAATAAATTTTCAAAGAATCAACGGACACAAAAATTAATTATACTAACCAATAGTTTGTTGAATTTGTTTTCATCGGCATTACGTAAACAAAAAAGGAGTAACTTTGTTTTCAAAAGATCATCGTTGTCAAAACGCTTTGTTAAGCCACCAATGATGAATTCAAATGTATCGTTTGATATTTCGGTAAACAAAACTGGAATTTTTTTCTTTGTGACACTATCAGTAAAAAATAAATTTATTGAAAAAGTACCTTTCTCAGTAGAATTCTCTGAAGACGATGCTTTCACAAAAAGTTGATGTATTAATGTCCAAGCCTCATCTGATGGATGTGTTTTTACACTAAAATAATGAACTCAGTAACTGGCTACCTTGAAGATGAGAAAATTTTTAAATCTTTGTATGTTCTGTAAGTTTAGAAATTTATGGGTAGGTTTGAATGATAACATAAATAGAAGAAATAACAAAAAGTAAGGTTTTGTCATATGATGACAGCCATTGTAAAATCCTGGAATAATAATAATGATGGAAACCTACAGCCGTTCCAGTATAGGGACAGCTTCTGTAGCACGATTCCATTTCATATAAAATCGTAGTTCAGTAATCTGTAAAGTAAAGCTAAAGTTTTATAGAAGACTCGAATTGCATTTCACTTAATTCATATCATTTTGCTTACAATGTTCAAGTTGGTCGACCATCATTAGTGAACAGTTCTCTCTGCGATATACTTTAACATTCCTAATAAAAGCAGACCATTATTCTTCAGTAAACTTTTGATTTTTCTTCCGGACACTTCTTATCTTGACTGCCGGATATGAGCCGCACCTAATATGCATATATACAAATGAAGGTTCTGAAAGTGTCTTGCACACCTACATAAGGCTTACATCACACAGCAATAAATCGAAATCAGGATACAATGAAGCCAATCGACAGTGCGCTTTCCCGACCGCGTAATCATGTTCCTCTGTTAAACAACGAACCAAGTGTTCCTTAGCCGACAATTCCATCATTCAATTCCTCATCTAATCATACATGATAGCATATCCGACAAATAACAGAAATATTAGCTTAAAATAGGAATTAAATAAAGTATCACAGCTATGCTTTTCTTTTTATTTGCATTCCTACATTTCATTTATTTTCCTGTAGAACCAGAAACTGAAAAGAAGAGAAAGGGAGAGGAAGCGAAGGAGAAAAAAAAGAAGGAGAAGGTAGGAAGAAAGGAGAAAAAAGACAGCCGAGACTGCAGACCAATCTTTAACTAAATTTAATTAAAAAAATCAAAACCTCTCTCACCCAATTATCCCTTCTAACCAAAAATCCTTAAATACATCAATCGGTCGTCCATTCCGCTATCTACTAATCTCTGTCTTTCTCAAAACTCAATGCTGCATTTTTTTTTTTTTTTTTTCAACCATTGCTACGTTTACGCATATTGACCACATGTTCGAGCTGGCAGATATTCTTGCGATAAGGATTGGATGAAGAAGAATGGATGCTTGAGGTGAAGGAGGAGTATATTATGTTTCGCGGTTGACAAAATGACACATCCAAAAAGTATACGTTTTATTTCGGATGAACTTTTAGCTATTTACCTAGTCTGATTTTAATTAAAATGTGATACTTTTTATCATACCGTTCGAACATTCATCCTTACTTTCCATGTACCGCTTGGGACTCTTCCAAATTTGTTTAAAGATTCGAGAATTCGGAATTTTGAATTATTGGAAGCTTGTAGCGGTTTTGATTTCAAGAACAGTTAGATTTTTATTGTGAACGATATTTTCATGAGCATGCTTGTACTGGATAGCAAAACAATGAAGATATGCAACAGTTTTTAAATTACTAATTCGAAGGTACAACAGGTATTCATTTCATTGTGAATGAATGTCCAAAGATTGGAGGAAATAGTACCACAGGGGGGCTATAGTATCGTTGTTGATCGTTTACCCAGTGATTGACCCGCCAGTGCATCAAAATATCGTTTGGGCAACTCACGAGAACTGTCAAACCGTATCCTTCTGCTGTCTGAATCGGAAAATGGATTGATTATGCCAAAATTCCGCTGCAATACTGACAGTCTTCAGTAAACTCACAAATTTTATTTTTAATGATCAAATGTCCTTTTATCATCCCCTCTGGTCGTTCGTTTTTGCTATTTCGCTGCTGAAGTACCAGTTTTCATTTAAAAGGTATTTAAAGTTGTAAATTTGGAACTTAACGATACGAGTTTGAAAATGTTCTAAATTTCTTAGTTATATTTTCGAATTTTGAATAAGTGAGAAAGAATGGAATATTTTAGATAGAATTTTTTTCAGAAAAAAGAAATGAGTTTAGCAGGTACATGAAAGACTAACCATGTACAAATCACCTCTATTATAATCGATGTAATTTCCTTGACGTGAAACATATTGAGATTCAGTGCGATAAGATAGCAATATCATAACCATTAATAAACATATTGCTGTTGTCATTGTTGTTCAGTAATTTTTTTCACAATGAATAATTTAATTATCGATTCACGTAACGTCCGTACTTCTTTCTAAGCGAATAAAAGTGAAATATTTAAATGATGTAAATTACTGTGTTCGTAAACGAGGTGAAGATAAGGTAAATTAGAAATAGCTTTATCAGTGGGAAGACAAAATCAAAGACCAATTATCTGAAGAAGTAGATATTAAGTATAACCCCAAGTTAAAATATTTCGTAAATTTTAAATTATATTTTGTAACTCTTTAATATCCCAAAAAATGACTCATGATATTAATTCTTTTTGTCAATTTCTTGTAATCTACTAAAACAAATTTGTTTCGATTATGTAGTATTTATAGTTGATGTTTCATCCCCAAATATTTGAAATTTTTGGAGTTAGGACGAAGTGGAAGATGAAAAATGCTAGGTGGAATTAAAAAAGGTGGAACGCTTTGGGTGGTGGATAGGTACTAATTTTGAAAAAGTCTTACAATTTCAAAACAAGTACCTGCCCATTTCCCGTTCCGTTTTTGCATAAGCATTATTACTCTCCAGAAGTAAGTCGTTTTTCAAAAATTTATTTCGATATTTTCTAGCTTCATCCCTTCATTTTCTAAAATATAAGAACCAAACAAAAAAAAATGTGAAAAGCACTTCTAAGCAATAATGCTAAAATCCTTAAACTTCGGTAGTGTTAGTTTGGTTTAAATGTAAGTTTAACGAAGACCATTAAATTATTTCAAAAAGAAATATGTTATTAAAGAGTTTACTAATAGCTTACCAGCATTAGTAGCCCATCGAAAATGCTTTTTTAGAAGTTAGTGAAATATTTTTCAGCAGTAGAGGAAAGTGTGAAATCAGAATCGTAAGAAATTTAAGCACTACAGGATTAAGGGGTTGATAGCTAAATCCTCCCTCGGGAAGAGGATCAATTTAGATACCGTGAACGACCCGTTCATACAAATATGAATTAAATAGAAATTTCAAGTAGTTCAGATGCCTAAAAATAAATGGAAGTGTTGTCAAGCGGTGAAATGCTTCAAACAGATACCGTAGAACATGTGCTATTAGCTGTTTGAAAAAATTTTCCATTCCTGAGATAAATTTTGTCATCACATAATGATGCTTGTCAAATATTTGATGTTCAGGTTATTTCCATTCATGGATAATCAGAAATACCATTTTAAAAAGAAGAGCAATAAAACTGATTGAAAAGATAGTGAATATAATGATTATGATGAAGTGTTCCAGCTAAGCTAATATTTAAGTGAAATAGTTAATATATCAGTCATGCATTCTTCTCAGCCTATCGTCTTATTAACTAATTGGATATTTAATTGGTTGCTTGCATGAAACTGAAATCGAATTTATATGTATGAATCAAATTTTATGCATAAAAAAATGAGAAAAATATTTAATGCTTAAACTTTTACACATAAAACATTCAAATGGATATAAAATTTAAAAAATATGGGAAAACTGAAATAAAAATGAAAGTAAAAAAATTGATAAGCTGAGTAGTTTATTAATTATAAGTTCTTATTAGGTATAAATAAAACAGTTGAAAGTTAGAATGTGGGAAGTATTTCGGAAAGTAAGTCTTGTTATTTTTTATCTTTTTTTTTAATTTCTTCAAATAACATATCAGTGCAGTTATTCTTAATTTTGCTCATCCCGTTTCAGAACTATAATTTCTACTTACGATGATTCAAGTAAAATGCAAGATAGTCATCGGCATACTATGCTTCATGAAGTCACTTGTGAATCATTAGAAAAAAGAAAGAAAAAAAGTAAATAGGAGAGAAAGATAAATTATAAACTGTTATAGCATGATTTGAAGTTAAGAAGTTCTGAACTTGAACAAAACGAAGTTTTATAAAAATGGAGATAACATAAAAATACGGTTTGCAGTTGCTTTGCATGAAAATGATTAGGAAAGAGGAATTAAAGATGAGAAGAAATGTGCAGGTAAAAGTTGTTCATTTTGCTATCACTAACAGGTAATTAGTGAACTCGTTAAATGTCTGCTAATTACGACTGCTTTACCAAATTCTTCTAGTAAAGCTAGTTTCATTAAAAAAGAAAATCGCATTTGTCAAGTTATTTACATAGTTGCTAGTTAGTTTGCCAACATACCAACAGTCAAATTTTATCAATTGCGGAAGGAAAAAACTTTCGTCTTCTTCAGTTAAAGAATAACAACACCAAAAATGATATATGTATTAGATGAAATTAGAGACGGAAATTGCTAGTGGTTTATTATATCAGTGCATCATGTCAGATGAAGGAAGATAAATAAGCGGTTGCAAAAAAAAATACAACACAATACATTCCATTGTAATTTGTTTGCAAAATTCTCCAGATGATTCGAACTTCATATAGTATCATTGGATTTCACTAAAATATTTTTTAAGTAAATGTTTTAGTAAAATCCAGTGTTTGTTTCGCCACAGGAAAAAAAATTTTTCAAAATAATTGAAATAAGTTTCTGTTATCACAAAACATTAATGTTTTAGGCTTTTAGGATATGACGAACCTCAGGTATTAATCATTGATCTATGTTGGACTAATTTTGCTTTGAATTAGTAAAAATCACAATGAATTTCGGTTAATTACAGGTTAACCAATAAAGTTTTTATTGATGCCAATATCAAGGCTTGTCTCTGTTGCTTTATTTGCATTTTATGTACTGTAGCAAATTTATCTTCTATGACAAAGTTCAAGTGTGAGGATAAAATGGAATATATTGTAAATATTCCGTATTAAGTATATTATTTTTATTTATTCTGCTCTGTTAATATAATGTCTTTTTTGTATTTCATTAGTTTCAAAAAAGCAAAAATTTAAGTTCAAATTTGTAGGTGAAAAAAAAGTCATGTTGTGAATAATTCTTTAAAAAATCACTTGTGAAAATATTTCCTTCAACAAATTTTCTCGGTCTCCCAGCATTTATTGCCATTTTCAAATATGGATAAATGATATCACTATATCATTTTTTCATATTCTGAAAACGGTAACAAATGCTGGAAGATTAATGTTAGTGGCTGCACTTTTGAGCTTTTCCGTCATTTACATTTACATTTTGAAGGCACTGAATCTTTCGATTTATTTGCTGAAAGATCTGGAATGTCATCATCATAGCTTGGGAATTTTGATTGTCATTAAAGGTTTTATAGGGATGACATTGATTAATTCATGCTATGAAAGAAATAATTCTCTTGAAATTGTTTTGTTTATTAAAAAAAGAAATGGAAAAAGGGATATTATCAATATATATTATTAATCAATATTCGTTAGCAAAACCTTAAAAGTAACAAACAATGAACGCATAAAAAATAACCCAATCAAAAAGGTTCCTTATAAGTGCACTATATATATATATATATATTTGCAAATAGTTGAATTCTTCGGTCAGTAAAGTAATTAGCGTCACACATCTATGCTTGGATATCGTCGAGATAAAGCTTATTATGTGGATTGAACAAAAAAGAAAAAATTTGAAAAAAGAATGAGATTCTATAAATTAGAATTTCGTTTCTCACGAACAAAATATGCTTTAAACATGTAATTTTCTAATATTAAATTAGAACGAAAGTTGTGTAAAAATTCCCACTAGGCTACCATGAACTGGATTGTATCTACAACTACAAAGTAATAGAATGTGTAAAGTTAATTAGTTCTTACTGAAAGTAATTAATTGGTCATTATATTAGAAATGTATTTCTGCATGCCATGGCTTCTTGGGAAGATGTCACAAAAACAAGTGCAACATTCGGTTTCCATGCTATAAAAAAGGTTGTGAAAACTGAAAAACTTTAAGAAATAAGAATTTAAGCTTTTAAATTTTAGAAATAAAGTGTAAGTTAGAAAAAAGTGTAAATTATGAATTTGACAAATAATTGCATCGACTAATGCCGTATCACAGCTATTTCTTAGAGCCTATTAAAAGAAAGGGGGAATTAAAATTTTAAAAAAAATCTCAAATTCAACACGATACTAACACAGTTTATTTTTTGACTAAAACCGTTTTTGAAAGCACAACTCACTAATTACGGCATTGAATTTAGAGACGGAAGTATCATATGCAATTTCCGGACCAGCAATATTTCGCAATCTTTTTCGATATTTTGCTCGCCGATTTTTGAACCAGACCTGAATTAATTATTATTTCAAAAATTTTGGTTTCGTTCATCAAATATTTTTATTCTTTGCTCCCATGAAAAACAGTATAATGAGTAATACTATATAATGTGAAAGAAAAAGCAAGGATTCGTCCAATATAATTTACTACTTGAAATTTTGAATGTTTTTCTTTTTTCGTAATCAACAAATCTCAAAATATCCTCCTTTCAACTTTTGGAAATTTTTGGTATATATAAAATGAGGTCACTGGAAGGTCTTGAAGTAATTAGAGCAGTTACAGTTGTATTTGATGGATAGAAGATACTTGAGTGGTTGTGAAAAAGATGTTATCCGATCACATCTGCTCTAATCACATCACCACCAACAGAAGCTTAGATTTGTTTGCATAGTACAGTAATGCATTGGTAAATACTATCATCAGCAACAGCGAATTCAAGTTATACTAATGATTTAGCAACTTAGCAAGCATAAATTTACGCTAATCTAACTAATTTTTCATATCAATATGTGACAATTAAATTAATAGGGAGAAATCTATGCAGAAATGGTTATATTTTCAAGCATTAAAAGAAACAAAACAACGTGTTGGTAATTTTTACTGTGTATAAATAAGAAGGTAGTTTTATGTGTTTAAATATTTACAAGTGGTTGAAATATTTGATTTAACAAGACCTGAATGCGCTTTTCTGGTAATTGCACTTCCGAAGCTAACTTCATCCTTACATCCATTTTTGGATACTGACACTTTTGAAATGCATTTTCGAGCAGTGACAATTGTTGATCAGTGAATGCAGTTCGTCTACGAGGTAGTTTGCTGTTCTTTGCGTCATCTGATTTGTATCAAAGATTGTAAATTTAATGAAATTACCTTTCAATTAATGAATGTCCTTGAATGCTTTCCTTTACTGAGTTAAGCAGTTGGTATGATGGCAATAGGCTTTCTTTATAACTCTCAAAAGCGAAAGTCAAAAACTGTTGAGTGATAAAGCGACAACTGGGGATAACAAAAGAAGGAAAATAAGAGCCTCATTAATTAAAATTAAAAATAAGTAGCAACAAAGACAAGTGACTTGCAGGCAATACTATAACTTTACATACTTGAAATGGAAAACATTATGACAATTGTTTCATTAATAAAACATAAATAAGAAGTGTAATTAATATCTAAGAAAAGCTACCTTTTGAATGGTAACTTTTCTCGATTATAGCACTACAGTTTGCTGCTGCAGTAGTAGTGGTAGTAGTTGTTGTTGTTGTTGTTGCTGTTATCGTTGTTATTGTTGTTGTTGATAAAAAGTCGTAAGGAAAGAAAGTAAGTTCCAACGGTTCGATCTTCATTAATAGCAATCAATTAGAATAGTGCTCATTAAGAGGTTGACTAACCACGCCTATGGTCTTTAGTCTTCAAAGTTTACATATGTGGACAGGATCTCCTGTTGACACAGGAATACAGTGAAATCCTGGTGGTTATGTATTTCTTATATTTCAAGGATACTTCAAGCAAATGATTGATTTTTCAAACGTGGCACTATTAGAAATTACCAACTGAAATAAGTTCAAAACTACACATAACTAACCCTGAAATAAATTAAAGGTGGAACCAGAACAAAGCGCATTACGTATTTTTGACAAGTGTTATTGATGCAAATAAGTCCATAGTTCAATGAGCACCAGAAGTTAGAAAGAATATAGATTTCTTGCTCACCAAAAAAAAGATTAGTATGAGTTATCCTTTTTTTCATGACTGCTCTTAGTATTTTTTTTTCATCCTGTTCTATACTGCAAAAAGATTACAAAACAATGTTTTTAAAAGGAATGCAAGGATTGAAATAAAAATGCATATATGAAAATAGAATCAGAAAGAAATATCAAAAATTATGTCTCAGACTCAGAGTAATTACTTTATGGTAGATAATATCGAACAAATTTTTTTCTTGTGTCACCACATTAGTATATTTCATTGATTTGACTAGTTTTGTTCATTTTGTGGCAACCCCAAGTTTTCTATTTCTTCCGAAGTAGTCGGGATGTAAAACGTCTATTATTTGCAAAAGATGACCTAATGTTTCTTTAATATCCTATACTGACAACTCTTTTAGACATATTTTCCAAATTTTTTTTGAATAGTTTACTGTAAAATATTATAGGAGCTGCTATGACAGCAAGCAACATATCAATTCTATATCTGCCAATAAAATGAAACTTGACAAGAATGATATGGTTGAAATCAGTGTTCCTTGATATTTTAAGTTTGTCCAGTTTTAACGAATAACCGAACTTTGGTATAATTATGAATTTGCAATTAAATTTCTGAAGTGGAAATGTTGAATCCCTTCTTGTGGACATTGTACCTTCCACTACTCGAAACTGAAGTTCACTTTAAAAATTAAAAGATCTATTTCAATTTCTTTATCGCTTTCTTCCTAATAATTTCATCAATTCGAGTGATAAAACTGCTTTGTAATATTTCTATGCTTTCAAGTTTTTAAAGCAAATTTTATTTGGACGATGAAAGAAGCCATTTGCATTTCACTCAACTCATATCAGCAAAAGCAGAAGATATAGTTACCATAATTAAAACAATTACGAAAAAAATGATTAAAAAAGCTAAAAAATTGATAATCACTGCATTACTAATTTGACATATTTATTGGTTCATTCGCAAATAATAGTGACTGTATGTAAGTGTTCATTATCACATCATTGCATCATTTCAAAGGTTAAGTGTACTGATTTAGAATATCTTTTAAAAACTAAATCAATGACAGTAATTTAGAACTAATGAGTCATTGTTTTCAGATAAGATCAGCGAATTACGACATAATTCAACCAAATGAAGAGCTTTGCTCCGGTATTTGTAAGCATATTAACAGTAGTCAAAAAAACCGATCCATTTGAGAATTTGAAAAGATAAATGCTCGTAACTAAAAGATAACAATCATTCCAGTGATTTGAGAAACTCTTGTGCATATGCGGTGATGATCAGGAATTGGGGTTAGAAGCCAATAGTCCATAAGACAGTGTTGAATATTTGATTGTATCAAAAGATATCTAGCATCACTTTATTTAAAGCAAGATAAAAAATAGAATACTGAAATTTTAAATATTTTGTTTTAGTAAGAAAATGTAATCGGATGATGTCATAAATTATCTTCTGATTGTTTCACTCATTATGATAAAACTTTTTATTTGTAATAATGCAAATACTTTAAGTAATCAATAATAATGATTTGAAAAACTTCCTATCTAATTAAAACCGAATCAGTTGTTGCATGAAATAATGAATAATCTATCATCTATTTTTTACAATTAAAATTTATTTAAAACATACAACTTGCCGCTTAAGAAGGTACTTACGGTATACACTAATATTGAAATATGTGAAATATGTGACTAGTTGAATGGTGAAGACAAGGATAGTATTGTGTGTGTGTGTGTGTGTGTGTGTGTGTGTGTGTGTGTGTGTGTGTGTGTGTGTGTGTGTGTTGCCTAGCAGGTGAACATCGGTAATGTTTTTTTAATTATTAAAGTGAATTTTATGTCATTTCTTGTTTATTGAATACCTTTCGAGCAGTAAAAGTGGAAGTTCCCCTTTAATGATATGATCTCAACTTCATCTATCGTTTATTTATCAGTATTATTTGGCATTCTTTTGGCAAATTTTCAATACAATTATCATATTGGAAATGTGAAATTCTCTTGCATTGAAGGTAAGTTTCTGTGAAAAAAAAGAATGTGACAAAGGTAACAATTTCGTTAAATGATAGTACAGAGACAAAATAAGAAACAATGACACTTCCAAGCTAGCGAATACTTGAATTTTTAAAGAAAAAAAAGGAAGAATTTCTTTTTGTTATTTTAAAGACAAAAAAGGAATCAATTTATAAGTGAAGCAAAAAGAGAAAATCTACAAATTAAAAAGATATAAATTTACAGGATGGAATTTGTATGGAAATTCATGCTATATAGTTGTTCAGCAAGAACTCTCTTGGATAGATGCTAACAATCTTTGTGCTTCTCAGAGGTATTTTGTTAGCATTCATTTGTGCATCTTCTAATTTATTTCTAAAAAGTACCGATTTTATGTGGTGTAATGTTCGCTTTTCAGATATAACTATAGTCGAAGCATTGCCTTATATGATTGGTTTTTGATGCGTGACATGAGTGTTAGTTTACTTAATTCAACAAACAATTATTGGACAGCATTTTATTATCGAGGCACGAAAGATGCAAAAAGACAGGACTGTCGTGCACATGATGCAGTGCTGCATGCAAAATACCATTCTTATACAACATCAATTTATAATCCCCTCTGGTCATCACACCAGGTTTTCATTAAGCCTTTTCTAGAACTGTTAATTTGAATAAATATTAGAGAAAAAGTGGAACTTTTTTTCTACAAAAAAAAAAAAAAAAACATTGATACTGTAGGATTTTTTGGTGATATTGCAGATGTGCAGTGAAAGTGAATAAAAAAAAAAAAAAATAATATTTTAGCAAATATCATATCAAATACTTAATTCTTCCAGTCTGGACTTGAAAATTGTGCTGTAAATAGTTGCATCTATATGTATGCTAATTTTTCGGATCAAACAAACTATGGTTGGAAAATGGAAAATTGTTCTATAAAGCATTCAACAATCTGTGAAACGTTTGCTTGTTTGGAAGGTAAGCGATTTTCTAAATTGATTGTAAATGCTTTTAAATTCATACTTTTTGCAAACATTCTAACTACAGATTACCAATATCGATGTAATGATAACAGTAAATGTTATCCACGAAAAGGCCGATGTGATGGAATACAGGAATGTAGCGATAATTCTGATGAAGCGGGCTGTTCAAAGAAACGTGTTAGCTGTGGCAAAACATTGTTCGAAGAAGCAACAAACGAAATAAGCTTTGAAATAAATTCCGCTCAATATGCTTCATGTCAATGGACCATTCGACAACCCGTTGGCAATAAAATCATTCTAACGGTTCGTTCTAACTTTTGAAAAAAAAAAAAAAGAATTGAATTATTTACATAATAAATGACTTAATTGAATCCTTTTCATCTTATATTCTCGGAAATAAGTTTTATTATTACCTACATCTATCACCCTTCTCAAGTAATATCTTTGTAGCTGGTTAATATCACTATTAGAGATGGTGATGAACTGGTTATTAGTGGAATTCAAAATAATACTGTGAGTAATAGCACTTCTATTTCACAAATGCTATTGAATACGTCGACAGTGAAAGAACAATATATCTCCGTTGATAATACGGTGATAATCACTTTTCGATCTCAGAACACCAATCTATCAGTTGCTAATATGCTTGATGTTGTTCTGAAGTTCTCATACATTGCACGAGGTTCATTTTCATTTCTTTTAAAGTTTTATTTTTTACAAGACACAAAAAGCTCCTTCGGTGAGTAAATATATTATCCTAATTGTCTTTTTTTTCCCTAAATTCTTAATCAGATCGAATAAATGCAACTGAAAAAGTCAAAAAAAAAAAAAAAAAAATACATATTTTAAGAAATTTTAATGATGTATTTGAGTTCTTTTCAGGAATGTACTGCTTTTTGCCGGTTATTGCTTACGGTTCGGTAGTAAATGTAACAGGTTTTGGAATAGGTCATGAGTTGTACTTTAAATGTCATTTGGGTTATCAGATACCATTTGGACAGTCTTTTTCATCATACTGCTACAATGGTGAATGGACGCCAAAACCGAAGTGTCAGAGTATTATTTTAGATTATTGCTCATGTTGGCATTTGGTCCCCTGTTGACAAGAATTATTTTAGCAGTTATAGATATTTGTTATAATTTAAAGATGAACTTCTTATAGCTTTGAGTTGTGGCTCAGCAAGTGTAGTGTACAATAATGCAATTCTTACTGGTTATACTAGAAATGCAACTTTGTACAGTCGAGCATTATATTCTTGTGAAACCGGTTTACAACATAAAGGCAGCTCTCCACCGTTCCGGTTATGTACCGAGAATGGAACATGGAGCAATCCGGATTTTTTCTGTCAGGGTAATCATGATGTATTTTATTGGTTACTGGTTTAGTTGATTTTTGGTACGTTTGAGAAATAACTTGAATTATAGCATCTCTTTGTTATGCTACTTCATTCGCATATGGACATTTCTTGGATCAATTTTATGCAAATGGTACAGCAGGAAAATATGTATGCGATGAAGGATTTTATCAAAAAGACATTGATCCATTGTGTATATCTGGCAGATGGAAAGGCGTACCTTATTGTTATCGTTAGTCTTTAAGTGATTTGATTTTTTAACTATGATTTCATTTTGTTACAATTTCAGTTTTGTTCAATTGTAACTATTTGATTTATAGCTGAATATTACTGCTATTATAATTCATGTGGAAATGGAACTTGTGTAAAGTTAATTGGTGGATACAGTTGTCTTTGCTATGAAGGTTTTCAGATGATTTCCACAACCAAAGGCTATACATGTTCAGGTACCTTTTTAATTTTCCTTTAGTAATTGCACTCATTTAATAATACACTAATATATTATATTGATTTGATATTGTAAATTACTTTTTAAAACATATTATGAATGCCTAAAAATAATCAACGTTTATTTCTAGATATCGATGAATGTTCCACACCGGGCTACTCTCTTTGCGAATTCACATGTGTGAACACAATAGGTTCTTATGAATGTAGATGTCCTGATACTCATTGGCTTTATACTGATCCAAATAGCGTGAACAATCTCGTCAGCAATACCGAATTTTTGATTCCAAATAGAACATGCATCGGTACGTTTGTTTATTGAAGCAAATGTAAGCTAAAGTAAACATGTAAACTTTGCGTACGAAATGATTCCCATATTGAATCCCATCTGCTGATTAATGTATAATGAATTTATTAAGGTATATAGTTTACTTATAGTATATTTGCAACATTACTTAAATTATGTCTTTCGTTTTTCCTCATTCGACATTACTAACTGCTTTATCATTATGATAATATTTGAAATAGCAGATTCAATTAATGGCAAAGATTTTATATTTTACAACAGTACAGCAGTAATGTGTTAGATCGTAATGATTCATAATGATATTATTACTCAGTATAATTTGCCTATTACTAAAATCATGTAATATAGTAGAACATGTTAAATTGTAACAGATTTGTATCAGAACACTTATCATTTTGCATGTAATAAGTGATAACATATTACTATGTCAAATTGTTTAAATAGAGGAAATACTTGCGTCTTTATCGGTATTCACGGAAGATTCTCCCTTTTTTTGGTACAGAAATGAAATGTTACAGAGAAACGATGTCCTGCACCTGAGATTCCTCCAAACGTCATCCCTTACCCATTATATACGGATCCCTTTTCATATCACAATGGACTCGTTCAAATTGGTACAATTGTATATTTTGCTTGCGATCATTCTGCACATAATTATACGAGCTTCATTTGTGACAAGACCGAATCATGGGTAATGCTAAATGATTGCTTAGGTAGGTATGTGTTCATATTATGAAGTGAGCAATAATGTGCTCAAAACATTTTGAGAAAAAAGATATATTTTGTAATCCTGTGATTTAAAATAAATTGCTACTTTTAAATTTTATGCATAATTTGTTTAGAAAAACTTAAAATTTTTTTTTATGAAGAATTTGTTGAAGTTATCTTTATTGTCGATTACTGAAGTAAACTAGTTTAAACATATTCTTAAATGGTTTAGAATTATCTTGATTGAATGTCTAGCAAATAAAAGATTAACATAATCTTATCACCCTAAAATTCCAAAAAAACAATATTGTAATATTCTCTCAATCTTCTTGCAGATGTAACTTGTAAGCCATTAGAAATTACAAAACAAAATCTAATGATTTGGCCTATTAAAAAAAGCTACAAATTTAAAGATAAAATTTATTTTTTCTGTGACGAATTTTATGAATTGAATGGCCCATCTTCATCGTATTGCATTGATGTTGACAAGTGGTCTTTGTCGAAATTACCAGATTGTATTGGTATGTTGTTAAATTCATATAATATTCAATATTAATTAGAGTGGAAATTCGAACGTTGTTCTTCTTAGCAAATTGACACCTCTCAAATTTTCAGTAGTTTCAAGTATAATTGAGAGAAATTTGAATTTCATGTATGTATTGTTTCAAGATTACATAATTAATTCTTAATTGAATGAATTAATGTAAACAAAAATATAGCAAGGTTTTCTTTAGTAAGACAGTGTCCTGGCTTGCAACTTGATGATTATGAAACTATTCCTGTTAATAACAAACAAGACATTACCGAGGATCATTTGAGAATGTTTTTTGAGTCAGCTACACATATTAAAGATACACCTGGATACAGGTAACTGTACTTAAAGTTGTTTTTAGACAGCATACAACTTTGCAAGATTAAAATATGGGAAAAATTTAAAATGGATTGTGAAATAGCATTTCTAACAACTATACTATCATTATAAAGAAGACAAATGTCACATTTTTATAAGATTTTCTTAGTTGTTCGTTCTCCATTAAGTACCAACACGATTGATAACTAAATATGTTGATGTATTGTATCGTCAGACTTACCGATCTTAACACCCAAAATGACTCATCTTCTAAGTCTGCTATGTTCCGACAATATCTAATCATTGCTTAATTATTTTGCTAACAAAATTTTTACATTTTTGATAAGTGCATGAAATAATGCAACGGTTTTATAGGATAAAAGAATCAGTTGAAGAATACATTAAGTTATTATTTTATGCAGATTCTTTTTATATGCTCTTTATTTCAGTTTATTTATTAAATGTAAAAATGGTGCAAATTTTGCAAATGGTCAAACGAAGATTTTTTTACTTTGCATGCAAAACTACACCTGGAATTTGGATAGTATTCCAGCATGTATCCACCAGGGTAATTGCTCTTCTTTATTGAATCGTTTAATATCATGGTAATTCATGCATTATGCAGCAAAATATGTATTCAGATTTGTTTTCCGCGAAAGAAATTTTTTTGAATTTTAACTTTTTTTTTTCTTGCAATAGCACTTGTAATCATCATATAGAAGATATTCAACGAAATTATTCTGATAATGGTGATGCAATGATCAAGAAAAGATACTCTAAAAATTGTATCAGAAATACTACAAGTGATATACATGTCGCCGTGAATACCTCTGCAATGTTATGGTGCTTTCTTAGTGCTAAATGTACTAATATTACTTTAGTAAGTTAACCTTTCTCGATAATATATAATATTGATTGCATAGTACATCGATATGTTAATATCATATATATATATATATATATATATATATATATATATATATATATATATATATATATATATATATATATATTAATTAGCAAATATGGCTTTATTACAAATGTTAGCTAAAATCGACTTTTATTTAGATTAAATGGTATCGTGATAATCGACAAAACATAAGTGGCATGCCTTTAAAAGGTGAAAACGACAGTTGGGGATTGTTTTTTGAAAGTGTCAAGGTTGATTTTAATTTACACTGGTGCAATTCATAAAATTATCGAAAGCTAGTTATTTGAAGATTATTTGGCTTTAGTATGTATTATGTTTATGTTTATGAATTTCTCAGAATTTAATTATTACTAATTATGTAGGTAATTGATGATGGCAGATATTACTGTGTTGCACTAGACACAAATAACGAACTGTTGGAAAAACATCCAGTAGATCTTTTTGTTTACCAAACTTTTGAAACTGGTCGCAGTTGGCCCGATATTGTTCAAAACAGTGAACCAGTTAAAGGTTCTTTTTTCATATCTTTCATTTTCTTTTCTTATCTTGCTTATCAATAATAACGGATTTTCGAAATGAACTTTTTGTTTAGAGATATTATTTGCCATTGATAATACAAAGTGGTCAATTATCTCGAGAACTGTAAGTTTTTATCAGTTTACTCTCCACATACGTGCAATTAATTGATCTGGAATACTTTCAAAGTCTTTTTAGATGTCAATGCAAAACAGTAGTATTTTGAACGGAACAAAATCAACTAATAGGTATGTTTCTATTGCAGTGATCAGACGAATGTAACAAAGTCATTGTCATCTCAAAATAGCGATAATAGCAATTAGCGTTAAAATTTTTTGTTGCAGCAGTTGGCTGTTTCAACAGGTTGTCTTTGTGCCACATGGATGTAATATCATTGAAGTGAAATATCAATCAGACAACTGTTCAACATGCTTTTTGGAACTAATTTCACATTCTATACAAAATGCAAATATAGCAAATTACCACTTTTCAACTTATTTGAATGTATCAAATATCGATTTAATAGATCTCAGCGATAATTTGTTCCAAAAAGAAATTTGCTCACGCTATTCAAACTTGTTTGTTGGAATTCGTGGTGATGTCAATAGCGTGATAGTGGAAAACGTTAAAATTTATACCATAAAATGTCCAGAGGTGCAATATTAATCTTTCTAATATTTATTATAATTGATGAAATCAAAGAAATATTTTATATTTAGTATGTTTTCCTGTTAGATTTGTTACGCTTTAGTCAGATTTTTGATTCTGTTCATTTGTGTTAGAGGATTTAAATCTGACGTAAACTTTTTTCTTCTTTTTCTAATTAAGTGGAGAAAAAGTTGAGATATTGCATAATGAAAAGGATAGTGATTCCTTATCATTATCTGTTGTCAGGTACGAGTGAGCTTTGCATTTTTTCCGGAAACAACTGCTGCTAAAGATGGCAGTATTGTTTCTGGACGATGCTTACACGGTGCGCATACCAATATCAAAGGCCAACATCCACAGCTCTTCTGCACACAACATGGAAAATGGATTTATAATGCACAAAGTGCAAACTTATGCTTTTGCAGTGCAAATTACACCTCGGAAAATGACGCATGTGTAGAACGAGGTGAAAAACTATCAGTTGAAACTGATACTTGATTAGGAATTAAATTGTTTGATTGAGACAATTGATTTTAAAGTTGCATAGCAGAAAGTGTTCCAAATATTATTGTAACTATTCATATCTTTAGGTCCAATTTGTTACGTTTGTTCGGGAAATAATAAAACAAACTGTGACGATTCTTTTGCTGTTTTCTGTGATAAGAATCAGTTTTGCTTCACGCAGATAACTAAGACTCTGGAAGGTGATGTGACACTGAAAGGTTGTACGAACGAATGTAATGCAAACCGTATCGGATGTAAGACAAGAGAAGAAGCTTGTGAAATGTGTTGTCAACAGGATTATTGTAATAGTTGGAAAAATACGCTTAAAGTTTATGGAGAACACTTGCGCCCTTATCCGATGTTTAAAGCTATATGTCCCAGAAACATTGCAGTGTTGAGGTACTTTCTTTAAAATTCAAAGATCTGAAAAAAAAGAGTGTATCGTATTAGCCTTAGGATGATATTTAAATTAAAAATTTAATTATATGACATAATAAGAACTGACAGAAACATGCTTTTTTTATAATGACTTATCAGGAAATTTATTTAAAATTTTTGTACCACTAAAATATACAATTAGTGTGTTGCCTACAAAAAGTTTTGCAGATATTCAAAAGGATTACTAGCTACTGCAACAATAATACCTCCTCTGATATACAATTATGAGCCATTTTACAATCTCACCGTTGATCAGAATATCTTCAACGGCACAGTGCAGTTTATTAAAGAAAGGAATGTGATCATATGGACAGCGACTAATCGGATGCTACAGTTTAGAAATTGCTCAACATATATTGTTTGCAAAGGTTTGTTTTTTTTTTTTTAAGTATTACCTAAACTATAAAGTTTGTGATGAAATTTGTAGATTACTGGGCGCCTGTGCTTGATTGTCCGTCGCTATACATTGATCTTTTGACAAACACGACATCGCTGCAGTTCAGGTCGCGTCTTCCAGAAATTAGTTATCATGATTTTGGCTCACATGTTTCATTGCATTATACTCCACCAAATGGCACAATCACGGAAATTGGTCAACCTCTACAAGTTACGGTTACTGCAACTAATGAAAGTAACAATTCAACACAATGTGTGTTTTGGTATATCGGGCAAGGTTAGCCACATTAAATTGACTTTGTAGTAGAATAATGTAGACTAGTGAAGCATAACTGATATGTTAGAAATCATCTTATTTGATCAGTGTAAGTAGATTTATTGTTACTATTTGTGTGGCTTTCGTGATAACGAAAAACGTTCGGTAAATTCTACATCAGTTCTCTACAAATTTTCAAATTTTTTTGCAAACACAACATGTCGTACAATCTTTGTAGTGGCTGATTGTCCATTATGGCCTGTAAATGAAACAGAATATGAATGTGAGGGTTCAGTGAATCATCGAGTATGTAAACGACGACATAAATGTCCCGGAATAGAATTTCCTAGCCAAGTGACATCTTTAAATTGTATGGCTGGACAAGGATGGAGTTATATGAGTCCTCAGTCCATTGTTAATGTCCCTTTAAATTTATTTCGGACACCAATTTGCTTACGTTAGTATCTTTGTGTTTCTTTTTTGTTTTAAATTTATGTTACCACTTTCTCAAACTTCATATTTTATTTGTTTCTTTGTTTGCTTACTGATTTCATGCATCGTCATTTTGATTTTCTTTTTATTTCTACTTACATACATTCTGCGCTTTATTCTGAATTCAAATTTGTTTTTTGTAATTTCAGAAAGTTCTGCTGGTGATGTTCGCTTATCTGTGAATCTCGCCATTAGCTCACATCTGAATGAATCGTGTAAAGCTGCATTGGTTGATAAGGTCACTAAATTTTATAAATAATCAATCACAGAGGATTAGAAAAGTTTGCCTATCTTCATATATTTAGGTTCTTAGTTGTTCCGAACATACATGTAGTGGAACAGAAAGTATCGCTCTTTGCACCATAAATAATAAAATAATATTGATATGAAAATGTCAAGCAAGGAATAATCATAAACTGCACTAACGGTTTAGAGGACTTTGCTACATTAACTTATGTAGAGCACCGCACTGGAAGTTTACTGAACATTATTGTCAAGGCTTGCTCATAAAGCTCATAATTTAGTTTTGCAGGTGCACGAACTACCTGAAATGCATGAAACTAAAGGATGTCGTCAGCTAAAGTGGACATTTGCTGGGTTATTAATTACAGACAATAATCTATTTATTAACTATACAATGCGCCATGAAAATACATCAACAACGCTGAATTGTGCTGCACAATTTGTCCGTCAAATCATTAAAGGAAAGCTTGCATTTAATGTGAATTTTTGAAGTTAACAAAGATATTATAATCTGATAAATCTCGAAAATTATAATTTCACAAAGGAAGAATGAACTTTGTAGCCTTCTCTAGCAACCCAATTTTGTGTTCAGGAAAAAGCACTATGAAGTAATTCAGAAACGCAGTACTATAGTTTGCCAACGAAAACTTTTTGTCTTTCTACATCGATGCAAGCAAGCAAGCACTGAGATTTGATATGCATCATCCTTGCAGGTATTAAAGACTATTTGTAAAGATATTGAATTCAATGCTTTGTCTGCAAATTATTCCACTGGTTGTTTTAAAGGTTTTTTTTTCTCTCTTTTTTTAAAAAATCCTTTTCATCACATAACTGATAGTTTTTAGTTTTTAAATCAGCCATTATTTTAATCAGGTTCTTTTCAAATCGACTTTTATTCCAACACAGTGATTTTAAATCTGTATTTATTTTAACATTATTATGTTTAAATAATATTAATTATTACAATTAGAAGTGATAATTAAAATATGGAGTTCTATTACTGTTTTAGAAAATTAATAGAAAATTAAAATAGAAAATTAATATGTTATGTGGAGAATTATTAATTTTTCAGATGAATGCGCTCCTGGTTTTTATGCTGCTGCAAATGGCTGTTATCCTTGTCCGCTTCATAGCTTCTCTGAAACTGTTACTGCCAAGAATTGTATAAGATGTCCAGAGAATACATTTACCGCAAAGACAGGATCATATTCCTCTAAATTATGTCGAAGTAATTATTAGTTGAGAAGCACTAGTTTGATTTTATTACTTTAATTAGGTATTTGTGGCGAAAAATTTTTGTATTTTTGTTTTTGTACATCAAAGCAGATGTTTTTAAAAATTCCAATGCTTCATACAATCAGATATGCTTCATTCCCTTAGTTTTTAGATAAACTAAAATCTCCGTTCTTTCCACTAACTTAAATCAAATATGGATGTTAGCATGACATTTTAGAACAGTGTCCACCTGGTTTTTTCTCACCAACTGGTTTAGAACCATGTCAAGCATGCGCAGTTGGTTTTTATCAATCGCATTATGGTTTACAATATTGCAATCATTGTTCATCACCTCACACAACTTCAACAGTAGGCTCAGTTTCAGCTAGCGAATGCGTATGTATGTAATTTCGATTAGTATTTTCATTTGTTTTAGTAAAGATACATTATCAGTTGTATAGTTACTAAATCATTGTTTAAATCTATCCAGCAATGAAACTTATAATTATGAGGACATGTGGTAAATATAAGATCATTTTTAAATTTTTTTTAAGGAGATGTTAAGATCATGTTTTAAAGAAATCAAAAAACTTGCAGCTTTTTGCATGCTTTTAGTAAAATGCAGGCCCGGATGGTTTAGTCGTACAGGTTTTGAACCTTGCATAAAATGTCCGCTTGGTTTTTATCAAGATAGAGCCGGACAAACAACATGCAATGCATGCATCATTGATGTCAACAAGCAGATGTCGGTAAATAATCATTGTAAAGGTAATGCTATGTTTTATCACGGAAAGGAATACATCATTGCATGGAATGAAGAAACAAGAAAATGTTGGAGTAAGGCAGAAAATGAATTGTTAAGGCCAATAAGATTGGTTAGTCACTGAAAAGTTCAGTTGTTAAGTCAAAGATTATCTTAGTCAATGTTACTTGTAATCAGAAAGTTCTTCAAGTATTTCATTTAATTTATCCATTAATTAAGTTGTCCTGCTCAGTCTTTGTCATCTTGACAGAATATCTTTCTCTTAATCTTATCTATGGCCATAATAAGAAAGATGAGAAAATTTTGGGTAATAAGAAGACAACAAGAAAAAATATATAAAGCAATTAAGTGTTCAAATACTTCAGATTTTTCGTGTAGGAAATTAGGCTGCAAAAATAATGGGCTATGTTCAAATGGGCGATGCATTTGCCCATTGTTTTATATTGGTCTCGACTGCAGTGTAGCCCTAAATTTGTGCTTGGCTAATTTTTGTCCTCGAGGTGAAGAATGTCATTTTGATGGAGTGACAACTTCTTGCCTTCCTACTAACAATTCATCATTAGAAGGTATTTATTTCATGAAGAATTATAATCAATTACTGATCTTGTTTGTTTGGAATTCTTCAGTTAGTTGGAAGAGTTGCGTAATGACAAGGGCAAGCTGATAGACAATTTCTTTTTCTGGATATAAAGGATTTCTTCAATAATTCTCCAAAAATGCAGTTCTCAAGCATTATTGTGTAACATTTTCAACATCATTTGCAAACGGAACAATTGCATTGTCGTGAAAATTATTAGATTAAAAAGTAGTACAAAATTCAAATTTTAGATTCAGGAATGAAAGAATGGCAAAATTTATGGAAATTGAACCAACAAGAGCAGAAGCAGTTGCTTGATGAAGAAATTCAAAAAGCAGCGAATGAGTCATCGTTATTGACAGCTATGATATTTACAAACATTTCAGTAAGGCTACATACAGACTCAAAATTAATTGCCAAACAGCTCCCAGTAAGGAGCCAAAATCCAAGAATTAAAAGGAAAGTGAACAAAGAAGCAGTAATGTACATCGGAAACCGCGGTATTATATCAGATCCATCTCAATCACTGATGCAGTTTATTTCTAATCAGTTAACTTCCTCAGAAATTATTGCTACTCGAAGATGGAAGAATGGAGGAGATAAGATTCAATCTACTTCAGCAGCATCAACTGCTTTAGCAGCAGTCAGTGCACCCTACGCAGTTCCACAAACTCCTTGTTCTCATAGACTTAATTTTTGCAAAAACGGTTTGATTTTTTTTCTTCAACTTTTGAAATATTTTTAATTCTAACATTTCATGCATGGATGAATATACGATGAATAAAAATGCGTACATGATCTACTCTTGAGGAAAATGCTGTTTTTAATATTAACATATTCCCTGGTATTCTTAAAATATACAATAATTGAACTTCAGGTAATTGCATAACTACTATCAATGGAACTATTAACTGTATTTGTCGAGAGGGCTATAAAACTAATGGCAATAATAACTGTGTATTGTTGCAAAACTGTGATTATAATCCATGTGGACAAGATTTATGCATAAATATTGGCAACGATTATTTCTGCCAATGTTCAGTTGGTTAGTATTTTTATCTAAACAGTGGTTAAGATTCCAATAAGAGTATTACATAATCAAAAATTTCGAAAGATTAATATTTTAATGGAAAGAAGTAGCTGAGGAATTGCTTTACTTTAGAATAATTTTGCATAAATATATGAAATGTCTTCTTAAGTGATGCACGATTATAGCACAAAATGCATTTTATAAACAACAATGGTGTCCGATCAATAAGGAATGCAATCAAAAGAACCAATGCAAAAACAATGGTATCTCGGTGTGTGATTACAAATCGCGGTGCATATGCCCGACATCTTATTTTGGAGATTTTTGCACAGAAAAAGTTGAACCGTGTAAAAATTTACCTTGCTATCATGGTATCTGTATTCCACAATTTCATCATTTATGGCCTTATTATTTCTGCAAATGTGATCCAGGTTTGTAAATTTTTGCTTCTTTAAATTTCATCTAATTTCTATGTAATAAAATTAAACTTATGAAATAATATCTCTTAAATTTTATGTAAAAAATACGAATTAAATATATCTTATTCAAGAGCGTATCCTTCCTCTTCTTCTCCGTCAGCTTTTACAGCCCACTTTACTTTTAAAATAAATATGCTTTTAAATAACATCCTTTTTTTTTTCCTACAATAAATCAAGTTCTAATTTTTTCAATGTGTTGATGTGTTCTGTAAGATTGAATAGTATTCCGATTTCAGGTTACTATGGCGAAAAATGTACTGCACACGCAGCTTGCGTAGACAAAAATATTCATTGTAAACATGGTAGTTGTCGTAAAAATGATCAAACTGCATACTGCGAATGCTATCCTGGCTTTACTGGAACCGATTGTTCAGTGGAGATCAATCAGTGTAACTCGTCACCATGTGTACATGGCACTTGTAAATCAAAATTTCTGGGTTACACGTGCATTTGTGATGAAGGCTTTAAAGGAAAGCAATGCGAGGTAATTCAGTGCTTAATCTTTGGTCCAGACATTTTTGTAATACCATCAAAGGCCTTCCACAGCAATATGCCCATTTGCATATAAAGCCGCGCTTCAAATCTCTTGCGATGTCAACATTGATCTATTTCACTTAATTTCATATTTAAATTAAATTATCGATAGTTCAGCTTTCCTGATCTTATACAGATAATTTTTGATCAGCTTATTTTAAAGTTTTGTGAAATCTGGACCTCTTTTGCTTCACTTGCTATTCAAATTGCATACAATAGAGAGGAATTTATATTTATTTATTTATTTGACAGTGTTAAATTTCAGAAGTTGATTGATCCATGTGATGAAAAACCATGTAATCTCAATTCAGAATGCCTTACTTTGAGCTATGGGTACAAAGGCAAATTTGTATGCAAATGTGCAGAGGGTTGGACAGGTACTGTATACATACAATAAGTGTGCATTAATTTTAATCCATTTTCCTTAAAACTAGGTAATACTACCAAAGAAATGTTAATGCATAGATATGTTTTAGTTACACCTTTCAACATGTATCATTTTGTAGGAAAGTACTGCACTGAGCTGATAGACTTTTGCATTCATTCGCAGTGTATTTCTGGTTCCACCTGTATCACCCGATCTGGAGTTAACGGAGATGTCGATTACGTATGCATATGCCCTCCGAATAAAGCTGGCATTTTTTGCAATGAATCAGTTGATTACTGTAAACCAATGAATCCATGTTTACATGATGGTATTTGTCAGCGGAAAGATGATGGATATGCATGTCATTGCAAACCAGGTATTTTTACTTTGTTCACTACAATGACTTTGCAATGATACATTAAAATTTAATGATTCAGTAGTTGATAAATATTAATATTATATTTGTGTAGCAAAAGTTGAAAACATTTGGCAGCAACACTTTTAATAAGCAATGCAGAGTAACTGGAAAGTTATATATTACCAAGATTACAAATGAATTTTGCAAATGTGTACCAAAGATTAACATAGAAAGAAGATTAAGTTAATGATTGATTTGTGCAGAAAAGGAAAAAAAAAAAAAAAAAAACTTCCGGTTTCAACATATTAAATATGCTGGAAGTGATGATATTCTGTATATCAGTAACTTAAATATGTGAAATGCTGGATACAACTAAACGTTAATAAATTCAACTTCTTACAGCAAACCGTGTATAAATATTTATAATAATAGGTTATCGAGGAGATCATTGTCAACATAGCCTATGTTCACCAAATCCATGCCAAAATAACGGTAATTGCACAATATTGTCGTTAACAAGTTATAGCTGCTCATGCCCTCAATATTATGAAGGTGTTAACTGCACTGCGGTTAAGGTAATTTGTCTGAAATATTTCCAAAGTATATGATTTGTAATTTACATATATTTCTCAGTTATAATTCTAACTGATGGCTCTCTGACGATGTGAAATAGGCATTGATCGAATGGATGAGATAAATCCATTTTTGAATTTTACCAAATTTTTGTTTTTGTATAGTTGATTATTTTTTCAGAATGTGTGTGCGATAAGTAATTTTGAAGATTATTGTTTGAATAATGGCAAATGTATTTCTAACAACTCTGAGCCAATCTGTCACTGTACACATCAGTATGAAGGACGCAGATGTGAAAACAGTTAAAACATTTATTGTTGTTACTTTATTTGTATTAGTGTTATCAATCATTTCTGATGAGCGATAAGCAATTAACTATTGAATGTTTACAGAGAAAGATTTGGACTTCAATGTTATGTTTAACGAACAAACACGAAATTTGACATCCACATTATTTGATGCCAGTGTATTGAAGCAATTCACATTATGTTTTTGGATCAGGATATTGCCAATGGGAAATAATTCTTTTACTCCTTTTCTTCGTTTCGATCAACAAGGGTATTAGTTTCAAATAAGTCATTTTAACTTTGGACCTTGTCCGGAAAATTTAGCTCACCTATGCCTCATCACGTAGAAGGCTAAATGCGTTTAAAGCGGATGTAAAAGAAAAAAAATTGCAGTGTAACAACAAAAGTAAATGTTCATTTTGTGATGGATAAAATAAAGTGACTCATTTTCAAAACCGTATGGAGCTATTTTAGATTTGAAAAAAATATTTTATCAATAACAGAGAATGTAGTAAGATTTGTCGAGTACGTGGCATGGGCTAATATGACGCGAAATCAGTGGCAACAGGTACAGCAAGTTAACTTCAAATCTCTTTAATTTTTTTTTCAAATTTTGGTTTTTTTTTTTTTTTTTGTTTTTTTTATGCGTACAAATTATCCAATTTATAATATGTCTGCAATTTACTCTTTTAGTTTTGCTTCCGCAGAAAGAAGAATGGAGCTACTGAGTGGATACGAAATGGTGAAGTTGTTTGGCAAAGGAATTGGGACGTACCACCGGTTAATGGAAGTTTGAGGATTCTGTTGGGGTCGTCGGAATTATTTCACGGAGAAATAAGTATGGTTCAGGTTTGCTTTTGCATTTCTCTTAACAAAGCAGCATTTCTCATCATTTATAATGACCTATAATTTAAGAAGTATTAATAATTTGAAATAAGAGGTATTAATAATTTGTATGTCATCATGCAAAAAAAAGCACATACAAATTTTTGTGGATTCTTAAATATTATTGTCTTTCGTGACTGTTCTGACTGCTTTTTGTATTGTAGGAGAAGTTGAACAATGATTTACAATTTAATTGAATGAATAGAATCTTTTGATGACTTTTTTTGTCATAGTTTTTTATCATTTGGCAAACTTACTTAAACTAATCAATTTTTAGCTGTACAGCACAGCTCTTCGTAACAAACAGATAAATGATTCTGTTCAGTACTGTAAGCAGTGGTTGCAATCTATTGTAACGAGTGGCGAAACTCCTCTTATTAACTGGAATCAGTTCTCAGGTGTGAAACATGGAAACCGTAATTATCCGGGAATATGTACTCTTTCTGATTGTTTGTTAAATCCTCATCGCTGCAATTCAACTATGGGTAATCTTCATTTTACTCGTTTCATAAGAAAATCAGTTAAGATGCTAAACAAAACTTTTTTTTTATGCATAACTAACTTTTGTCTCGGTAAACATGATGCTAATTTCCTGAAATGTTGCAGATAAAGTGCCACCAAAAGTAATAAACTGTCCATCAAATATCATTGTAACCTCAAAAAACAGACTAACGGTCGTAAATTGGTCTCCATCGAAATCGAATGAAATTTTTGCTGATAACGATATCATTCAGATGTCATCAAATTACAATAGTGGTGATGTTTTTACTTGGTGAGGTGTAAACCATATTTGTAACAAGTATTATTTTATCTTGTCAAATTGTTATCTAATATTTTTACGTTCACAACAGTCTATAAAGTATTTATATTTAGTATTGTTGCTTTGGTTGCCAAATGAAAATCGAAGATTCGGCATTAAATCATAAGCTTACAAAAAATATGATAAATTAAAGATTCATACAATGGATGGTAAAGGAAAGTTTTGTTTAGGTAGAAATAAAAGTTACTAAAAGAGATGATTTCTTACTGAATATTAGTAATACAGGGGTAAATATCACATCGTGTACATTGCGGAAGATAAAGCTGGAAATATTGAAACTTGCCAATTCGACCTTGTCATAGCAACAATGAATTGTTCTAATCCTAAAAAGACTGATGGCATTAATTTTACAATTCGAAATATCCATTCAGAAAACGTTCGAAAAGTGGCATTTGTTGAGTGTAAATCAAACTATGTGTCTATTCATCCGGTTACTGACTTCTATTTCTGTGACTTAATGGTTAGTCTTTTAAATTATATCAAACAGGAAATGTTGGAGTATACTGAAGAATTTAAAATATTTATGTAATGATATCATGCTTTCCTATATCTTAAATTCTGAACTTGCCGATTCTTTCATTAAGAAATCTAGAAGTTTCATAGGGTGTTCAGGAAGTCTGTTCTATATTTTGTAATATAATAATGAGTCACATTCAGTAAACAGCAACGGATTGTTTTTATATTTGATTTCATATCTTCACAGGGTTATTGGACTCGCTGGTCGCATGGAATTAATTTCTATTTTCCAAGTTGTTTGAAGTATCGAGCTCCACTGCAACAATTAAGTGGTCAGTGCTTCTTTCAATTTGATACAAGTTGAAAATAATATAAAACTCTCTTACGGTGATATTACAAATCCAATCCAAAGAAAATACTTATCTATCGGTCTTCTGTGCTTGTTTCAGGTTTGATAATCGTAACAGCAAATTGTAGTGAATTTGATTTGTATAAGAAAAATTTAACAGCTGTAATTTTGGTTAGTTTGTAATATTATTTTGGCACTGAAGAATGTGCTTCATTGATAGTATCCAATTGGTTATTTATTACATTGATATTAGAAAAGCTTATTCAAGGTATTTCCCAACTGCTATATCATAACATTTTAATATTTCTAAGTACATTATTTGATAAGTTCAGTTGTATTAAAATTTTTGTTTCTTATTTCATACGTTTGTAAATTCTTTTCCTTACTTCAAAAAATTTGCAATCACAATACACATACGTTTCTAGAAGTACAACTTAGCCTTTATTTTGTCAAAATGGATTGAATAGTTTAATCACAATATTTCATAATGAAAATGTCAGTTATTTTAGACTGCCAATAAACAGTTTAATCATTTCTGCACCACCCCGAACTGTACCAAAGAACTCAAAATGTGGTCAAATTCAAGTTGTGATAATCAAGTTTTAAGGCATCCCAATGAAGCAGCTCAAAATATATATCTTTATTATTCGATTACCGTGAGGTTCGTCACTTTTCATTCTTTTATTATAGCATAAATGAAACTTTTATTAATCCAAAACAGTAATTTTTTTTCTTTTAAATTGACAAGTACATAAATGATTATGATATTTTTTCAAGTTTTACATTAATCCATTTTTTTCACTTAAGCATCAAAACTTACATACAGTAAGAGCCATTTCTTCCTATCTTGAAAGAGATTTATTAACTTGAATGCGGGACATTGTCCTACCATTCTTAATGCTTTTATAATTCTTCAACTGACTCTTAAAGTAAGAAAACTGTATGTTAAATGAAATGAATTCCTTAGTTAAATTTTTTCAATTATATTAAGCAGCATGATCATGAAAGTCATGTTCATTGATTAACTCACTATTCCTTGAACAATTTTTATTAAATTTCTTCAGCCAAATTGTCGGACATTGTATACTTCACAAGCTTAAGTGGAAGGTGGTAATCGCCACCAGCTAAGACTTTATATTATTTTAGTGGTTTGAGCCATTCGGAGCAAATTAAATCACATTCATATAGATCAAATTAAGTCGAATTTTAAGTACCACAAGAAAATCAATAAAGCCTGCAGTAACGGAGAATTTGAACAAAGTATTTGGCAACAAGATTGGAGAGACAAACACATCATGGCAATGTCCTTCAAAAAATTATCCTGCTCAAATTTTTGGAAGTGATACTCGTTCATGTGGTATTATTTCACTTTTTTATTCCTGCATATTTTTATTGTTTGCATTTTTATTAAAATAACAAATTATGAATAAGCAATGAAATGTTTAAATTTATGATCACATAACTTCACAGTTTTTTGCAATAATGAATTTTTAGTAAAATGTCCACCTGGGATGTACTGTGTAAACGATAGATGTATGCCATGTCCAGAGAATACGTTTAAGAAAAACGCTGGTTGTAAACAATGCATTCCATGCCCAAATAATACAATAACTGGCCCGATAATTAAAGACATCGGTTATCAAAGTATTTTTGATTGTTATAGTAAGCTTTTGTTGTTTATTACTCTGTAATATAGTGTCGATGAAAAGAAAACTCATCAAAAAATAACTCATAACGAATAAACTTCATATATACTATTTTAAGTAAATGCTATATTGACTTTCCGTTATTAATAATTTGTAATTTGGTTCATGTATCTGAGTATTAATCTAACTTTCCTATATTATCATTATATTTCAGCAAACTGCAGTGCTGGTTATCATTACAGCATTCAAGATGGAAGCTGTGTTAAATGCCCAAAAGGAATGTATCAAGATCGACCGGGACAACTGAGATGTAATGCCTGTCCAGAATCTCGCAGCACACCGAAAAGAGTATTTTTATTTTGTCTTCTTGTTTTGTGTGAATTTATAAGCTTTTAGTCTTTTATATGCATTAAATTTATATTTTAGAGTAATGGTAATGTTTAGGGTTCAGTACATATTTCAAATTGTACGATTACCTGTGGTGCAGGTATGTCAATGAGCTCACATTCTCAATGCGTCAAATGTGCAAAAGGAAAATATCGGCAAGAAAATTCCACTGAAGCCCGTTGTACTCCATGTCCTGATTACTTTACAACACCTGATAATGGAAGCATTAGTCAGAACAATTGCACGGTGCTGAATTGTCCTCCAGGAACATATATTAATTTGTCATTGCCATCAGAATGTTTCCTTTGTCCTCGAGACCACTATCAAGTAATATTAGATATTTTATTATAATTTCACTTTTAAATGAATCTTCAGACTAACTGATTTTAAAAAGAAATAGAAACTTCTATACTGATATTTTACATACGACTACTCGGGTGAGGTATTTATGATGTGTAGCAATGAGACAGTATATGATTTAAATTTATCTACAAAACTTGATTTTCAAATATTTCGCGAGAATAAGAAAAAGTAGACGTTAAAAATAGGATGACTAATCTTCGAGATGTAAAATGCATGTGATAGAACGAAAGATTGGATTTAATAAAATATTTCTTATGCGCTTCTGTAAACTCCCTTTCAGGAAAAATCAAATCAAACCGAATGTCGACATTGTATGAAACCTCTTATTACTCTGGGAATGGTACGTTATTTCTCACAGTTTACTTCTTTTTTTTTACAGCAAAAATCCGAATCATTAATTTCTTTTATCTACTAAATGAGTAACCTAACTTTTAAATGGTAGTTGTACCCTAATAAGTTTAAGTTTAACCTTTCATAGCTTTGAGGTCGTTGGATATCTAAGGTTTCAATTCCTATTTCAAACATTCTTTTTTTTGGCAGTCCATTAATTAAAATTAGCCATTCAGTTGTGTCGATAGTTGTAGAAAATTGTTTAAGAAAAAAGAATAGCTGATAGCATAGAGCAGAAAAAAATTGTTGTATCCATTACTCTTTCACATTTATTAATAAGTATAAAACTACAAAAACTCTAACTTATGGGACTGGCGTTACATCACTATCAAATGGTGTTTCGCAATGCTAATAGTTTTGGATATGCTTACGATATTGAAAGAAACAATCATCATATTTTTAGGGTTCTGTACATCCTCGGCAATGTATGAAACCATTGTTTTGGAGCTCTGCAGGTTCAGATGTTGATATTAGTAAGTACTTCAGTTCGAATCTATGGCCAAATTTTGGATTTGTTGGTATTATCGGTGCCATTGCGTTTCTTGCTCTCCTTTATTTCCAGAGACAAAGGTTTCACATGTGTTTTTCATAGAATTTCTATGTTCTCAAAAAAAAAAAAAACATAATGTAAGCATAATAAGTTAATTCAAGCAGTGGAGAAGTCGCTGAAAGGAGATTTCTGAGTACTTTTATCCAGTGTAAATCGCCTCGAATCAATACCGCCAACAGGTGCATAATGCACTCATTAACTAAATAAGTAGTTTATTCACTAATTTAAGGATGCGATCATTATTTTATAAGATAAGGGGAGCACAGTTAAAGCACATGGCCACACTGAATTATTACCGTGATTCTTCTTTTACTTATCCAATTGTTACTGTAACACCAACAGACACTAGTGCTACACCAGACTTCAGCGAGGATAGAGTTCCAAAGAATCGTGAAACACAGGTAACGGTATTAGCATATAATTTGAACTTTGCTTCACTCATTGATTTGATACAATTAATGTATTGATTTACAAGTTTGATATGAATGAAATTCATCAAATGGATTAGTTTTCTAAGTTTAATAAACACAATAAGGAGATACTAACTTAAAGTCGGTACTACGTTCATAATTGCAGGAAATGGTGGAAATTTATCAGGAAATTTATGATGGATTGCATAGTATGGCAGAAGGGACATCTTACGTGTCAAATAGTGAATTGACTTCGAGTCAATCTCTCAGACCCATTTCAAGAGTTCGTCTTGAAGTGGACACCACATTGAGGGCTGAATTTTGCGGTAATCCGAAGGCGTTGGGAATGGATTCATCCGGCTTCCCCATCGATTCAGCAGATTATGAAAATGCCGACCAGTGTAACTCGATAGTTCCAAAGAATTATGGGCAGGATTCAGAAGCTTCAGATGAAGAAAATCAAATCTCGAGGTAAAGATTTTTTCTAATATCTAATATTATAATCCTTGTTTTAAGCACTTCGGAAATGAAAACAGTTCGTTATGAAGCAATACTTTGTTTTGGGAGATCTAGAAACATTGGTTTTAATTTTAATAAATGTATTGATTTCCAATTTAGCTTTAAACGACGGCTTGATGCTTATCGAAACTGGAATTTGCGAATACCCTTGGATGAGATATACATGGAGCCCACTGAGTACAAATTATTTCTGTCGAAAGCAAATGACATATCTGTTGAAAAAACAAGTGGCATTTTGAATGAGGAAAATAAAAACAACGAGAACAAAAATGAAGAAAGCGATGATGAGGTGTGTGTTATTTAAACTTATGAACGAGAAGTACATTTGGTGTGAAGTGATGAAGCAGAAGAAAGATTTAAAAATTTTTACATCACCTATTCATTTATCTTAAATACAATGCAATTTTTTAAGGACTACTTTGGCTGACCATTTGAAATGCTCTTGAAATGATCAAATTCGACCTTTGAAATCAAAAAATATTCCGCAGCTAAACGAAATACCAAATACAATGGAAAAGTCTTGGAGGAAAATATGCAATATTTTTTAAAACCATTCATTATTTTGCTTCATTTCTTGCAAATAATTAAAGAAAAACAGAATTTAACATTTAATCGCATTATCACTGATCAATAATTATATACAAATTATCTTTATCGATTGGAATGCATTATAATAACAACCGCATATAGAATAGAATATAGGAGTTTTGAAACTGAAAAAGGTCCAAATAAAATTCTGGAATAATTTAGATTCTATTTTGGATAACTATTTTAGTTCTAAGCAATCCCAGACTCACTAGTTTTTTTCTTTTCTAGGAAATATCATTTTTAAAGTTGAAGTAATGCAAGATGATAGTGGAAAAACAGCTCTTTTGAATGTTTCAGTAAATCAACAACTTGCATCTAATATCACTAATAACCGTTTTTGTATTCAATTTTGGATGAAAATACTTTTGGAGGAGGAGTATGTGTGTGGCTGACCAATCACTTAACTGTTATTAGCTTTTCAATAGTGCACTTGCTTTCCTCTTATTTCTCTGCAACTTAACGAAATCATTTCTTGCGGTTTTTTAAAGAAGAAAGATCACTAACCCAATTCAAAATTTCCAGGTATTTATCAACCACCCTAACAAAAACAAGATATACAAGATCTTAAGGAGGGCGAGGGGGAAGAGAGGAATATGATCACAGAAATTCATATTGAAGAATGAGAAAATTTATTAATTTATGCATTTCGAGGCAATTTCCAGTTGGGTTAACATCGTGATCAGGGTTATACATGATGATCACGAATTAGTCTTCTCCCTGAGTACAGCATTAGAAGCGAGATCCAGTACAGCCATCCACTTTATTTGCGCATCTTCACTCTCCACACTAACTATATATTGTCGTTGCATATGCCTTATGGTAAATGTAAGTCGCTCATTATTCATTTTAACTTCACAACCGGGAAGCGGAAGCATTGCCAGGGCGCTCTCTGCCTGTAACTATTTAGTGATATTACAATATCACAGACTTCCGTACCACATACAGAAAGCTAAAAGCACTTTGGTTGCAAGCTCTCTTGATTTAATAATTTGAATGAGTTATAATTTGTAACTGCAAATAAAGGAAACTCACGCTATCAGAAGCGTAGGAATATAAGCAGAAGTCCTTACGCACGACGAAATATCTCTTTAACGGCTTGTTCAATGAACCACGGAATTTAACGTAACTGGCATACAGTATTTCACCTTCTTTAGCTCCTATTAATAGCGGGTTTGTTCGTGTTTTCGGAGTATTTTCTTTTGTTTGGGAATACTCCTTAAAATTTAACAAAGCAGTTTTTTAGTGTGTTTACCAAATAAATTAAGGACGAGTTGATTCGTATCCGAGACTATCCATTCTAATCAATTATAATTAAAACGTGACTTATGCAATCCATAGGTCCTAAATTCACAGCTTTTTTTTTAATTAATCAAATTGAACAAAGTTCAGTCTGAATCCTGATAAAAATGAAGTGTCATCAAAGAGCTAATTTAGAATGTCATGAGTGAAATGGACGGAATACCTTTCTTTAAAAGTACTTATATTGTGTAATCACACTTACCAAAATATTATATAATCACATTATTATTTCAGTTGAAAAACATCTTATATGACTTACACGCTGTCGCAGGCAAGTGTCACAAATACGCATGTTTTTGTCTTCGTTGCGCAGCTTCCCGAAACACTTTTTACAGAATCGCTGCGCGCAATGAGCACATGCAGTACCCTTTGAGATGAATGAGAATTCGGTGTCACATTTTGCACAACAGCGATTTTCAGATCGCGGTGATATGATGGTCGGTATCTATAAACAGTATTTTAGGCTATGACTCGCACTTATCAGTTACTAAAGCTATTGTACTAAAATATTGCGTTTTCTATTCACTTTGACGCAAATAAATCAACCATGTTGCATAATCGTGTCTAAACGGATGCTCTGAGTGATACCGGTGGACTGAAGGATTTCTTGCGTGATAAACTTTCACTGATAACATTCCAAACTGCATCTATCCATTCACTTTTTTCTTGGCTGTTTTCGGTCATCAGTTCTATGCAGCTACAAAAGAGTAATCAAAAGGCATGATAAAACACTAAAGACAAAAAATTATTCAGATAAAAAAATTCAAACAAAGAAATTCAGATAAAAAAAAATTTACCGGGATGGACCATTTGGTGAGTCGGAACCACGCAAATAAAACGAATTTTCGCGTTCAAGGTTATCACCTTCACAAATCTGAAAGCAATCCATTCAACTTTTCAAAACGAACATGAAAGAAAAAACTTTTCCCAATCCTACCATCATTTTTTAAAATTGCTATATCGCTTGCAAATTTAAATTGCATATCCTTAGCAATACTTGCCCGCGACCCGTAAAGCAAGACTCCTTTACAGACTTAACAAGAACCACAAATGTGTTGCTATGGTTGTCGTCGACTATGCAACATATGTCATAAGTAAAAGAAAGTGCATAGTATGTGTTATTTTTTAAACATTAAAAAAGAAAATGGTAATAAAACAGACCTGTGCTAATGTTGTATCGAATATTGCTCGAACCTTAAGTTTAGCAAAACCAGGCAGTGTCCTTTCCGAAGCAAGAAGTAATAAATCATTGAAAAGAAACAAATGCCGTTCTTCAGTCTTTTCTGATGATGACAATATCTTCAAAATAATTATTGTAGCTGTTTTTAAATATCTTCTACCTTTACATTTATTTCCATATTCGATTCAAAGTTATTGCATGGGATTACTAATGGTATAACACGTCAAATTACTACTTCCCAAAAGATAATAAAAACTATTTACCTTCATCACCTTTCCCTTGCGGATTAATTCGCGGCCTGGTGATACCAATGAAACTGCACTGCCAAGCTGCTCTTGAACTTCTAGCACGTTTTTGTAACGATCCTAAAAGTAAGCATTACTAATTTCAAATTTCCAATTAAATTGTTTCGGTATGAATACAACTGCCACTACACATACCAATTTACGCATCATCTCATTTGCATGACCTGCTGCATCAAGGACCAGACCCAGAGCAGCTTCTGTATCGTCATAATCAACATCTGAAGGATCCAAATGCTTTTTGTATTCCTTAAAAAAGAAAAATAACTGTCAACAATTTTCTTATAATTATTTCTTTGAACAGAATGACATTTACTTATCACTTAGGATCACTAAGCAAAATTCAGTGCTAACTTTGATTGAACTATTATTACTAATGGCAAACTAAATTATTACCTGCAATAACAACTGATATCTCATGACACGTTGCACTGGACATATCAGATGTGAAACTAAAGGTAGATTTTCGCATTCAGGTTTCATCTGCAAAAAAGTGAATGAAAGAACTTACTCAATATTTGAATCATTCTATGGTTCTTTCTTTCTTTCTAATTTTTTGAAAGTCAGATAATGCGAAAGTAATAATAGTTTGCGCATGACGTTAATACTTTATAAGTAAAGCATTTTAAAACAACAACCTCAATTTCGTGTACAATTTGTGCAAAACGCCGTTTCTTTTTCAAGCATTCGTCGAAAACCTTGGTCGCCCGTTTGTAATTGTTTGTGTATTCGGAATACATTTTCAGGAAAGGAGCACGTTTTCGAAGAACATCACTGATTCTTAAAAACGATAATATAAAAGCGTATAAATAACGCTGTGTACAAATTCATAGGTCCTCCTACCTTAAGCTTGTGAACTCAACTCCACATCTTCAAAATATTTATCTGAATTGTCTGATAAATTTCTGCTTTTGAAATAAATGCAACAAATTTCTGCAGTTTTTGCTTTTGTTTTTGCTTTTGAAATAAATGCATTTCTGCTTTTGAAATAAATGCAACAATAATTTCTGCTTTTGAAATAAATGCAACAATAATAATTTCTGCTTTTGAAATAAATGCAACAATAATAATAATAAACAAACTGTTTCACACCTGTGAGTGGTATGCCAATCTCGTGAACTTTCCATCAATGCAGGCAATAAATGGGTGTTGTGAAACTGATGCAAACTGGATATATTTGCAAATAGCTGTGTTATTCTGTCCCGTTCCAAGATTTTCTCCTCATCAATTTTCTTGCGGAATGTCTACAATAAAAATGCTAGAGCGGTATAGAAATTACATGTAGAACTATTATTACATGGATGGTCATCAATTACCAATAATTCACTGAATAAATAAAGTAGAGCATATTGGCAATTTTTAAATTATACTTCATCAAGCAGACGTAGTTTGTCAACATATCGCTGTTCCGAATCAACTAGTTCTTTAGCAGCAAGCCAGGCTTTTTCGGTACGTTTTTTGATTTTTTCCTTCATTGCTGGTACTCGATTCATGCTTCCTTCTGAAATTACCACAGACTGTGCGTCTGGGATTTCTGAGATTTGCGACTGTGCATCTACCACAACATCATCGCTCACATCATCTGCTTCTTCCTCCGAAAGATCATCATCTCCAGAGGTATCACGTAGTTTCACTTTGAAACCTCCATCTGGACCTGAAAGACAATAAAAACTACTATTTATAATAAGTAATTAGATGTGAAATGAAAACTACTTCTACAACAAGAAACCTGTAGGCGTTAAAGATTAGACGTAGTATGAAAGCTAATTTTTATTTTATATATAAATGAAAAAATATACCTTTATATTCCATGAAAGCTCTGAATTTGCTCTTCGATTCCTGTTTCACACCATTTATGTACATTTCATGCTTTGAAAAACGTGTACTGCAAGTGAGAGATTTTATAAAAAATCACAAATAATTTTTGAACCGAAATGAAATGATTGGTTTCAATACAGCAATTCTGCTTAATACATTACATTAGAAATTATGCTAGAGAAGTGAAATACTTATAATCTTCTCCAAACTTTTAAAAACAAACGAATGGAATGCTCAATTTGTTTCAAAAATATGTTTCTTCCATCGATATGTATTTTAATATGTTTGACGCTTTACTACGATTGAAAATTTTAAATAAAACCAGTAAATTCGAAAAGATGAACAGGTCCATAAACATCTGAATCTAAAATTCTCTCAAGAAAATTGTGGGCCCGTGGCATTCTATAGCACGACATGAAGAACTATTCCCATTATAACTATTTGCTCGAAAACATTGTGCAATAATCAATTAAATTAACCTGTAGGCTCTGGAAGAGCGCATTCGTGTTGTGGTGCTACCATCTGGATTAACAACCGTTTCAACTTCAGTTTGTGGAGTATTCGAAAGCGATGAACTTGTTCTCATTTCAGAAAATAGTTCAGGAAACTTATTTATAAGCTGATCTTTCTGTTCATTTAACATGTTAAGAAATTTTTCCTGTGTCTTTTGCAATACGGCACTAATTGCTGAATCCTGAAAACTCATTTTTTACTTTGCTTGTTTCCTCAACCATAATTTTGCATTAAAAAAAATCATGAGTTTAGACTTTTTTCCTTGCTAACTATGCGGTAACACCTCAGGATTAGAAAAATCCATAAGAGCCTTAGATCTATCAATGAGGACTATTGGCTGTCGGAAACCATCGATATCACCAAATAATCGTTCTGTTTTTTCTTCGATCAAAGCTTCCCGACCTAAAAACACAATGCTCAAACTTCAGAGCATTGAAAAATGCGACCGTTCCACCAAGTTTATTGTTAACATTGATCAAAACTAGCGCTAATTACTAATTTAAATACAGAACTGATACAAAATAAGTGGTTGGTTTATTTGTATTTACCATTAGCAATTTCGGTTTTCCTAGTGCTTTGATTGCATTCAATTTTTAACTTTCTTCGACAAGTTTTCGTCATCTCCTCTTGACCATCCGCAGAAAGAATGTGATACTCGGTGACGTGTACCTTGCATCCATCTGTCTCATCAACTTCATCGAACTGCAAACAGTCTGAAATTATCAAAAGCCTCCCAAACATGTAAACCAACCCTTAGAATTTAGGGAGCACTTTGACCAACATAACCACAATAATATAGAAGAAACCTCTTTTACATCCAGCAAAGTTCCACCTTGCAAATCTACGTTAGCGGGTGGAGATAATTTCTGAAGAATGAGTGATCCATCTGGAGTGGTAGCCATGTTTACATTAGATTAAGCAGCGGGAAATGAGATTAGCTGCTCGGATTACGTACGTGTCACCTCTTCTTCCTGCAAATAAATCTTTTTACAGCTATTTTACCCTACATTTTTTAATCGCTCTTTTGTTCAAAATTCCCAAAAATCGCTCCTTCCCATTTTATAATTTCACAAAGAGCGGTAATTGCAAATCATTTTGTAATTGGACAAATCATAAACAAAAACGTTTACAACTGAAAGCACGGCAAGCTTAAAAGAGACATATTAAAGAGCCTGTCATTCTTATGAAGAATCTATTCAGCTTTTATCAGAGAGGTATTCAAACTTCCGGATTACTACTACAGCAATAGTTGACTCTTCCAGTGGCATTTCCATAGAAAAGGTGATAAACTAATGTCGCATGATATCACGAAAACGACAATGTAGTAAACAAGTAAACAATTGCAATTAGATATCGATAAATATTGCATAATTTATATAGAGGAAATTGTTTTCTTTGCAGCTGGAATATCAAAGTTAGAAATGCTACGGTATTGCCTGCCTACCTGAAAGATTGAAAATTGTACTTTTATTTAACATTGTGCTAATGTTAAACAACAACTAGTGTTTTTGCTTTTGTTTTTTTTTTTTTTCTTTTTTATTTAGATCAAATTCTACCAACCATATTAATTGATTGCCTTTTGGGATATTTTCATGAAAACGGAAATATACATTGGCCTTAATAAATTCCATCAATTGACTGTGATGTATTTTTTTTTTTTAGTTGTAATAATTTATCCAATTCTGAACAATTTCAATTTTTTTAAATATAAATTTAACAAGCATTTTAATGTATTAAAATTTTTGACTGTGTGAATGAACATTTTATCACTTATCATTTATCTTAGAATTTGTTCATCGAAGTGAAATCAAACCATCCAAATGAATATTACATGATGAGGCAAATATCTATTGAAAATAAGATGAGAATTCTAATTCAGTAATAATAGCTGAAAAAAAGGAAAAGAAATAAATGTCCCATGAAAGTAAGCATATCAATCAATGAAGCAATCAGTCAAGCAATTACTTCCTTCATGACAAGAAAAGTGATGTCAAAAAAGATGCACTATGATGATGGATAAGATGATGCGCAGGGAAAAACAACACTGTCGTTCATCAACCAACAACAAAACTCGAACATTTTTAAACATTTGTTCAGCTCTGTCAAATTTCATTTCTTGTATTCATTCGTGTTTGCCGTTCATTCAACCTACCTTCTCATGTTCTTCCGTTTCCTCTCTATCATGATCAATTCTATTCTATTTTGCTCTATTCTAATTCTTCAATACCACAACATGTGGTCGTCTGTTGATACTTATATCATTGATCGAAACGAATGAATGGTGTGATATACAGCAGCCGGTTTTCAAAACCATATCGGAGAAGTGATTTGAAACGATGACTGTCATCGCCGGATCGGTTTGTTAAGTAGGAGATTTTTATTACTTAAAAAAAGATAGAGTTAAAGATAATTGTAAAGTTGAGAACGGTATATTGCTTAAATGGGTAAATACAAATTTAACGGTACAGGAGTAAACAGTGTTATTATTACATTTAATTTCGCACTTTTTATCAAATGATAATAATTCCCGCGTTTCTCTGTAACTTCCTATAAGTATCGTCAAGAAACAAATTATTTCCCTAAAAATAACGGTTGTTCTTATCTTAGTTACTTCTAATGAAGTAATTTATATCTTCAAATAACGGAGACAAATGGTGCGTTACAGCAAGATCTAATAAGCATGAATATGTTTGCATGCACATATATATATAAATCACTGCCATATTCAAAAGACATAAAATAAAAATTAAGCAGAATAATACAAAATGAACCAATGAAGCATTCCCCTCTAATGAAAAGTATAAACATGGACTCTATTTATTTGATGAAACTGGGGAAGCAGAGCAAAAGGAGGTAAATTAGCATCAACTTGCTCCATGTGATACTAACATATCATTCATTGGAGATGAAGAAGAACCGGAAACGGATCAACACATGCATCTTTCCCGTCTTATTCCCTTAGGGAGTAACTAATGCTAACCAAAAATAGGGATTAACTACGAAACATGTGATTAACTATGAAACTTTTTCAAAACTTCTCAAAATTGAATGGTTCAATATGTAAAATGTCTCACATATCCTTTTCAAGTATTGCCGACTATAAGTGTATGGTTGTGATCGAAGACTAACTGCTAAAGCTCATGGAAAATATTCGTGAAATTCCCTTCTGAGATAGCTTATAATCAATCAAAAAGTAAAAGGAAAAAAAAAGGAGGGAAAGGGTTGATGGTAAATGTTGACCGAAAATTTTTGATGTTTAATTTTATTTAGAAAAGGGTAAAGATGAAGTGAGATTGGAAGTTAGGTCAATTTCATCTTTAACCACAATTCATTTCTTTTTAACATCTATTTGTCTATAGAGAATTGAAAATGAAAAATTAATTGGCAAGAAAAAGAGGGTCAATTATGTTGATGACAAATTTCTCCTTGTTGGTGAAATAAATTTCCAAAACAAATGATATTTATTGGTGGAAGTACGAGAAAGGCCAACATGATAGGCATTAGCCTATCAATGATAAGATGAAGAAATACACCGCCAAAAGCATACAGCACATGGCACACGGCGCAGGGCTTAGGGCGCAATATTACTAAAGAAGCACAACACACTAAATGGCCCTATGGAAAAAGCAAAGAGGCATAACTATCCTCCACGAGCATGACTCAACAACAGCAAAAAGGCTCTCTGTTATATGAGGAATATATAAATATGTATGTGTGTGTGTATGTGTATGTGGTGTGTATGTGGTGTGTATGTGGTTTGTATTTGGTGTGTACGTGGTGTGTATGTATGTATGTGGTGTGTATGTTGTATAGAAATGATTATTATGCAAACAAGCTGTTTCCTCTTACGTTCTTTCGTATGTAAATAAGCGCCGCCACCAATGTGACTTTCGACCTCACCGCTTGTTTATAAGTAGTTTTTGTCATAGAACAGATTATTATTTGTGGAACAATGATCTTCCCATTATACATAAACGCAAGTGATTCGTTATTTGGAGAATTCTATAAAAAATGCTCAGATAAATATTGGCGTTGGCAACAGGAAGGTGATTAGGTGGAAGGAGGAGATAACGTAAAAGGAAATAATGAAACTTTGATGATATGCAAAACAATGTTACGGCTCAAATTCAAACAGATAGCTTCATAGAGTTACTAGCAATGAGAAAAATAAAAATGGATAGAATAATATGAAAGAATAAAACTTGATAAACTGAATTGAAATGCCAATCACATCATGATTATATCCATTTATCTCAGATTTTGCAAATTCCGTTAATCGTTTTTCTGGAAAATACTGGAAATATTTCACTTGTCCAGTTTAACAAATGTCACATCACAGCGAAAAGGAATGCTTAATCTTAAATGTTCAAATAACGTAACTCGCTATTTTCCACAGGGACCCATACTACATTTAACAAATCTCCTCAATAATTCATCATAAATTTGAACAAATTTTTTGGAATATATTACACAACAAATATTTAAGATTAAATAATAAACAATAATCGTTCATCAGAAAAAACTGAGTTACATTATAATTGGATCAGAGTACTTCAGTGAATTAGAATTCTATGCTTGTTCAGCCTTTTAGATTGCACTTACTTTAATTTCGCCATCGCAAACGTCAAATAACTCCTGAGAGTATGCCAGTTTGCTGATAAAGTTACGTATAAAAAACATTTGGAATGAAGAAAGAAGAAACGAAGAAAAGGAAGGAAGGAGACCTGGAAAGAAGAGGACGACGGATCGTACGGACAAGGACGTCGGGAACGAGTAGCGGGGAGGTCGAAATATTTGCAAAATGATATGTAGAAATGAAGAAAACTGTCTAAGAATTTATTCAATAGATTTTATCACATTTTTGTGAAAAATTAGTGAGAATTGTAAGCGGCGTTCTTCCATACGGGCATTGCAGCAAAGAATGAAAAGAGTGGCTAAGCACGGTGAAGTAGAAGAATGGGAGCAAAACCCAGTGGGGCTTGAAATATTAGAAAAAATTTTGAATTCAAAGAACAATTTTTTGCTTACCACCAAAACTTAAGTTCTTTCGGTCAATCTTGAAGTGATGGAATGGAATTTATGAAAAGTTTTTCATTCAAAAAATTAATATATTTCAAAATATGTTTTAAAAATTAATAATTTTAACTATTTGCATGTTATAGACTATAATTTCTACCTGAAGATCTGAGGGGAAGCTTATTTAACTGAGCTTCAGATACGCAATCATTATTTCTTTTTCGCCTCTATGTTTTATGATAATTCAATCGATGATAACGTTTTATGGTTATTTAACAAAAAAAAAAAAAAGGAAGTTTTATAAAATAGAAACAACAAGAAAAAAAGCAAATGAATCGATGAAAGCATTGCAGAAACCTAACATAATTATATTCAAATGAGTAAATTATTACTCCGAAATACTGCCAAGTACTAATCTCGACATTTTAGTTACTAAAGCGACAGTTGTAAAAAATACTGATTCTATAATGTTGTTGCAATGATTTGAAAACGTATGGAATGCCAAGGATTACTATGCAAATTGCGATGACAGAAGAAGTGAGAAAGAACAAGAATAATAATTAGTAGTAATAACAATAATTAATAATAATAAATAATACATGATAATGATCAATATAAGCAATGGTAACAATTAATAATAATAATAATAATAAGTTAATCAATTAATTAATTAAGTAAAATAAATAAAGTATTAACAGCACAACAAAAGTTCGTTCGGTATTGTGAAGCTAAACAACGGAACAAATGTCCCTCGATATATCAATAGCGATACATCAACCATAAGGAAGAGGAAAGAGTAGTGGAGAAATTTGAAACATATTTCGAGTCAAAGTCAAACATTTCAAACACTTCATTTAAAAGCATATAGATCAAAAGATGAAGGTTG